CCCTGGCGGCCATTGTTATGTACTTGGTGCGCAACTATGTGGTGCGCCGCAGGGCGAAACAGGGTGAGGTCTTCGATGTGTGCATCACGGATCAGCAGCCCATTAGTCCGGTGAAGAAAGTGGACTCCAAGTACCACCTAGACGAGGAGGAAGATGAGGTGGACCATCCGCACCATCACCAGCAGCACCAGAGCCACCAGTCGCACCACCAGCAGCAGCAACAGAGCCACCACCAGGCCATGCCCATGTCGCAGGCGGCGCCACGGGATGTGAACCACAATCGATATGGGATCAATGACGACAAAACCTCTCTAGCCAGCGAGTTCCAGGAGTTCGAGCGGAGCAATATCCGGCTGAAGAGCCTTCTGGGCGAGGGAAACTTTGGCCAGGTGTGGAAGGCGGAGGCGGATGATCTGAGCGGGCATTTTGGAGCCACCAGGATAGTGGCGGTGAAGACAATCCGAGCCTGCAGTGCCCAGGTGACACTTAAGGACGAGGCCAACATAATGCGCAAGCTGGGATCGCACCAGAATGTGGTCACCCTCTTGGGAGCCTGTGTGGAATCTGGTGAGTTCTTATTTTTTTTATAAACTAAAAGAATTACTTTTTATAATATAAAATTTACAAACAGAGCCACATATGCTGATCATGGAGTATGCCATGCGAGGTCGCCTTTTGTCCCTCTTGAGGGCAGCCAGAAGTGCCACAAATATATTGCCAGCCTCAGTGCCAGGCGGTCGCAGTCTGACTCCTCTGTCGCCTCGAACCTTGGCAGGATTCGCGCTGGACATAGCCTGCGGCATGGAGTACATTGCCAGCAGAAGGGTGAGTCTCTCACTAAATGAATCATTTATAAAAAAATTAAATAAATTAATAATAACTTTCCTTATCCAGATTGTCCACCGAGATCTGGCCGCTCGTAATGTCCTGCTGGATCACAATGGCATGTGCAAGATCTGTGATTTTGGCATGTCCATCGATCTGGATGCCGAAAGGATGCGCAAGGAGCAGGAGAAGAATGCGGCCAACGACATCCTGCGCAGCAACGCCCAAAAGTTCAAGTTCGACTTTGGCAGCAGGTACATCTTGCAGCACTGGCAGCACACCTTCGGCCAAGGACACGGGCCAGGTCACTGCTCCAAGGATCATGCGCACGGGGAGAAGAAGTCACACCATGGCCATGACACCATCGGGAAGCGGCATGCTCTGCCCATTCGCTGGATGGCTCCAGAGAGTCTGCAATATCACATGTTCACCACCGAGACGGACATCTGGGCGTTTGGCATTGTCCTGTGGGAGATAGCCACTCTTGGTAGGTGTTCGGATTCCTCGGCTTAATTTAAGCAGGTTTACACATTAAATGCCGTTTCAAATTAGGATTAATTGGTGTCTAATGCATGTTCCCAATTAATTCTAAAAAAGGAACAGCCTTAAAATAAGTTGTCCGGCCATTTTAGGATTTCGTGGCTTAGCTTTTTCTCAAAGTCCATCGTAATTTAACCATCAAGATGGCAAAACCTTCGTGTTCAACGATCTACATTATCTCTAATGCTATAAATTTCTGGGAGTGGGCAATTAATTCCCAGTTCCAATTATATGGCCAAGACTAATAGCATTCATTTTTGACAAACAAAAAACATCAAAGATGAAAATCACTGAAATTGGCAGTAATTTAGGGGTTGGGATGACGATTTTTTAAGTGTCATATTGTTTTATATAGGTAGTTCTCAAGAATTATTTTTTAGTACATTTTTTACGGGTTTTCTTACTACAAGTAGAATCGTTTAACTTTATGGTTCATTTAATTTTACATAATAACTAGCTAAAATGTTGTTACAAAAGGTTTACTAACTTTGAATGTTTACAAATGTTTACTAAATATTTGACTTGAAGTCAATTAATTGCAGAATTTATAACTATACTATTTCGGTTTACAATTCTTTGTTTGTTAATTGTAAGCTCTTTTTTAGTTTCAAAGTTTCTAAAAAATTAGTTTCTTTTTTAAAAATGTATACTTTTGCTATTAAATTATAACCTATTCTAAATTTCACCTAAAATTTCTCGATTATTCCCTCTTTCAGGCTCCACACCCTACTCCCAGTTGACAGGTCGAGAGGTCATCCGCCGCGTGCCCCAGGGTCTTCGCCCGGAACTGCCCAAGGAGAGCCGTCACGAGTTCTACAATCTCATGTCCCGCTGCTGGCACAAGGAGCCCCACATGCGGCCCTCCTTCGCCCAGTCAAGGCTGGAGATCACCAGGTCGCTGCACAAGTGGGTGGACGACGACTCGGCGGCGTCAGACTACATGGACGTAAGCGGGTTCAGCGAGGATCTCGAGCACGGAGTGGTGTACTTCAACCACCGCATCTCGGAGTTCGAGTGCGAGATATGACGCTGACTGAACCATCCCCCCCCACGTCTCCCCATCCCTTCGTAACTTGTGCATCTCAACCACTCAACCATCATCCAGAATTAATCCACCGTCTACTCCTCATTGCTTCTTTGAATCTGTAACTCCTTCGAAATTCTCTGCCTATATTTTTTGACGTGCTTGTCGAGCAGTATTATTTGTATTTTATCGTTAATTATTTTCCACACTGAAAACGGTGTTTTTCTTTCATTGTAAATATTTATTTGTTGTTGGCCCCAACAGAAACGCAAAATACGAAAAAACTTATGATATACGATCTAGGCCCTATGATTAATGAATGGCGCTACCTATGCCTAGTTTAATGTTCGTCACTTAGTTCTTCTAGTCTGTATCTGAAATCCCATCTTTGAGTTGAGCTATTTTCTTAGATTTGACTGCACTGAACAATCATGAAAAGAATCTATATGTATTCCCCATCTGTTTTGTAAAATGATTCGTTGATATGATATAGGCGTTCAGCGCATAGGATTTATGTAATTGTATTCATATTTAGCTATAGAATTGTACAAATAAATTAATTAAACACGAAATAAAATTATGATTATTACACCAGTTGAAAATAGTTTAATTTGTTGATTATTTGACTAAATATTTTTATCTTCATGGTACTGGGTCGTCACAAAAATTCGTTTGTTGGATGACCAGGTTTTTTTGTTTGAACTGTTAAAATAATTTTAACTTTACACTATGTTAAAAACTGGTAAGCTTTGTACCTGAAGCTAACCAAAGTTATTTTTTTTACTTCTCTTAAAAGCTTTTAACTTTTTTCGTCGGTCTGGCAGCTTATAACTAGTTCCTCACGAGTGGTTCCAGTCTTGCAGGCGGTTACTTTAAATTAAGTTTAAAAATTGACTAAATAATTTGTATTTATAGTTTACAAAGTAAGGTGTTCGTTCTTATAGTAACTTTTCAAATCTAAAAGAGTTACAAAAGCAACGTTGACATTGTAATGTAGCAACCTGAAATATAAAACTTGTTAAACAGGCCTCTTATATTTTAAGGTCAATGTTTTATGTCTCTTAATATTATTCCAAAATTAGTAATCCCAAAGCGGCTCAACATCAGTGGTTAAGGCAGCTTACTCCTGAACCGGAACATACGCATCTGGCAAAAATAAAACCATAAAAATAAAAATTAAATGTGCAATTTAATGTGCAAATTAGCCAAGTGCATCGCGGCTTTTTTATGGCCAGCTCGCTAGTTAGCCAGCCGAGATGAACACCGGAAAAGTCGTTGCAATATGCAGCGTGAAAAACCATCGGCAAGTGCAGCAAAGTCGGGTCGGTGGACAACAGTTTGGGGCATGGCCAATTTGATGGATGACGCTGCAATTAAACACACGTCCAGCTATGCGGTAATCTCGACAAATGGACGTTAAGATAAAATGCGTAGAGACGGGAAAATATTGCGTGTCGATGAAAATGAAATGAAAATTCAGGTGGTTCCGTTTGACGGAACCACGGTGTTGCCAACGAAAGTGTGAAGAAAATGCTCCTTAAGTGGTCATTGAAAGTGCCACAGAAATGCCTGCAACGGCCACTTGCCACTGCCCTGGAGCACTTGACGGGATAGTTTATGGGTTTAACCAATGATGAAGAAATAACAATAAAGCGCAAAAAAGCGAAACGACAAAGGCACGAACAATCATTAATGGAGGGAGAATTAGCGGCAGGGCACAGTGGGATGCAAAAGCCATTAAAGATCATTAGTAACGGCATTGAATTGGCAAAATGCTTTAAATTTAGCCCTTTAAGTTTATTTTTGGAGAAGCTATCATTTTAATGATTAAGTATATAAAAAGCTACATAGTTTAAGCTATTTTCGCAAGCTAATTTTCCTCATTTCATCCCACTGTACAGTGGCCAGCAAGTAGGCGGAGGCGCTAACAACCTTAGCAAAGTTGCCACCGAGGGCTGTTTTGAAAAACGAAAGTGCCGTGCGGCTGGCTGTGAAATTAATTTTCTTTTCCACAACTTTTGGACTGACCCCCACCGGAGGCCGAAACGCTCAATGAAGTGGTCAAAGTGTTTTTCGTGGCTAATGAAGCCGATAGAAAGCAGTTTAGGCCACCATTATATTTTGCATGCTTCCGTTTTTGGCTATTTGCTTCCTGACCCACTACCCAAACAAATGACTTAAGACACGAACTTGGCTGGCAAACGAGTCTGGGCCGCAGCCAAAAGTATTGCCAAGCTTCCGCGAAATAAGTTAATAGATTCTTACAAGGGGATATGCAAATTGAAGCCAACTAACGGGTTAATGAACTGCGAACTGCTAAAAGAAAAGCAATTTGCCAAAGCGCAGTTTAATGCACAAACACGTCGCAATGTCGACGAATTCGCTGCAGCAAGTCGAGAACGCAAACTGTGGTAAACTTGCTGCTGCTGCTGTGGCTGTTGCTGCAGAGCACTACGCAGCACTAACAGCAGCAGTAACTGAGCTTGAAGCAGAAGCAGCTAGCGGCAGTTGAGGCAGCAAATCAGTCGGCGGCGAGTGTTGAAAGCGTTCAGACGTTGCCATCGGAAAAAGTGGACAACTGGCAATACGAAACCGAGGCAAAGCCAAGAAGTGTGGCAAAGTAGAAAATCTGTTAATTAAGGCGCGTGTGAAAAGTGTGAAAATCTGCATTTAAACTGCAAAATCAGCGAAACGGAAGAGGCGGCACTGGCCAAAGCCATAAAAAGTGAAAATTATCTGTTCAAAGTGGAGTGGAATGGAAACTTAATTCTTGCGCCGCAACAGGAAATAACCATTGCCAAGCAAGAAAAGATTTTAAACATCTCTTCGAGAGTAGAAGGGAGTGGAGTTTCTTTCCCATTTGGAGGTGAAGAACAGCCGAGGTGATTTCTTGAGCCCAGTCTCGTTTTATAAACTAATCATAAAAAAGCGAGCGCAGGGGAGCGCAGAAAAAAAAAAACAAAAATCGAAATTGGAATTTTAAAATACCCATTTCTTTGTTGTTGTTGCATTTGAGTGTATTTTAGCCAAATATGTGAAATGGAAACAACTTTCTAAATGAATGAGAAGAAAACAAAAACAAAACAAAAAAAAACGCTTACAGCCAACAAAAATTTGAATTCTTTTTATTCTTTACGCCCGAGGAAATTGTGTCAGTCTGTTTAAGGTGTGCGTGTGTCTCTGTTTTTGTCCGTGTGTGTAGATACGCGTGTGGATACGAGGGGCCTCGACCGTCAAGTTCGTGCCTTAAGTCTTTCGTTTAGGGCCCGGCAAATTGGTTTGGATTTTATTACTGTCTTTACACTCCAAGTCCAAGAGTCGGGAACGATATCGATTCTCGATCTGTCTTCGTTTGTGGGGTCTTGTCAGCCGCAATGGTTAGTGGTTCAGCGGGTTCGCTTACTAGGTTAGTCGGTTAGCACCTAGTTGCGTTAGTTAGCCGCGTATTAGTGTGCTTACCAGTAGGATTCTGCGGGAGATTGTCAGTGCGGCTTTCTTGTCTTGCTTTCTGTCCGATGCCACTTCTCTCATTTGCAGCGCTTTAATTTGTTTTCTTTAATTCGTTGTTTTCTGTTTCTATGTTTCTATTTCTGTTAGTCACTGCTACTGTATTCTCCTCTTTTTTTTGACTGGCCCCGTTTCGTTGTCTGCTCAACGCACGCAAATTACAAGTTAATTAAAGTGGCCAAAGAATTCGCAGTGAAATTGCATGTGCAGTGCATTTGCAGCTGCAGCATCCCATGCTGATTCCCATTTCGTTGGCAAATTTGTATCTTATGAGTATATTTACTTTCTGCGACTGGCTGCGGCACCCACGCCAAATTGCTGGGATGCCTGGGAACCAAAATAATGGCTGGCATATATGGGAAACGGCGGCGACTTATTGGCTTAATTTGATTTATCGCGGTGCACAGCTTTCCCAGCCGGTCTTTTGCCAACTTTATGCAAAGGCCACACAAAACCAGAAGCTCTGCCATCTCGCTCGCTCACGCCTTTAACCATTAGCCTGCGATCTGGAGGATGATGATGATGATGGTACCTCCAGTGCAGGTGTGCGAGATAAATTAAAGCCCCGGGACCCTGACAACAAACGCCAACAAACCGCCGAACAAACGGCAGCATCTACACGTTCGTGCCACAAACTTTGCGCATCATTTCTTTCAATTATTTGCTTGCTGCGGTGCCTGAACGCCAGAAAGCCTGCAAGCCTGAATGCCAGAAAAGCGAATCTCCCCAATCTCAAAAACCCACGTCTGCCATAAGCTTTCAGCCTGGCCTTGGTTGCCTTTTCTAAACTGTCAACGGTGCCGTTGCCGCCGCCGAATTTTCACTTTTCATCCGCACAAAAGGTCACAGCATCTCCGGCAGACGTCGATGCAGCTGGGAGTGCAATTTCTGGCAAGGAGTCGCCCGTTTGGGTGTTGTTAGCATTCAGATTTGTCAGCCAGCTCGGCATGGCTCCTTCGGTTTCGATGCCAAATAAAGAAAGACACGGCCATCGGAGAAGAAAGACTTTCACACATTTGCATGGCTAAGAAGAGAAAACAGCAAAGGGAGCCTTTTTCTTTAATGGCATTTAACCTGACAAATGTCTTTATCATGACGATAGGAAGTTGGGACCCGTCAAATCAATAACATCGACCTTTTAGCGTGGCTTATTGCCGCAGACGAGTCGTAACCCCGTGCAATAAACAATCATAAAAATAGAAATAGTCAACAACCAGAGCAGCTTTGGTGCTTCACGCCTTGTTGGGCAGTCAACTTATGACATGATGATCACGATGTGCGATTACCTAAAGCCGCATGGAGACGGAATGGAGACGGGCTGCTGTAATAGCCATTTCGAGATGACGGAGACGACTAAGACGACGGTGACGGTTATGCCTACTCCAAAGTCGTAATAGTTTACGCTCATGTTAATGACTCTTACTTTCGATGGAAAGCCGAAAATAGCGCTTATGAATTTCTAAGCAAATTGAACGCGTCCAAGAATAAACCAAAAATGATGTTTCCTTTGTTTTTGAAAGCGTGCGAGTGTCGGGTGCTAGCATAAATAAACAATTAGCTGGCTGTCATTGTGTTTCTGTCTGCTATTAGTGTGAAATTAAAACCGCTTTAATTACAGCAACTGACCGCCCCCACACATTAACTTTCCATTGCAGAAAACAAAGCCACGAAAAATAAAGCTACGAATTCCAAACGAAAATGAAAGCTGGCCGCGCCTTCGGCTGCCTCTTCTGGGCCCTGCTCTATTGTGTGCTCTATTTGGACCTGGTCAGCGGAAATTCCATGGACGATGAACTCTTGGACTTCGATTTTGCCGACCCGAAAGATGCTGCCAGCCAGGACGACTGGCAGCTGGACGATCTGGAAGATCAGCAGGCCCAGCAATCGCAGCAGGCTGAGAAGAAACTAGAGTCCAATATGTTGGACTTCAGCGTGGATCTGGACGAGCCGGAACCGGAACTACCGCCCTTCGATTGGCGGGAGAAGGCTCTGCGAACAGCCCTGGCCAAGGCCTTGGGCGACGAGGGACTGCGTCAGAAGTTCACAGAAGTAATGCCTATTCTTAGGGTTCTGTCTCATCAGCAGAGACTGGCCTTGTCAGCCCTCATATCCGCACAGATGAATGCCAAGAAAGGCCATGATCTCAAACTGGAGCAGGTGGGTTTTAGAAGCTTTTTGTTTTTCCATTTAAGCGCAGAGTAACTAAAAACTATTAGTCAGTTTTAAGATAGGCATTTTAAAGAACTATAAGGGTAGCTATTAGAATAATTTTTCATCTAACTAACCCGTCTATTATAAATCTTTCCGCAGGTCCGCATGATGTTTGGCAATGACAAGAAACTTCTACTTCCCATTGTCTTTGATCTGGCCAACCTGGTGAAGAGCGCCACCCACAAATACATCAATCTTGGATCCGATCTGGCCTCGTCCGCCCTGTTCCGTCACGCCCCCATTGACAGGCGGGAGGATCAATTAACCACGGATGAGACGGAGCAGGATAACCAAGTAGGCACCATTTCGGTGAATGCCGAGCCCAAGGAAGATCAACCGGTCGAAGCGAAGGATTCTGAATCCATGGAAAACTTCTTTGACGAGGTTCAGTCAGAGGTGTTGGATCCGCAGATGATCAATGAGGCTTTGCAGTCGGATTTGCATAATGAAACAAAGGCCACTCAGCCGGATAACCATAATCATAGAGTTCGTCGCTCAGCAAATGAATTTATTCACAAGCTTCCCAGATCTGTGCCGCTTTCAGTGACGGAACAGCAACTGATGGGTGGCAGTGCCGGAAGAACCGTAAGGCTGAACACGACCGCCTTCCAACAGCCTAGTAGCTCCCCTACCGAAGAGAGCGGCTCCGTTTCCACCACCAGTCAGTCCTATGTGGAGATCGAGGACCTGGCCTTTGCAGGACTAAATGGCACTGAGCTTCCCCTGAATGCAGATGAACGTTTGGATCTGCAGCGAAGCAGTGGCGAGGTTGGGGATGAAGCTCTTCCCAATCCCGAAGAACTCATTGCCGGTCCCAGATATCGCCTAGGAAAACGCCCACCGGGTCAGAAGTCCATTCCGCCCATCAAAAGGAAGCGCGTCCAGGCAGCTTCTAGCCGTGGAAGACCCAAGACTGCCGCCAGCTCCCACAAGCCCGTGGTTTCGCCGCCGCACAAGAAATGCGAAAGATTCACCAGCAGCATGTGCATCCGCACCGATGACTATCCGCTGTAAGATCCCTGTAGCTAGTTGGTGGTGCGCGGTGGTCCCAGGTCCTTAGTCCTTAGCCTAGTCTAGCACAAATATTAGTCCTTAATAAAACCGTAATTTATTCAACTCACCCAATGCCCAAAGTTCCCTTGCACTTATGCTTAGTTACTGGTTTTGGTTTGGTTTTTCTAAAGAAAGTGATAAATTGGTGGTCCATATATATAAATATTATTATGAAACTTCAAACTCGGTACAGTGAACAGATCATGGGCAGCATTCGGCGGCACAAGAACGCCATGTCCGCTCTCCTGGCAGAGTTCTACGACAGACCCAATAACAACCTGGAGTTTGGCGATGAATTTGATGACTTTAGTTTGAGCAAAAAGAGGTGAGTAGGAATTTTGGTCAGGATCTCTTACCATTTAATTTCATTTATTTATTTTCCACAGGCGTGAGGACGAGGGCAGTGCCGGTGGCATGTGCCAAAGTGTAGTTCGCTATGCTCGACCCCAAAAGGCCAAATCCGCTTCGGGAGAATGGAAATATATTGTCAATACTGGCCAGCACACGCAAACATTGCGCTTGGAAAAGTGCAGGTGGGTTTTAATTACTTTTTCTACAATAACTTCACTAATGTATCTCGCAATCTACAGCAATCCCGGAGAGAGTTGCTCCTACCTGGCCCAGACCTATCGCTCGCACTGCTCCCAGGTGTACAATTACCATCGCCTGCTGAGCTGGGACAAAGTGCGTGGCCTCCACGTGGACATCTTCAAGGTGCCCACTTGTTGCTCCTGCCAGGTGGATGGCTATCGCCAGCAGTTCCCGCCTCTGTCCTCCATCCAGGCCAAAGACTACTCTCCTCTGGTAACCGCCAATAACAATGGCTATAGCACCATTAACGAGGAGGATCTGGACTACGCGGATGAAAGTGGAGAAGATGAGCTGGGCCTGGGTCTGCGCTATCCAACTTATAATAACCGGGATAACAACGAGCTGTATGCCAGCAGCAAGAAGGTTAGAGTAAAGCTGCCAGGGATTACTACCAGTGTGGGTCCATATCTCAGTCCACCCGATGACGACGACGACGATCGGTATTCCGGGAGCTACAAGAGCCCCAGCTCTGGCTCCAGTGTCAGCTCCAGTTCCAAGAAGTATTACAGCCAGGTGAGCCGCCGGCGGCCACAGCACTCGGAGGCCCGTCTGGACTTGGATTTGGCGCCGAGCGAGACGCACGCGGACCAAGAGGTAAACCTATTTGCTGGGCCACCAGAGAAGCAGCGTGCCCCGCTCAATCGCAAGCGTATTTATGCCTCCACCCACACAGCCCCCACCACATCAACATCAACCGCAGCATCATCATCGTTTGGAGGAGGATCTGCCAGCCGCCTCCCCGTACGATTTCCACAGACCACAAGCCTACCAGCCCGAACGGGAACAGCGGCCGTTAGCTCCAGTTTCAGTTTCAGCCCTGGCGCCAGTAGCGCCTCAGCCCATGCCCCCCATGCCCATCAAACAGTTGTTGCATCCGCAACCGCTGCACCACCTCACCCTGCCGGTGTCGGGCAGCGGTCGCGACCCCGCTTCTATGCACCACCAGCCCCACCAGCAGCGACGACGAACATACCCATCCAGCAAGTGGTTGCCGGCTCAGCGGCGACAATTTCGACCGAGCGTACCCCTCAGTGGGAGGGAGAATGGGAACGGGAGCGGGATCAGTCGACGACACTACCACAACCACCGGCCGTCTATCCAGTAAGCTCGATCTTCGCCAGCGGTGGCGGCAGTGAGGCATCGGGCAAGCGAATCAACTACAACTATCATCCCATAATCGACTTCTTTGAGAAGAATCGCAAGGCAGAATCGCAGGCGGTGGCAGAAGAATCCCGTGTGGTGGAGCAGCGTGTCTTTCCGGAGAAGAGCACAAGGAAGGGCATGGGAATGGGCACGGAGACCATCACAGGAATATATCAGCATCCCATACCCATACCTACCACCCACGAACGGCGCATGGGCTACGGGGCTGGTGGTGCGGGTGGTGCAGGTGCCGGTGGTGCAGGTGCTGTGGGTGGTGGTGACAATGCCTGGAAGCCCATGGTTGTGGAGTAGCTTTTAAGTCGCATGAAACCGATCCGGTCCCAAAAATCATTAATCTAACGTATTAACGCTGATAGCTCGTAATCTTCGCCCTGTTCTCGCCAAGGAGCCTAATCTTGTAGTTCTCTCTAGTATGCTCCTAATCTCAAGACCCTACTTGCCTCCCTCCTCTAATATTTAACCAATTACGTTTATTTATTTATTTATTTTGTAGTGAGTAGTGCGAAAATTAAGATATGACCCCGTTGTTGGGGAGGTTCAATGGTCACAGCTTGGTTGACTTGTCGCAAGAGTTTTAGCAATAAATGTAATTTATTAAAAAAATTAGAACTGTATTTATTGTTGGCCTAAATTTTGAAAGGGGTTAGCTACAATTTGCCATGACTGTGTGGATGTTTTTAATTTTAAAGCATCTTTTAGGCGCCTGAGAAGAATTCGTATGCTCCAAAAAGTATGCTATAATTTTATGAAGGGTGTAGAAAGTACTTTTCAAAAAGAAGTTCTTTCCTTTACTTTCTATTTTAGACCTGAAAGTTAATGAATATTTTGAGAATGAAAAAGAAATACAATCAAGTATGTATTTATTTTTAAGAATTTATTTGGAGTTAGTTAATCAGCTTATTTGGAGTTAAATAATCAAATATTTATATCATCACGTATTTAAACTTTTATCTTTTTGAACTGTAGATTGATTTTTTTATAATTAAATGTAGAGTATCTATAAGATGTTTTCACCCAACATTATTTTGTTACAACACACGCTCATTAGACATAATAATATCACTTAAGTTATCGAGGTATTAGCATTCGTTCCCACCAAAAGAGACAACCCCTCGAGCTCCCCGGCCAAATAATCCACCAATCTAAATTGGGGGGACAGCTTGCCAATCAAATTGATTGTGGTGCGTCGATGTTGGGCCTGTTTATCTAGCTTTAGAGCAAGGATTTTACGGCATTTATAATAACAAATATGGTGGAGTTCATTTTGACGAGGTGCTATATATATTTTAATATATTATTAATATAAATATATGTATATATATTATAAATATATATTACGCAAATAATTAAAGTTTTGCATTTGAATATTTAAACCTTGTTAATTAAATAAATCTTTCAAACCAAAAGCTAATCAGCAAGTCATGAAAAAAAAAACAGAAACCACCCTATATATAATATAATGTTAATATTTGAACATTTTTTAAAAGTTTTGTAAGTCTATTCCTACAATTTGAAGTATAATTTCCACCTCTTAAGATAACAAAAACCCATTGTTGGCAGCAAAGTCGAGAAATGGTCCATTTCAGCTTATTTTTTTGCCGTCAATAGATTCGAGAATCTATTAACCGTATTAGGTATTCCAAGAGAAACTGCCGAACCTGCGAATTTAGTCTATAAATCATAGGCATCAGACGATCCCCGTTGTTCCCCAAATATTTAAACACCCAAATTAATAGATCAGTGAATAAATTATAATTTATTAACTATCCGTTGCTTCGCCTTTCGCCCAGATGACACAGATACATACAAATACATATTTGCTTGCTCCGGCGAAGTTCAAGTTGAGGGTCAAGCGGCGGGCGCTAATGAGATTCGAGACCGCGAAAATAAAAACACTTACCCACATGCTCGAAAACCAAAAGTCGAAACTAGTTTCTTCAAAAGAGCCAGAAAGTTGCATGCGCCGAAACAGAAACCGTTGCTGCTGAAATATGCCAAGCCGCAGACGTGGAGTGTGTGGTGTGTGGTGCGCATATGCAAAGTGGGTTTCTAAAGCGAAACGAGACTCCAGTATCCAGTATCCAGTATTGACTTTGACTTCGAGCCTGAGTTTGACCAGTTATAACATTGGACGTTGAACGCTGCAATCTACAACCTGCAACTAGCAGCAACTAACAACTTGCAACGTCACTCGGCTGGCCAGTTTCGCTTTCATTTGCTGCCGAAGCGAAAAAGCGAACGAACGAAGGCGACACCGATGACGAAGACGATGACGACTTCAAAGACATCCATCTCGTCATGCCGTACACAGAGAAAATTAGTGATACAGAAAAAAGGACATATTTTTTCTTCCATTTTGATTTATAGAGCAGCCATAGTAGTTATGTGCAATTTAAATGAAAACCCCAATTTTATGAATTCTTATTTATATGATGAGGGTAAGGGTTTTAAAGGACTTACTCAGATATTTATAAAATACTATTGCATAAATAATATATTTTTATTAAACATTCACATACTCTATGTATCTTGTATGTAGCAATAATCTTACCTCCATAGAAATCTCACCCACGATCGCGACTTTTCCAGTGCAACTGCAATGGGAAGAGAAAGAAAGAAAGGCTTGTGCCGAGCCAATCAAACTGGAAAATTGGAAAAACGGTGAGGAAATTTTATAAAGGCCCAATGATACCCCATTTGCCTCACAGTTGTCGTGCAGCCGCCGAACGCGAAAGTGAAAAGTGCCAGTTGCCTATCGCCAGTGGAAAAGCAAGCATTTCCCCGACCTTGGAACCGAGAGTAAAAGTGCAAACGCCATGGCCATGCTCAGGATATATTTGCTGATCTTAATTTACATAAAATTCGGTCAGGGAATCAAAGTGGAAACTCCTTCGCAGGAGAAAACCTTCAATAGTACAGGAAAGCTCCCGGTTTATAGAGTTTCCAAGCCAGAGCCCAAACAGCCGGAGAACAGGGTTCCCCCGCACTTGCAGGACATTCGTCCTGGCTATGTGGACGATGATGCTGGGGATGTTATAAGGATAATTGAACCACCTCAGCACTTCCAGCAGCTTAAGAAACTGCGCCAGAGGCAGCCACCCCATCGGGCGGTGGTCTGGGAACAGCCTAGAAAGTTGGCCAGCAATCGAGTTAAGACCGTGCCCACCGGAGACCTCCTCACTCAGGAAACTCAGATACAAAACGTCCCGAATCAGTTGCAACTGCCCGTGGAAATTCTGGCTTCTGTGAGGAAAACTGAGCGCTTGTTGCAACGTCAAAGACAAAAGATGCCCTATGTGAGGCAGCGTCACATCCAACGACAAACCCACACTCTAATAGCCCAGAATACGCTAGAGCAACAGCTCTACCAACGTGGCCAAGATCAGAGGCTGAGAGCAGTGCTGAGCCACCAGGAGCACAAGCGAAAAAAGAGGGTCAAGAGGGAAATTGCAGAGGAAAATTTCGAGAAACGAGAAAAAGCCGCCTACGATGTGCAACAGGGTCTTAAGCTGGTGGCTCACATTGGAGACCTGCTGAAAAATGCCACTCAGTATTTGCCCGACTCCGATGGTGCCACCAACGAGCTTACCAACGAGGTGAAGAGGCCACCCACAATCCTTTGCAGAAATGCCACAAACTGCAGCGACAGCAGGCGACGTCGCCAGAGATTTTTCAAAACACAGGCCAAGTCAGCGGAACGGGAAAAGCTGAGGGAGAGGCGTCGCCACTTCCGCAATGAGGCAATCACCACCACGACAACTGCCACGACAACTACAACTACCACCAGCAGCAGCAAACCAAAATCGCCAATTTTGAGTGCCACTCCAGCCATTTCCGGAACTCCGCTTGCCAGTCGCCTGGTGAATTCACGCAAATCCAAATTGAAAATTGGCCGCAGCGATGACTCCATACTCTATGCGGATGTAATGACTAATATACGCAATTTGTGGCAGGAGCACGATCTCCTGTCCGGGCCGAGGTACGTTGCCCCCGGCGAGGTGGCCAACAACACGGACTACCGCTCCCTGGACATGTATCTCAAGGAGCTGGATCAGCTGTCCAAAAAGCTGCCCACTGCAGCCCCCATTACAGGATTAAACAAGGAGGAACTGGCCAGACCCACGTCTTCGCCAAATTGGTTTCTGATCAACCAGGACGGGAAAATCTACGAAACCCGATTGGATAGTCAAACAAAACCTTCATCCACATTGTTCCATCGATTTCCGGACATGCCCAACAAAAATGAATCCGTGTCCATATTGGACTTGGAGTAGATTTGTAGTGGGATCTATTAGTTGTTATTTATTTATTGAGAAGGAATAAAGTATTAAAGTTAAAAATATAAAAATTTAAAAGGTTTTTATTTGTTTTAGTAACAATTTAATAAAATAAATATATCAAGGATAGCTACTACTGATTTGCAAGTAAAACATACTTATTAATTTCTTATTTATTCTGAAAGAAAACTATATAACCTTGGGCAATGCTTACCTATATTTGAGATTCCCTTAACTTTTTCAATGCTACAGAGATCTGTGGGGGATTCTTGGTAACCAGCCAAGCATTTAATTCGGCTAATTACAACAACTCAAGTCAAGTCACAAGTTCTTGGCTAATGCGGCAATTTAGATAAGCCAACTGGCAATTAGCCCCGAGTTTGGACTCCCAACGTGCGAAACGCATTGTCTGAAGCCCTGACCCCGCCTAACATGCAAAGTTGTGAGAATATATTTTTCGGCTATTTATTTTTGTTGTTTCTGTAAGATACATAATTAACCAAAGTACCTCCAAGAAAATCAAGTAGCTCAAATGAAGCGGAAGAAGTCATGTGACCTTTTCTACAAGGGAAGTGAAGACTTCTCTCCCTCAACCTAATTTTAATTCCACTGTGTTTTTGGGCAAACTACGATTTTTGGTCTCTTGGCTAATTTTATGGGGATGCTGAGAGCATTTAGGTCTGGTTAAGACCACATTTTCATTTCCACATTCGTTTTTGGCTACCCGTTTGATGCCCCCAAAATCAGGCTGGGCATTTTTGGGCTGCTTTTTTATGGGATTAGAATGTTGCCCAGCCACTTTGACAAAGAATTATTTAATTTATAGAGCGTGTGTTAGTTTTTTATGATTATTATTTGGTGTGTTGGCGGGATGGTTGATAAATTAGAGTGGAACGATCACAGGGAACAGCAAAAAAAGCCTCTCCAATACATTATGTAATCAAATAAATTCCTGGGCTATCGCTGATTTGTGTGACTTTTGCTTTGACTTTCAAACGAAAAGAAAATAACCAAAAAATAAATAAAAAACAGAAGAGAAGCACCGGCCATTGCGACATTGACCCCACTGATCACAGACAGTGGGAGGTGGGTGGGTGGGTGTTTAGTTGGCTGGCTGGTTGGCTGCCAAGAAAAACAAGTAAACATAAGTTGGCCCAAAGCATTGTAATTAGTAGTCGGTCATGCAAGAAATAGAAGCCTCTTGCGCCTCTCCGCCCTCTGACCCCCTCAACGCTTCATTGATGGGCGGCGGGGTGGGAGGGTTGCTGCATTGTTAGAAGCACACGCAGCTGGAATCGCCCAAATTGGAGGGGAAACCGTTTTTCGCTTAGACAATTGTTTTGTCGCTGGGCATTGATGGCAGTGGCAGCCGGCGTTGCAAGAATCGCCTTTTGCCATTATAAAAGCCCGCTGCACGTTGCCAGAGACAGTCAGTCAATTGTTGTAAGCCCCGAGTGGCATTTCTACCTTCTACCAAATCGGAAAAACTATCGTGAAAATCCCAGCCAAGATGTTCCAATCGCGATCCCTGTGCCTGCTGCTGGTTCTCTGCCTGTTGGCTTTGTTCTTGTGCGGATCTGAGGCTCTGCCACGTCCCCAGGAGGGTCGGGAGGAGGGCGGTGATCAGGAAGCTGGCGTGGTAGCTGCGGAGGCCGAGGAGAAGGATTTGGAGGGTGCGGCTTCCTTTGGATACGGCTATTACTCGTCGCCCTATTTGGGTGGCTACTATGGAGGCTACTGGCCGCACTACAGCGGCAGCTACTATGGAATCGGTAAGCATTCGTTAGGATTCAAGAATCAATTCGGAATGTTCTTTACCTAAAAAGTGCCACATATGTGATAGGATGTGATAAGAAACGCTAACTATTTATATTCCCAGGATATCCTTACTATGGAGGCTACTACGGTGGACTCCACCATCACCATGGCCACTACGGACACTACTTCTAAGAGGATGTCTTCCCGGCACATCAAAATCAAAGTTCTTAAGCCTCAGTAGAATTTTAGAAGCACTTGACATTTAACAGCACCCACATAGATTGAATAGCTAAATGAACCAGAGATAGAAGTAGAAAAAGATAGTCGTTATCGCCTGCACTAGCCTCAATAGCCAAATGGCGATGCGTTCTTGACCGGATGGCAAACAGATTAATTGCACTGCCCCCATGCGCGAGGATAATTGCTTCAATTAAGCAAAAAAATCACAAAAAAAGATACAAAGTACAACCAAACTACATAAATAGACAAACTGAATATTACATAAATAAAAGTTATACATTTGTACAAATTAATGCCTGTCTGTGCTGATGGCTACTGTTGATTGTTTTTAGTTTTTATGGTTTTGGAGTCTGTTTTCTCGTTATTTTATGCCATCGTTAAAGCCGCCCAGAAAAGTCGATCACATAAGGTCTCCAACTAATTTGCAATGCAAATAGAGCCACGCAAGCATTTGTTTTATAGCGTTTGCCTTATCTAATTAAATCCAGTTTTACTTCAGAAGCAAATTAACCGTACAAATTACCAAGAATTGAAACAGAATTGATCTAAAAAGAAGACGAATGACTGACAATAAACGGCAGCAAATTACAAGTAGGGCAGCGGTTATTTGACTCTTCTCCGGTTCTACGCTGCGTATGCGTAATTTATGACGGTGTGTGTAAGCCAAGTGTATCAGATCCTCAAAACAAACACGCTGACGTCGGGGACCAAAACAATTTGTCTTGATCGGATTTTGACAGGCAACAATCGGATATTGGAAGTCAGACATCAGCTCGGAAAGGTCACGGAAGTGACGGACAATGGACATTGAAGATTAACGGCCGGCGGACGGCGAACGTTGAACGGCGGACGGTGCCATAGTCCGATGGTGCGACAATAATCGTTTGATTTCACAGAGGAACCTTTGCATAAATTTGCATACTTTTGCAGTAAGCCGATCTAAGGTCAATCTGGTAGCCGAAAAACGAAATTCTGTCACCTGCGACCTCTGCATTGACACTTTTCTCCGGCTCGGCTTAAAAGTGTCAAAATCAAGAACGCTTCGTTTTGTATTCGCATTTCGATGGCCGGACTCATCTGTGGGCAATAATAGCGTTAAATTGGCCATTAAAAGATCGTTTAGCATTTCATTGTTGATCTGAAGCGTGACCAAGCTGAAAATATTGCTTAAATATGATTATTATTTATTCATCAATTCGTTTTTTGTGTCTGAGCCATCTCTCAATTCATCGCCACCTAAAATGACTCACTTAGAGTCCAAGTTTCATTAAAAGCCTGCCCAAATAGAAGCAACAAACTTGTTTTAATTAGAGTTGGGAGACTTTTGTCGGTTGTTGTGGGTAACATAAATTAAGTTAGCTGACACTAACACCGACATTCATTGCACTTTCTCACAGTCGGCGGTTTTGTTCATTAAATGTCGGACTACTATGTGCCACCTAAACGTTGTATTCTCTACATCATTTCGCTTTCAAGCTCGATAAATCACGAAGCAATAGAATGGATATCTTTTACTAATTGATTGTTTTTTCTGGATTTTACCTAAAGCTGTTTGCATTTCGTGGTTATATCATTTTCTTTTCATACTTTCGGCAGCCACGAAAAGATATATTTAAATTCATTGAAAAATCTTGCTACACTTTGAAGTGGAAAAACCATTAAAATTCTTTTTTTCACGGTCTTCTTTGTTTTGCTTTTTTTCTGCTGAGTTATTGTTTCTTGTGTGGTATTTAATTTGACCAGCGAACACTTGAGTTCAAGTGCACGAAATCAGAGAAGTAGAGCACAGTGGGTTAGATATGGTGAGCCATTCAAAAAAATAATTAAAAGGTAGGGTTGTTGGTTTTTGAAAAAATATCGTATTGATGATATTTGCTGTGAAAAAAATATCAAACGATAATATAAAGAAATATCACAAAAAAAAATCGATATATCGAGTATTTTTGATATATTTTATGGCAGAGGTCGGCACCCCAATACATTGATATGATTTAACCGCATTAGTGTTAGTAACGAATAGCAGAAAGTAGGCTGTGAGCATGACGATTCACACATTTATACTGTGTGTGTGCGGCAGAGCTCGGGCAGAAAAATTTCCTATGCCCCCGAGAAAGGGCCGTGCCGACCTCTGTTTTATGGTCAGCTAAAATTGAAAAAAGGTTATTTGTAAATTTAAAAAAAGGTTTTAATATGTGTTTTCATCCGCCATGAACTGCAAATAAGAGCTATTTTTTATTTAATAAGTGAATTGAAAAACAACAAATATTTATACCCACTCTCAAGCAACTTTTATTAACGTTCATTGAAATAAAAATTAACAAAATTATTAAGGACATTGTATTCAAATTTATTTATAAAAAAAATTAATATAAAAAAAAAGTTCTTTAAAACTTAATAAATTCATGGAATATGTACTAAATAATGCAAATTACCTAATTCACTTATTTAATGATCCTAATTACTCTTAATTACAAAAAAAATCTTTCTTCAATAATTTGAAAAAAACTCTTTCGGTTATATGCTGGTCTGTCATTCGACTACGGGAGTCACAGACAATATATTTAATGGCAGAAGCCAACCTTTCAGATGGAACTGAACTTCCAGGCGTGATAAGATAACTTAATGCCAATTTCTGGCTTAAGAATGACCAAACATAAAATATCGGAAATACCAACTCAAAAATATTATTATCGACTATTTTTGCCCAAAAAATATTCCGATAATAATATTTTTTTTAAGAGAAAATATATCGATATATTGATATTTTGATATATTTCCGACATCCCTATTAAAAGGTAAAATATACTTAAAACCTACATATTGTCCTATTGAATGTAAAATCCTATTAAAACAAAGTTTATAAAATATTTGCACATCTATATCCCAGGAAGTAGTTAAATATTAACCACTACATCAAATTTCTTAATCCACAGTGCACTTCATTCGCCGTGATTACAAAACAAACGCACTATTAATTCGATTCGTATCTGACAACGAGTATTTGTTTGTTCAACCATGCGTGGGCAGGCTTATAACTCAATTAGATGCTAATTCGATCATCATTAGTGGACAATGCAACGCTTGCATTCAAAATGCAATCAGCACTTGATGCGAGAATAATTTGAATATTGTAAATTATCAATCTATATGCCGATAGCATTAAGACGCCATCAGGGAGACGGCTTATAGGTGTCGCAATCTGGGCTTTAGCTTGGACGGCAGCTGCACTGAGAAGTTCCTGCTGCGACAGGTTCGTGTCTTAAGTCTTTCGTCTTTCTTGGAATTAACATGTCAGGCACGTATGCGGTCGAACAACAATCCCCAACTCCATCCCCAGTCTCGATGTTGCGGCAGTCCCGGAGCGTCTTTTCGATTCTTCCTTGCCACCAAGGTCGCTGCAGCCTGAACGCACTTGAACCTGCCGTAATTACCAAAGGGAGAAAAACTAGGAATTTTAACTGAAATGAAAAGTAAAAAAAAACTGAACATACCTTTTGAAAATAATGTTGAATACAAGTATTAAAAAGCCTGGCGAATTAACCCTTTTTCTTTTCCTGTGCACCCATCCTGGATCTGGCCCTCAAAATTGGCCATTGAACTTGCTACAAAACTTGTTTCCCTCGAAATCTTATCCGCTTTCAGTATTCATTTTGTGGCAGCTGGTGCTGCGGCTTTTGTGGTTAAGAGTAGCAGTTATCTGCCATTGGATTTGACCGGATTGTAATGGTAAACATTTTGCATACCAAAGGCATTAACGTCTTTCGGCTTTGACCTTGCCCAATCCGATGATCGCGTAGGTGAATAGAGCTCCGCAGGGAGCTGGGACCGACCGCCTTTGTATCTGTGTCTTAATGTGTGCGGCATGCTCGACTTGGCAAGTGGCAAGGGCAATCAATTGTGGCAGACACTAAGACACCAACAAAAGTCCGCTCCAAATGCAACCGACCAGAAACTCGCCCAAATAATAAGAATATATACAGTATATAGAACGCGTATCTGTATCTGGGCTTGTGGCCCCTCGCTCGTTATTTAATTTCCAGCCAAGCTCTTTAATTAGCTGTTAACTTCCGCAACATTTGCGCCAAAGAGTGCTATTCCGTTCAGCTTGTCTCGCCAAAAACTGAAACAAAAAAAAAAACATCCAAAATACAAGCAACTCCCATCCAAGTATTCGCTGTGGGTGCGTTCAATGGCTGAAAGTGATTTATGAACGCCTGCTGAGCAACGAAGTTCCATAAATATTTACGGCAATTGTTTCGACTTCGATTTTCTAAGCCATTTTAGGCTTTAATTAGAAGCGCTTAGCGCCATTCAAGTACTGGGAACTAGTCACTCCGAGTCGGAAACGGGGCTCAGCCCAAAATCTAAATCAAAAGTTTCCATTTCCATTCGCTGCAGTGACCAAGTGCTGACAGGAAGTTCTCATCTCGGTTCTAGCCATGAATTATGACCAAGTTTGTCTGCGAACTGGGCAACTGGTGAGCGAGTGAGTTAGTGAGCGAAGCGAGCTGGAAACTTCGTTATAGTCATCGGATTAGAAAGGCAAAATCCTGCGCCCCTTTAAGGTCACGTTCTCAATGGATCGAGAACCCGTTCCCAGTCACTTCCTCCTTTGTAACAGGATCCCTGTCCATGTGTTGGCCATTAAGCGGTGATTCTGATTCTGGTGCTGAAAATTCTGGTTCTCGGATCAGATCGGATAGGGACTGATGCTACCTCGGTGACCTTGAGACGAGAGTGCAAAAAATCTTTTCAGATGCTCGGCGTCGCATTCGCATCTCCGTGTAGGTTGCAATTAAGCTGAACTTGTTATGGTCGCCGGTTTCACTTCGGTTGCTCACCGCACAGTTGGCTTTATGACCGAAAAAAATGTGTGTATTAACGTAAACGAACCTCCGCCCCATCTGTCTAACACAAATACGTGTTGTCTCTCGTACCATAACTTTCAGCTAATCGTTCCGAAAGTTGTTATAAATTTGTCAGTTAAATTCATTACATCAATTGGATCCATTGTCAGGGGCGTAATTAGATATTGATGAATACGCCTTTGTGGGTGGTTCCCTCATCCAATGGAGTTGTTAGGCTGAGTTGAAGAGCATGGCTCTTAAAACAATCAGTGCCTTTAAATATAAACAACCAAGACAATTACTAGAGTTTAAGGGAACTAAATACTTGACTTTGACTTTTGACATTTTTATTTTGTTTATTTCATCACCGGCTTACCTTACTGCCTTACTTTTAGCGGAGTTCCTTAGTATAGAGTATGACACACTGCGGCTTGGCGAATTTTACTTTCATTTGTCATATTTGATTGTTTATTTATTTGGGAATATTTTGTATCAGTTCGGTTTATACAAGTGCTAAAGCGCCCCGAGGTTTAATGAACTGTTGGCGGATTTGTTTTTGGAGAAAACCATTGAGGCTGAATCACCTGCCGATGATTATTGTTTTTTCTACCATTTTTTGGATTTTTTTTTTAGCATTTACCTTGCGGTTGCCGGTGGCGAATCATTTTGTATGCCATGGGCGAAATCGTAGCAGGCAGCTGCACAAAAACTTCAACAGCCCGATATTATTTATGACTGCAGTCGATCGAATTTTAACAAGGTTCTAGCCACATCCTAGTTGCCTATGCTGTAATAACTTTAAGTTATTTACGTTTTGTGTTTCTTCTTCTGAGCTTGTGGAACAGCAAAAGAACATCAGCGAATGTGTGCAATCAAAGGCTTAACATTCTTAAGTGATTTTCGCTAAAAAAAAGTTGCTATTAGAGTTTAGTGCTAAGCTGCTTAGGCGGCGAATAGAATTTCCAGTTCTCCCCGCCCGTAGAGTCCGGCGGAAACTCGACTCATCTGTGGCAGACGTTTATCATCTCTGCTCTAGCTCTCGGCTTTTAATTATCGGATGGCAATAAACGATTTCAGTTCAAGTTGTTAATGGCATTTCATTATGATTGCCAGAGCTCTGGCTGAAAACTATACATAGTTTTGAAAGTTGAAATACTTGAGTCGAATCAAATGGTTGTTGTACACGTACACAACGCATCTTGTACGGGTATCTTCCGGTTTTTGTTCGATTTATGATTATTATTAATAATTGAATTTCTATTTGTTCGACGAGCAGCGAACACAGACCAGCATCTTTTGTGGCTCAGTTTCGCTTGCAGGGCTTTCGGCTTAATTTAATGGAATCAACAATGGAAACCGTTGGTTGATCGATTGTCTAATTTGTCAGCCAAAGGATTAGTACGAAGATCAACATTAATAAGCCATTAAACGCGGCACGAACAAGGTTTTGGACCCCCCAACGCCCCTGAATCGCGAAAGGGTGCAGCAATGGCGTTTGATTGATGAAACTCTGGTTATCTGATCGATTTTCACACTTTTTGGTCGAATCCACTTCTATTTTTGGTTCAACTCCGCTCGATTGCGTTCTTTCCCTGACAATTTTTCGACTGCCCGCTAAGGTCATTCAACAGCCCCAATAAAAGCAAATTGAAAACGCTTCGAGTTTTGATTTGGGAAGTTCTTTTTGCACGTCCAGCGATCGATCGATTGATATACGGCATTCGAGGTCATCGCATCTTAAAATACTTCAAACGGTAGCAAAAGTGCAAGGCAAAATAAACGAGATATTTTGGCACGCTCTTAGAAATTGGAAGCTTTTCAAAAGGTCTCTAAACTTGAAGCTATAATTTTTAAGGTTTATAAAATCGTTTATATTATAAATTAATTTCAACAACTAAATTTAGGTAGGTATTTAATTACGGGTTTCAAAAGGATGAGGTTTAAAATTTGTTACATGATTTTCATTTAAGGACACTGGACTTATTAATTGTTGAGTCAATATTTTGGACAGCTTAACTTTTATATCTGAGCGATGCAATAATATGAATTTATAATCGTAACCTGCAATAAATTGGAATCGGAATTATTTATGATTCGTCGAGGAAAGTAATGATAAATTGGAATTTACACGATTATTAATATTGTTCTTATGATTGGGCTAAAGCAACATAAATTTTAACTTAACTTTTAATAATTTATAAGCTCTGATTGCTATACCATTTTTAGCTCTAGTTCTCTTGCGTAAAAAAAGAAGCTTAAATATTTGTAGAGTTTCTAGTTTTAAATTTTTTACCAAATGTAACTTTGACGTTTTATTACTTCTTTTAAAATATTTTCACACCTCTTGGCGCCCAAGCTCTCTGTAAACATTCAAGGTCGTGCCACTGCTATTTTTGGCACAGACAAAATTATGGCAATTTTTAAGCCAATTTCCGAGCCTCCTCTGCAGCTCACGGAACACAAACAGCAAACCGTCAACACCGCATTAAGGGCGGGGGAAGTAGCTACCAAATCGATTAGTTGGCTAATTGTAAACACGCACGAAGTGGCTAGGGGCACAGCTCTAGTTCCGATTGCCAAGTACAGGTTGCCCGCTCAGGCCCGGCTTGGCCTGGTCCGGTCTGGTGGAGCCACCAAAAGGCTGCAATGCGCATGCGTAGCAGACCCGAGTGCTTCAACGTTCAGCGTCGGCCGTCGACCGTCGCCCGCCGACGTCTTCGGTGGCTGCGGCAGACGGCGGCAGCGGACGCTCTTATAAATACGCCGGGCGTTGGCGCAGTTTTTGTTATTTGAACTTCAAATCTGCTCGAGTTCGCATCGTCGCGTACTCGGCCGCTAGCGAAACGCGCGCGTTTTCTTAGCGTTTCTTCCCGCCTCCCCGCCGCGTGCTTTGTGTGTGTGGTCGCTTACAAGTGGGTAGTTGTTGCCATAAACAGTAACCAAGTGACTCCTATATAGAACAATCTCAAAAAAGCAGATGTAAATAAATGTTCGAAAATATATTTTAGGTGCTGACGCAAGTTGTTGATCTGATCGCTGATCCAATCCGTTGCTGTTGTCGCGTTGTTGCATCACGAATCGAGAACGAAGATGGTGAGTGTGTCGAGTTGTTGTGGAGCAGTGTGGACGAAATCAGAGTGCACCAGTTGCACATAGTAGTAGTACACATATGTATATGAACAATCAAGCCATAACTTTTGGCTAGAATCCCAGAAATATTCACACTTTTTTGAGGTGCAGTTGCCAGTTGCAAGCTGTAAGTTGCAGCTTAGGAGCTCAGCATCTTAGCATCTGGCCTGGCATCCCATGAGTTGTCTGTCAAACAAAATTGCCCAACGCCAAAGAGTTTCTAAAAAGCGACAGCGACGAAAAACAAACAAACAGAAACTGAAACCAAAACCGAAACGACTCTGTGCAGCGAGTGGAGGAGTCGCATGGTAAATTTGCATAAATGGCGCTACAATTGAAGAAAATCGGTACAAGTACAAATAAAATAACAGAAAACAGCTGGCAGCAGTCATCAGTCAGCGACGAAGTTAGAGACATGCACAGAAAGAATGTGGAAAGATTTTTCCATTTTTAACAAATTTTTTATCATCTGAGATAGTATGATTTAAAGTTTAAAATATAGGTTGAATCAGAAAAGTTATCCTCTAAGGTTTATTTTTATTTAGAAAGTCCGAAAAATTTAGGTTAAACATATAGCTACGTTTTATTGACAATATAATATAAATTGATTAATGAATTAATAAAATTTAATATTTTGATGTGCCGTTATGCGACAGATATATTAAAGTATGATATACAGAGACAATAAACATTGAAGGCCAGGGGCCAGTCTCGTCAGGAAAATTTAAATACAACGCTCAACTATGGTTTATGGTTTTAAAAGGTTTCTTAAACTCTTAAACCATATATTGAAGAATTCTTCAAGTTGATGAATGTCATTCCTACATCATATTTATAATTATAAAAACAAAGTCTGTTGACTTTTACTTACACCTAAATTTAAGCCATAAAGAGTGCTAATGAATTTATTGTTTATTTTCGAAAATCTCAAAAGATCTTAATGGAAACTCTGAAAATTGCTCAGTGTAGACCTGCCACAACTTCAACTGCATTGAGTGACTCCGCTGACTCTGAATACGATTCCGCTGCCAATGACTGACTCACTGGAGGGCGACTCCGTGGCGGCGACCGGAAACGCTCATAACCGACCGGGCCGCTTCGCTCCGCCCTGCGCGGCTTCAGATGGCTCTTCTTCACGCATGCGCGTGTTCTTGGCCATTTCAAGAGCGGCGGCCCAAACGGGCCAAGAGATTTGGCAATAGGCTTTTGGCAGCTTTGGGTGCTTGGGTGCTTTGGCTGAGCGCAAGGCTGACTTTGGGCTTGAATGAGTCAATGCGCACAGAACTAACAACCAGTGTTGAGCAAACGCAATTAACGCCAGCCGTAGAAACTGATTTCCCCCAAGGTCGTCACACTACATATAAATAGATGTGCTGGCTTTCTGGTATTATGAGATTTCACACGCCTCAATTGTGACAATTAACGCCACCCGTTTGCGGCATTTGTCGCCCGGATTGTCTAAGGTTTTTTCTCTGACTTTTGTCCCAAGCCAAGGAAAATGACTCGACATGATCGGGTCAGATTCTGGGCGCACCTCGAGCGCCAAACCTCACCCACTTTACACACTTTACACACAAAAAAGAATTATGCCACGAGAGATGACGCGGCAAATTCAGTTTTGTGTTTTGTAATAGGTAGGTGCTTTAATTGCGAGCTTGTAAGTCAGTGTGTTTGTCTGGTGAAACTCTCAATTAAGGTCAGCAGGAAAACGGATATGTATATCTTAATTCGCCCAATCCATGTTTAATTTGGATTACCAAAAAGCTCTCGGAAATTCTTTCGCAAATTGTAGATCGGAGATCAAGTTTGCCTTTTATGGCTAGTTCTAAATGAATAAGTATAATGACAAAGTTCGTATACGCCTTCACAGAGAGGGAATTATTCATGTTATGCGACACCTGAATCACTGCCATAAAAAAGATTTCAACACAAAAACTTAATTGGGTTCTGACTTTAATGGAGACACACACATCAGCCCCACTTGTCAACTAATAACGTCACAGAAATCAACCCCAAAATTATACACTATTCTTATTTTCGGCAAGAGTGAGAACTAGTTTGCGTTGAGGAGGCTGTGGATCTTGCCACAAGTTGAACGAAGATTGGCAAATCCGCTAAAATTTAAGGCTCGACAGCTGACAAGCGGCTTGAGTGGGGTGAGCAAGTGCCTGACGAGTGGCATTTTTCCATGACTATTTATCAAACGAGACACTCTGCCATGTCAAACACATAATGAATAAACCTCAATTCGAATCATAAGTCCATAAGAACATTGCGTGGGCGGCTCTAAACTATTTCCATTTGATTGAGATGATCTCGCGGATTGGTGCGGTTTTTGTGAAATATTTTTTATTGTTTATTCTTTGTATAAAATTCTTTGTTTCTGTTGTCTCGATTCAATTAAGGCTTTATTTTAATGACCAGTCTTTAACGACTTGAAGCGCACTCGTAGAAGCCGTTTAAGTTTATTTTTAGGTTTATTTCGCTCAGATTTATGTGTTTCAATTTGAGAAATGGAATTCCGGGTTCCAAAGGCTGCTTTTCAGCCGAGAGATTGCATAGAGTCAGAGCCCAGCCCTCCTACCCCCTAAGTCTGTTATCTATGGCTCAATTAGTGCGCGGCGAATTGATAGTTTTGAATTTACATAAATTCGATCGTCGAGGGGAAATTCCGAATTAATTAGATTTTAGCAACTTCTCGGGTTTATCGAACTGGTCGGCGTGACTCTGCCATCAAGAGAGGCTACCAATGTTTTGACCAGCCACGAGGCCGTTAACACTTGCCAGCTATTTAGAACAGTTCTGGGCGGTCCAGACGAGATTCTTGGCTCGATTAACCGTCCAATGTCGAGTGGCAGATGCGATGACCTTGGGGGTAAACAACTGCTACTAGTTTGTCTTTATTTTTCTCATTTATTGCAATCTCATGCGGGCTGCGGCTAGGCTGGTCTCCTCCACCTCTCAAAATAATCAATCAACGCCAGCAATTAGCGCACAAAAATGCGTTTAATTTGGCTCTCAGCTGGTCAATCAATAATGTGCGTAAAACGCCATCGTTGAACGTGACCCAATTGGCGCGTGCAAAAGTGTTGGCGAATTCTTTGCCAAAAGCCGCAGTCGCAGCCGGTGGTGTGAAAAAAGCTGACACAGCCATTTGCAAAATTGTCGAGCCTTAATTATACGCGGAAATTTTCGGCGCTAGTCCGACACTGAAAATCGCCATAAACGGCCGAGGCCCACGTAGATATTGTCCGTCACTCGGCTAAATACAAACATCCAAGACTTTGATTTAAGACCATTAAGGTTTTCGACAGCCAATCGCTTTGGCTTTATGATCGCTAAGTGATATCTCTTTCTGATTTTTAATTGCAGCAGCTTCGTGTGTTTGGCCTGGCTTTGATCGCCCTAAGCCAGAGCTACTTTGCCCTGGCCCAGGTGAGTGTTTTGAGAAGTCATTAATATAGGGATACTTAGCTAATTGAATCGTCCGCAGGGCTATGACTATCCCCAGCCGAAGGTGCCCTTCACCGACGGGTACTCGTACCCGCAGCCAGCGATTCCATTCCCGCCGCCTGCTCCGAAGGTGACCAGTGGATACTCCTACCCGAAGCCAGCCGTTCCCTTCCCAGCACCTGAGCAGCCCAAGTACACGCCTCCGGTGCAGCAGATCATTCCCCAGGAGCCCAAGCTGCAGGGTTACTCCTACCCGAAGCCTGCCCTCCCATTCCCACCACCGCTGCCGAAGCAGGGTTATGAATACCCCAAGCCTGCTGTGCCTTTCCCACCACCGACGAACCCACCACCTCAGCCGAAGCAGGGCTATGATTATCCCAAGCCCGTCGTTCCATTCCCACCACCAACGGCTCCACCGCAGAAGTACTTGCCTCCTGTGACCACCACGACGCCGCCTCCACCACCACCACCCAAATACCTGCCTCCACCGCAGGTGAAGCAGGGCTACGATTACCCAAAACCAGCCATTCCATTCCCTCCACCTACGGCTCCGCCCCAGAAGTACTTGCCGCCCGTGACCACCACCACGCCGCCGCCACCTCCGCCGCCACCAAAGTACCTGCCACCAGCTCAGCCGAAGCAGGGATACGATTACCCTAAGCCAGCCATTCCGTTCCCACCACCAACGAATCCACCACAGAAATACTTGCCCCCCGTTGTTCCTACCATTCCACCCACTCCTAAATACATTCCTCCCCCAACCCCCACCTACATTCCTCCTCCCCAGCCCAAGCAGGGGTATGATTACCCCAAGCCCGCTATCCAATTCCCCCCTCCTACCAATCCTCCTCAGAAATACCTGCCACCTGTTGTTCCCACGAGCCCACCCACTCCCAAGTACATTCCTCCCCCAACTCCTACATACATTCCTCCTCCCCAACCCAAGCAGGGCTATGATTATCCCAAACCCGCCATCCCGTTCCCTCCTCCCACTGCCCCACCACAGAAGTACTTGCCCCCTGTAACTACCACGACGCCACCTCCACCACCACCCCCCAAATACCTGCCCCCACCGCAGGTGAAGCAGGGCTACGACTACCCCAAACCAGCCATTCCGTTCCCACCACCAACGAACCCACCACAGAAATACTTGCCCCCGGTTGTACCGACGTCGCCACCGCAGCCCAAGTACTTGCCTCCCGTGAAGCCAACGACCCCACCAACACCCAAGTACTTGCCCCCTCCCCAAACCAAGCAGGGTTATGACTACCCAAAGCCAGCCATTCCATTCCCACCACCAACTAACCCCCCACAGAAATACTTGCCACCTGTGCCGGTCACTAAGCCACCACAGCCAAAATACTTGCCACCTGTGCAGGCTACCAATCCACCACAGCCCAAGTACTTGCCACCTCCTCAGGTCAAGCAGGGTTATGATTACCCGAAACCCGCCATTCCATTCCCTCCTCCCACTGCTCCACCACAGAAGTACCTGCCCCCTGTGACCACCACATTGGCGCCGGCACCGAAGTATCTGCCACCTGTGAAGCCCACAAATCCTCCCCAGCCCAAGTACTTGCCACCTCCCCAACCTAAGCAGGGATATGACTATCCCAAGCCCGCCATTCCCTTCCCACCACCAACTGCACCACCCCAGAAGTACTTGCCGCCCGTGACCACCACGCCGCCACCACCTCCTCCTCCGCCAAAGTACCTGCCCCCCGCTCAGCCCAAGCTGGGATACGACTATCCCAAGCCCGCCATTCCATTCCCAGCACCCACGAACCCTCCACAGAAGTATCTGCCACCCGTGGTTCCTACCAGTCCGCCTACCAGTCCGCCCAAGTATCTGCCGCCCCCGCAGGTGAAGCAGGGTTACGACTACCCCAAGCCAGTCATCCCCTTCCCCCCGCCCGCGCCCAAGAGCGACGGGTACTCCTACCCCAAGCCGGCGATCGCGTTCGATTTCTAATCCTCGCCAGGAAGTACCCATCGCCCATCACTGATTAAATGACACAATTGCCTCTGTGTGCGCATAGTGATCCTTAGGAACGTACGAAATTGAATAATTGTAATTAACTGTAATAATTTAATTTAATGCCTATTTTTAATGATGTACCAGGGACCTTGCCCGCGGACTCTCTCCAATCGAACTTAGTCATTAAAATATGTTTTAAATTTATGTTTTAACGATTACGCAATGCTGCCGAATTAAACGAAACACTGTGAATGTTAAAATTGTATTCATTACTGTGGGATGTGATTAGGGGAAGTATTATATACACCGTTTAATAATAATGTTTTATTGAAACTCCATAAAATTAAAGCTGACACTCAAAATGGTGCCTATACTATAAAATGTATTATATAGCTTGTGTATACATTTTAAAAAATTAATGTCAGTAATTTTCTGATTTTCGTGTTTCTCCTGGATAAGCTGAAATTCATTTAAAGTTTAAACTATAAAGCTTATGGTTTTAAGTAAGCAAAAGTTGGTCTCAAGAAAATTGTCTTATCCAAAATACAATTGCTTGCTTAAATGTATTATAAGAGAAAACCGGTAAAGAATTTCGCAATAATTATTTCAAAATATAATAACCAGTTCAAATAACATCCTGTTGCCAGCTTAATTTGCATTTTAATATCCAGGTGATTACCGACATCGGCTGCTTACAAAAATATGCAAATAATAATAATAATATGTAATTGCAAAATAAATAAGCATCGACAGTTCCGGCAAGGATTAAGTCAACTTTAAATGACATTTAATCAATTTACCGATTTCGCCAAGTAAACTAAATTTAACCTTTATTTTTTAATAATATTTAATCTTTCATTTAACAAAATCTCACATAATCTACGGATCTGATTTATCTTTCAAGAAAAACATCCGGAAAGTATGCAAAGACTTCAAACAGCTTAAAAGCCCAAGAGCATGCTACATCTCAAAATATTTAAACAACTTTGAACTTGAAAATTAAGAAGACAATGCACTTGCCCACAAATAAAATTAAATTCAAGCCATTAAACAAGTTTCCGCATCTTTAAACTGAACTAGTTTCTTCTCCACCGAATCTCCGCTTGACGACAGCTTGCTTTTTAAGCTTTATTAATTTTATAGACTCTCTTTGTTATGAAACAAAAAAGAGTGCTACTTGTTGGATATACGCTTTTCCTGTTTCCAGAATATTAATTAATCAGAAGGCGGGATTAATTTTCAAGATTTTTATTCATTTCGTTCCCTAACAATTTTCGGTAACAAGTGACTGAAAAACCCGGGAGCCAAAAACGAGATTTGGTCCGGTTTGTTTTTATGGGAGCCTCAACGGCAAATCCGTTTAGTAGCGGTGACGGCGGAGGACGCGACGACGCTGGGTCTTGTAGCGGTATCCCTCGCTGGCGGAGAAGGAGTGAGCGGGAGCAGAGGCGGCGGTCTCGTAAGACTCTACGGGGGCAGAGTACTCAGCAGCTGGGGCGGAGTAGGACACAGCTGGGGCAGAGGCAGCGGCGGTGTAGGTGGCAGCGGGAGCAGAGTAGCTCTGGGCAGAGTAGCCCTGGGCAGGAGCGGCGTAGGACACAGCTGGGGCGGAAGCGGCAGCGGAGTAGGTGGCAGCGGGAGCAGAGTAGCTCTGGGCAGGAGCGGCGTAGGACACAGCTGGGGCGGAAGCGGCAGCGGTGTAGGTGGCAGCGGGAGCAGAGTAGCTCTGGGCAGGAGCGGCGTAGGACACAGCTGGGGCAGAAGCAGCAGCGGTGTAGGAAGGAGCAGGAGCCGAGTAGACTGGGGCCGGGGCAGAGGCTGCTGGGGGCAGGTACTCGTTGGAGGGCAGGTGGCTCACATCACGACGGTGGCGGCGCAGAACGCGACGACGCTGGGTCTTGTAACGGTATCCATCGTTCGACGAGAAGCTGTGAGCGGGCTCAGAGGCAGCGGTCTCATAGGACTCCCCAGCGGGGGCAGAGTAGGACACGGCAGGAGCGGAAGCGGCGGCGGTGTAAGAGGGAGCAGGAGCCGAGTAGGACACAGCTGGGGCAGAAGCGGCGGCGGTGTAGCTGGGAGCAGGAGCAGAGTAGACTGGAGCAGGGGCAGAGGCTGCTGGGGGCAGGTACTCAGAGCTGGGAGCAGAAGCGGCACCCTGGACAGGGGGCAGGTACTCGCTGGATGGCAGGTGGCTTACATCACGACGGTGGCGGCGCACAACGCGACGACGCTGGGTCTTGTAGCGGTATCCCTCGCTGGCGGAGAAGGTGTGGGCAGGAGCAGAAGCAGCGGTCTCGTAGCTCTCAGCAGGGGCAGAGTATTCAGCAGCAGGAGCAGAGTAGGACACAGCTGGGGCGGAAGCGGCAGCGGTGTAGGTGGCAGCAGGAGCAGAGTAGCTCTGGGCAGGAGCGGCGTAGGACACAGCTGGGGCAGAAGCGGCAGCAGTGTAGGTGGCAGCTGGGGCAGAGTAGCTCTGGGCAGGAGCGGCGTAGGACACAGCTGGGGCCGAAGCGGCAGCGGTGTAGGTGGCAGCTGGGGCAGAGTAGCTCTGGGCAGGAGCGGCGTAGGACACAGCTGGGGCAGAAGCGGCAGCGGTGTAGGTGGCAGCTGGGGCAGAGTAGCTCTGGGCAGGAGCGGCGTAGGAAACAGCTGGGGCAGAAGCGGCAGCGGTGTAGGTGGCAGCTGGGGCAGAGTAGCTCTGAGCAGGAGCCGAGTAGCTCACGGCCGGAGCAGAAGCGGCAGCGGTGTAGGTGGCAGCGGGAGCAGAGTAGGAGACAGCTGGAGCCGAAGCGGCAACCGAGTAGCTGGACTCAGCCGGGGCCGAGTAGGAGGCCACCGGAGCGGAGGCGGCGCCGTAAGAGGGCGGCAGGTACTGGTTGGAGGGCAGGTGGCTGACGTCAGCGGCCACAGCGGCGACAAGGGCGCAGATCAACAAGAGTTTCTGCAATGAATCGAAGAAAAAGTCAAGGTATCGGTTAGGTATCCCGAGGGCGGTGAAATCCTTGCTTATCGTACCATGTTGCTGGGTGCTCGGCTGTCCAGTTGGTCGGAGAAGAACTCAAGTGGAAGTGATGGTTTGTCCAAAGTTCTGCTGCTTTTTATATGATTCTATTAATCCGGCCTGCGGTAGGAAATTTGCATTTGGTGTTTTTAATTTATGAATTTGAATTTAGTGACACTGCCAAAACATATCCATTATAGTTTTTGCAATCAGGTTTGCAACGGGTTTATTTTTTTCAAAGCATGGGCACTAGAGTTCGGCTGCTTAGCAGCAAGCAGGCGGGATTCCCCCTTCGTTCCTGGGGCATAAATACCCCTCTTATTAGTCTATTATAAGCCCAGATCAGGTTCCATTGTCCCCCCAACCGCACTTTTTATTGGAAATTTCTCCCAGGCTGCGCGTGCCGCTTCTGATCAATTCCAGCTCAATTTGCTTAATTACCAGTAATTATATTTCGGCTTAATCAAGCGGGAGCAAGACAGGTGCTATCAACCCGAAATAAAAGCAGATGGGTGGCTGCCAACAACATCGTCATCGGTTCAGTGAGTTAATAAAAAAGCGAAATGATCGCTAAAAAGGCAATCGAGTTGCGGAAATAAATCACGATCTCAATGCCGAAACAATAGCTCTGGCTGTCTAAGCCGATTGTATTGTATGTCAAAGACCAGATGAAAACTTGAATACTAAGAATCGAATTAAGCATACTTATGGAAAATTACCTTTTGATCGGATCAGGTCTTAGGAAATGGATCCATTTCATATTCGAAAAAAATGAGAGATAAAATCGAATTATGGTTAGAAAGGTGTAGGATTAGTTCGATTTTAAAATAAACTTATTTATTTTGAGGCCATTTTTAATTTTTGCGGCTGTTTAATGATGTCTTTTTAATAACGTCCTAAAAAATATGTTGAAAGTTATTAATAATAACATTTTAAAGACTTGTCACACTTCTTGAGATGTTAATCTATTCCGGCATCTTTATTTCAGTTTAATTCAGTTTTTGGTTCATTTGTAAAGATTCTGTTGTAATTCAGAATAAGGTATACAAAATATTTTACCAGATACAACTCGGCATTTTTTGTATTGCCATAACATTTTAAATTAATCATAACGTATATACCCCGCTTACCGCTCACCTGAGAGGTGTTCAGACGTCCCACGCGTCTGATATTTTAAAGATGAACTGTGCGGAAGCTCTGACAGAAATAGATTTCAACTAGTTTTAAAAATAAATTCGGTTACAAATTATTTGGAGATGGTAAGCTTTGGTAATTGGATTATTTATTTTTTTAAATCCGTATGAATAATAATAATTTATATTCATAAACCATTTCTATTCAAATCCATTAAAAAAATCATAGAATATGAAATCGAATGAAAGTTGTTTGTTAAGGAAGATGATTGCCAAAGTGGACGCGCACAATCGAAACATCTATATTTTGTCATTGCAAACCACTTTTCAGCCCCGAAATAATAAGTCATTTTCAATTTATGGATTCGTTATCGTATTATTGTAATTTTCTGAATGAAAAGGTATGCTAATAGTAAAGTCTGCACTCCAAAATGAGCACAAATCGATCACCTAGTGAAGCCGTAATCGCATTGTTTAGTGGCGACGGACAACCACGCGCTTGTGGGTCTTGTAACGGTAGCCATCATCGGCCAGGACATGGGCGGGAGCCACCTCGACGGTGTTCTCCACGGGGGCCAGGTACTCGTTGGAAGGAGCATCCACTGGAGGCAGGTACTCGTTGGAGGGGAGCTCGTTGACATCACGACGGTGGCGACGGACAACCACGCGCTTGTGGGTCTTGTAACGGTAGCCATCATCAGCCAAGATGGTCTCAGGAGCAGCCTCAACAGGAGCCAAGTATTCGTTGGAAGGAGCAACTGGGGGCAGGTACTCGTTGGAGGGCAGCTCGTTCACATCGCGACGGTGGCGGCGGACAACCACGCGCTTGTGGGTCTTGTAACGGTAGCCATCATCAGCCAGGACGGTCTCGGGAGCGACCTCAACGGGAGCCAAGTATTCGTTGGAAGGAGCGGACACTGGGGGCAGGTACTCGTTGGAGGGCAGCTCGTTCACATCACGACGGTGGCGACGGTAGACAACGCGACGGTGGGTCTTGTAGCGGTATCCATCAGCAGCCAGCTCATGGGCGGGAGCAGCCTCAACCTCAACGGGAGCGGGGGCGGGGGCAGCAACCTGGATGGCAACTGGAGCGGGAGCAGGGGCAGCAATCTGGACTGGAGCGGCAACCTGAACTGGAGCGGGAGCTGGGGCAGAGTACTGAACAGGAGCAGGGGCGGCAATCTGGACTGGAGCCGGGGCAGCAACCTGGACTGGGGGCAGGTACTCGTTGGAGGGAGCAGCAGCCTGGACGGGGGGCAGGTACTCGTTGGAAGGCAGATGGCTCACATCACGACGGTGGCGACGGACAACCACGCGCTTGTGGGTCTTGTAACGGTAGCCATCATCGGCCAAGATGGTCTCGGGAGCAGCCTCAACAGGAGCCAAGTACTCGTTGGAAGGAGCAACTGGGGGCAGGTACTCGTTGGAGGGCAGCTCGTTGACATCGCGGCGGTGGCGGCGGACAACCACGCGCTTGTGGGTCTTGTAACGGTAGCCATCATCAGCCAAGATGGTCTCAGGAGCAGCAACAACCTCCTCGGTAGGGGGCAGGTACTCGTTGGAAGGAGCGGCAGCCTGGAAGGGGGGCAGGTACTCGTTGGAGAGCTCGTTCACATCACGACGGTGGCGACGGACAACCACGCGCTTGTGGGTCTTGTAACGGTAGCCATCATCGGCCAAGATGGTCTCAGGAGCAGCCTCAACAGGAGCCAAGTACTCGTTGGAAGGAGCAACTGGGGGCAGGTACTCGTTGGAGGGCAGCTCGTTGACATCGCGGCGGTGGCGACGGAGCACCACGCGCTTGTGAGTCTTGTAACGGTAACCATCATCGGCCAGCTCATGGGCAGGGGCAACCTCAGCCTGGACAGGGGGCAGGTACTCGTTGCTGGGGGCAACGGCGATCTGCGCCTCCTGGACGACGGGGGGCAGGTACTCGTTGGAGGGCAGGTGGCTGACATCAGCAGCCACGGCTGCGATCACGGCGAAAGCGACCAGGAAGAGTTTCTGAAAGATACAAAACGGATTAGTGGGGGTAGTCCTTCGGATGGTAACGGGTCGGCGGTCTTAGTGTGCCGGATTGGCGGATAGAAGGATGGCGGATGCCGGATCGTACCATCTTGTCCGTTGAGTTGCTTGTTCACAGCAGTAAAACCGAAACTCTAATGAGGAATACGAAGAACCTTTTGGTATTTATACAGATTCTCCGCTCTTCACTGCCCATTACAGACCACTGCTGTCACAGTCGGCGTCGCTGTCGACGCAGCCGTCAGCGTCTGTAAATTCGCACGGCTTTGGTTTTGGTGGCCACGAGTTCTAAGCCTCTCTTTTTGTGGCTCAAACGAAGATCGGCTAACACGAAGCCGCAGCCAACGATGCTTACATTCGCACAAGCCCCGGCTCGAGAGCAGTTGATGGCTAAAAAAAAAGTTTAATGGCCAAAATCGTTCGCACGGATTCTCTTAATTGTTTTATTTAATCATATGCAAAAGATTTGATGGACATCAACGTTTTGGACAAGTCGAGCGTTCGCACATACACTCTCAGATACAGATACAGCCCCAAATACAGATACAGATGCTCACACTGGCAAATGTATGCTGGCTCTGTAGTGTTTGTTTTGGTTGCCTTGTTTCATTCAAGCCGCCTCTGAAGTGCGCTCGATTTAAATTCAAATGATGAGTTATATGTTTCAATCAGATTCGATCGCTTCAATAGACTCGAATCCGCGATCGATCGCAGCAGCCTCTTCTGATTGTTGCGATGTCGTCGCCATTCATTAATCATCGAATAGGAACTGAATTTAAAGAAATATGATATAATTGTGTTTATGCCTAAGAATTGGTCAACCAAAAGGTGTAAACAATATGCCGGATATACCCGTGTTATGGACATGAGCCTCTTGTCGAATTTTAGAATTCAAAGTGAAGAATAAAATGGTTATAGTTTATGAAGTGACAAATAACAAATTAGAACTTTAAGCCTTTGCTTTGTTGTTGATTGTAAGGTCTTGTAACAAAAATATAATTCCTTGTGATATTCAATATTTTTCTCAAAGTCAGTCTCCCTCTTCAATACTTCCCATTCGATTAAGGTTGAATTCGTTCGAGTCTCTCTTTATAACCTAACTTGGATCCTAACATGAGTAATTTTTTGAACTTTTATAAAAACATAAATTATCAGCCATAAGCTAAGATATCCTTCAGGTGTTCCAATAAATAATTGAAAGTTGCTTGCTCCACTTAAAAACATACCTAATTAATTAATAATGTAAACCAGATTTGAGTATGTCACGGGTAATGTTTTTGGGTAATTTATGGCAGTTTATTTTGAGTATGTTGAAAGGGGATTTAAGCAGACTTCATTTATTGTGTTTTGTTCAAGAGAGGACGGAAGCCTATTAAGTCATACTCAATAGTTAATCTAAATATGATAGCCAAAGCAAACGAACGGCTGCAGCCAACTCTCAACTATGATTAATGATCTTCAAATGAAGAGGGAGTTCATTTTTTGGCAATACTGTGGCATCCATGCAACTAAGATCGCTAAGAACTAATTGGTTCCGTAAAAACGAAGGATAAACAATGACTAACCGTTGAAGCGGTTGATCGATTCCTCAGAATAGACAGTACAAACATGGCTAATTTTATTTTCGGATGGGTCAGATCAGAGCTGCGAAAGTCAAGGCCATGTTTTTTTCATTAGCTCTTTAATCGCTAGGGTAGCCCACAATTTAAAGCCAGAGATGGATGGATGGCTAAGATGGATGGTTGTCACACGCCAGAAATCGGCGCCTCATGCTCTGAGACGAAAGTAGTAGAACCACTTAAAAAAAGAAACTAAATGTCTTTATAGCACCAGTTTGGCTAATTAACTTGGGCCATAAAAGAGTTGGCAAGTATCAAATAACAACTATATGATTTTTCCTATTTTAAATGCATTAAGATTAAGAACCTTACAATTCTTGTTTTGTTTTCCATTGTTCGCCAGTGGTCGAAACAATGAGATAAATCATTTCATTTCCTGAGTGTGTGCAGCACTAAAAACCTACAGTCAAAAACTACTATATTAACGAGCCAAATTTATGACTTTGCCAATTTACATTTTAATCTCTGGCAGCATCGCTGGTTCTAGTTCTAGCATATTCTATTGTGGCTCTGGTCCAGTTGCCCATAAATGCTCTATACGCATGCTGCCAGTCAATAGATCACGATAGCCCGGCCAACGCATCATCTCGCCGGCTTTCGGGCTCACTATTATTATCCATCGGAGGCAGCAGTTCGGTGAGCCGGTCCGAACACTTAAAAGTTCCATTTCGGAATTGATGTTTATGCTGAAATCGCAAAATATGCAAATTAGTGAATGGCTGCTTTAGTCCCATCTTCGTCCCAATAGAATAATGGCAGCGGGGTACCCGGGACAAACAAAAAGTTCACAAAAACTATAATAATGGCCACAGACAATATAAAAATTGTCAGCTCTGCTTAAAAAAAACTTAAGCGTGGGCTCAAAATTAGCTCAACCTAAAAAAAACTAAAAAGAGAGGGCCAGGAGATCGTGCCGGCGAAAGGAGATGCTGTCTGATTGTGTTATCGGATAATGGATGAGACCCAGTGATTGGATCCCCAGATTCGGTATATATTCCCAAATTGGTCGGGGTTTGCATAATCCCACAGGCCGCGTCGCTCTGTCTAACAAAAACCATTTCGCGTTGCCTTAATTTATGCAAATTCTATTCTAATTAATATTATACACATTCGATTTTTTGCAAAGTCTATGAGCTAAGGAGGCGGCAACATCTTTCTCGTGGCTGCTGCTGTTGCCTTTTCTTTGTTTTAGTCTTTCTATTTTTTATATTTGGACGGCACACTCACACGCGCTAGTTAATTTAGTTTTCAATATACACTTAGTAAAGGTATTAATAATGTCCTGTATGTTTAATTATTTTATTTTATTTAAAATTTAATTACAATTCAAGTTCATGTTTTTATTCTTTAGTATTTTTACATAATTGACTAGTTTAAATACGGAAAGGTATTTTCTATTTAATTTCATGGATAGTCTTATCGATATAACCCACCTAATTATAACCTTCCTTATAGCTAAATTGTAAATATAAAATAATATATAATGTTATAAAAATATAATATTTATAAATATAAAATAATAAATATTCTACAAATTTTAAAGCATCCGTGTTCACGTCTATGTATCTAACAAAGGTTACAAACAAAATTAATTTTCATAATATTTTTTAAGAATTCAAACCTTAAGAGTAATATTAAGTCGTTGATAGAACATTAAAAATTAACTTGGCAAGTACACGTTTTAGTCTTTTATGATAAATTTAACTTTTGTTTCAGGCTATCAAAGCTCTTTTTTCGTTTAACTAAAATATATGATAAATCATTCTGGAAACCAGTTTCCAAATCGCCCCACTCTTCTGCTACGGCGGCGACTAGAAAGTGCCACCACCGCCATAGAGCGCATCTCCTAAGCTCAAAAAAGAAAAAATAAACAAAAAATAAATAAAGCTAAAAAGGCTAAAATAAAAACAAAAATACAGAAATTAAAGCAACAGGGCAGCTTAAGAAAAAAAAAACTCTCGCACACTTTTAACACACGGCTCGGGGCCAATAAATAATGTATACGCGTGGCAACCAAAATTTGGCAAGTTCCTTTCAATGTAATTCTGATTCTAATTCTGAGACCGATTCTTTTTGGGGCTGCCCGCGGCTATTCGAGTGGTTGATGGCTGATCGAATGGGGCTTTAAGTGCGATCGAAGCTCGAAATTATATTTTGGCGGTGGGCTGTCTAAAATTAATTATGTTACTGCCAAGTGCCGAAAATTAATCATCTCAGCGTGTGGAAGTCTTGTATTTCTTCGGCTATGTTTAACGGATGACGCAAGGCGGAGTTACAAGAGATCCGATATGATCTTATCCCAAAACTCTTTACAAGCCGCGTTCTAACTACAATTTGCCCATCTGGAGGCATTAAATTATAGCCACACAGAGAAAAAAAAACCTGTTGAGTTTTTTACAATTTATATGCAGGAGCTTTGCATAAAATTATAGTTCATTGGTAAATACTAATTTATTTAATATTAAATCTATTTTAATTTTAAAAAGAATGGACTTAAATATTTAAATTAAAATACAAATGAAACGAATATGGACGAGTTTTTTAACCTTAGGCCCAATACAGGGAACTGGTTAAAACCTTAAAAGAAAAGAAAATGTAACACACCGCACACAGTTTTCTCAGTGTAAAGGAAAATCATTAATGTTTGATGGCAATAATTGCCAGAAAGAAGCGGGTGGCTTGCAGATCATTGAACTCCGCCAGTCCGCGCTGAACCCTCTCACTCGCTTTGCATAGTGAACCAAAAGTCGGCGAAATTCGCACACCTCTTTCAAAATTTATTTCTGTAATCAACGGGCCAGGCTTGAATGCCCTAGCGGTCTCTGTTAATTTTATGCCGAGCTCCTCCACAGAGTTTGATACGAAAGTTGGCCATAAATTATTTTAATTTAATGCTACTTGTAGCCATTTTTTGTGGGCATTTGCGAGCTAATTTCGCCAGCCGAATTGCACTGATTTATGGCCGACGGCTAAGAGCTTTCTATTGGCCGGGGATTGGGTCAAAAGCCGTCGAGATCGGCCAAAATCCACTCTGACCTACAGTCGGCCAAAAATAGATACCCCGCCAACAATGGGCAGCCTACATTTGATTGAGGAGTCCGCTGGCAGATATTGACATTGATGTGCGAATTTAAACATTACCATGAGTGTGTGGGGCCGCCTTAGCCTGTCCAAAAATTAAACATGAAAAAAATAATAATCATAACAAAAAGCCGCGGATCGCTGTCCAACACACTCTCGATTTATAGATTGTTTGTCGGCCAGGTCACTAAAAAGCGAGAGATGAGCCAAAATGATTCCATTGAGCTCATGTTTTTACTGCCTCACCTCTATGCAGCTCGGACTGGCCAAGTTTTCTGCTCGGTGAAACAATAGATTTTGTTTTATTTTGATTTTAGTTGTCTGGATTTGCATGAGAATCGAATCTAAATGATTGCATAAATTTATGTCGACAATTCGTTTTTTCCATGTGTGTTTTTCTGTGCTCGGACCCTCTCTCGCTGCATATCTCTATTTTTATGGCAGTCTATTTCCTTTCAGATCTGAACTAGTTTTCTTACGTCTGCCCTAATAGCTTGTGTAAAATATTTCCATCAAATAGAAACCATACCAAAAATGGCTTGATTGTTTGCACGTGTGTTTATGTTAATAGAGTATCGAGAAGCAAATATATTTATAGAATTCAATAATAAACAAATGATTTTTAACCGAAGTCGTCTTATGTTGTGTAGTGTAAAATCTTGATTAAGCTTTGCCTCAAACTTTAATCTTTTTAAGCCAAAACCAATCAGCAAAGCTTAAAAAGTTGCTCTAAACGGAAACGGAAGTCAACTCCATTTTGGGAGCCTTAAAGTATGCCACACTTTTTGAAAACTCGCATTTTTTCTGCTCTTGTAGCAAATGCTGTTAAGTATAATTTATTTTTGAATATAAAACACCACTGTTTAACTAAAAATTTTAAAACTCAAAAGTGTGTTTGGGCTTCTGGTAATGATAGCCATCTTCACGATAGTCGGTGTCATATTCCGAGGCAGAAGTTCCTTGGTCCAAACTCTCCAGATTACCCCGCTTGGAGCTACTTCTGTGAGATCCAGGCTTCTTGGGAGCTGCCACATATTGTGACTGCCTATTACTGGCGGCGAACTGGGCCAGGAAACCGGGGTCCACATCGTCATCCGCATCATCATCATCGGGGACCAGAACCGATCTCTGATTTCCAGTTAACCGCACCAATGCCCGACCATGATGATGGCCGTGATGAAGCAGCACACTTGGATCACTGTAGAAGTTTCCGTCGATAATGTTCGTATCCTGTTGGTTTCCCACAGCGTTGGTTGGTCCCTGGAGTTGCGGCTGACCAAATACGTTTCCATTCAGGACATTCAAACCCTGGTAATTGGGTCGATTTGATGGCCGGCGATTGTTGAGGCGTGGCACTTGTCCCGCCGCCAACTGGGCTCCTACGGATGGGTCGAATAGTCCCTGACTGGGATCGGCAGCTCCTTGAAAAGGACCCTGTTGACCTGCTGCCAGTTGACCACCCACAGGATTGGGTCTACGATTCGGAGCAGGCTGTGCGGCTCCAAGTTGAGCACCCAATGCCGGATCAAAAGGGGCTCCGAACTGGCCATTGTTATTGAACTGATTCTGGAGAGGTCGTTGGGCCACAGGGCGTTGAGCTCCAAAGGAAGGATCAAAAGGACCTCCTGCTGCTAGTTGAGCTTGTCCTGCAGCAGGACGTTGAGCTCCGAAAGAAGGGTCGAAGGGAGCTCCTGCTGACACAGGAGCCTGTCCAGCGGCGGGAAGTTGAGCTCCAAATGAAGGGTCGAAGGGCGCTCCTGCTGACACAGGAGCCTGTCCAGCGGCGGGAAGTTGAGCTCCAAATGAAGGATCGACCTGGTTCTGATTGTTGAATCCTTGTCCTGCACCGAGCTGAGCACCTCCAAAGTTTTGATTGTTGAATCCTTGCCCTCCTGCCAATTGACCAGCTCCTGCCTGCTGTTGTCCTCCAGCTCCAGCAGCATTGCTCAGCTGAGCACCTAACGAGGGATCCACAAAAAAGTTAAGACGGTTGCCACCTCCGTATCCTCCGGCATATCCTGGCCGTGATGGTCTCTGACCATTGCCCAGAGTAGCCAGTTGGCCAGTCGGAGCAACAGGTCGATTTGCCGGATCGTTAGCGCCTGTGGGTGACAGAGCACTCGAGGGCAACTGAGCTCCGATTGGATCAGAGGGACCGCAGCCGGGTGGAGCATTTCCCGCCACAATGAACTGGCAGTTGGGTCTAGCTGCTGCGGGAGCCTGTGCTCCAATAGGTGCCTGAGCTCCAGTTGGGGCTTGAGCTCCTGCCGGATCCTGAGCGCCTGGCGGTGTGAGGGAGTTAAGCTCCGAGTCCTGAGATTGTACATTGATCTGGGTGTGGGTATGGAACACAGAGTTGGGGGCACTGGCGTACAGGATGCGGCTGGGACGACGGCGCCTGTAGACAACTTCACTGGCAGCTGGGGTAAAGAGGTCACGCCGACTGTAATCCGTACGGACATGCGGCTTGCTGTGCTTGTAGTGGATGTGCTGGGTCTTCACCTCTGGTTTCTTGTCGTAGTGATGGTAATGGTCAACCCGTTGCTTCTTTGGTTCCTCATGGTGGTGGTGCTCCTTGGGCTCCTCGTGCTCCTCCTCCTTGTGATAGACCACTCGTTCACTGGTATGCTTCTCCTTCTTATAGAATGGCTGTTCCTCCTCCTTCTCCTCATGTGGTGGTAGGTAGTGGGGCTCCTCATCCTCGTATTCCTTGGAGGTGTGATGATGATGCCGATGGTGCTTGTGATGTTTTACATGTGAAACATCAGCCCAACAGGCAACCGCCAAAAGGCTCAACAGCAGGACAATAAAGAGTTTCTAAAAGAAAAGGAAGGAAAAGTTTCTTCTAAATTCTGTATATCCAGCTTTTCAATTATTCCTCACCATTGCTCAAGTGTCAGTGATGCTGATCGACTCAAGATGCAACACTTTTATACCCTCTTTGGACTCATTTAGGTTGCATTGTCTTTGGACATCATCGAGCCCCCAAAATCGAATCAAAATCAGAGCCGAAACCAGTTGGCAACCGTGAGAAATCCATTCTGAGCTTTATGTGACCCATTTATTCTCATTGAATGTTCGCTATTTATATTCAAATGAATATTCTGAAGCACAACGAAAGTGAGCCGTAAATTTCTCAGATCAAAGAGTTAGAATTTATCGGCCTAAGTGCGTTGCACACGTCGCTTAGAACATATGGGTTCTTTGATCTTTTCTCCAGTGTTGAAGCTTTCTTGCAAAGCTTTCTAATATTTTGAACTTAGTAATAATTTTCAAGAATCTACTGAAAACAATTTCATGAACCTTTACAGCAACTACATTAACAATATTTGATAATTTCCATTTTTTTCATTTTGATAAACAACCAAACATTTTAAGAATTTTGTCCAATATCCATAAATTTCAATTTCATCAATTTCCTTTGACTTCGATAATTATATTTGTTTATTATTATTATAATTTATAAAAAGAAAGGAAACCTAAAGGCGAAGTTTATATACCCTTGCAGCTATGATCGGATAAAAATGGTAATGCGAATTTTATTATAAAACTAATTTATTAGAATACAAAATTTAAAAAAAGTCTCAAGCTTCAATCTTCAAAATTACCAAAGTTAGTATTTTTACCACATACCGTTTTCGATCGTTCAGTTAAATGACAGCTATAAGATATAGCCAGCCTATCGTTTTGGTAGTTTGGATTTGAAAATTTGGTAGTTCGGATCAACTGACCAAAAATATAATTTGTAGAAAGTTCTAACTTTCTATCTTCAAAAACACGAATGTTGGGTTCAATAATATCCAATAGTTCAGTTATATGGCAGATATAGGAAATAGCAGCCGGCCGTTCTGACTTATAGACTACGTACAAAGGAAATAAGTGTGTGCCAAGTTTGAAGTCAATAGCTTTAAAACTGAAAGACTAGTTTGCGTACAAACAGACAGACGGACATGTTCATTTCAACACAGGAGGTGATTCTGATTATGAATATATATACTTCTTTGCACAGCGTTGCACACTTTTGACCAAAATTATAATACCCTCTGCAAGGGTATAAAAAATTTCTTTGTCATCTTTATTCACTTAGTTTTTTCATTTTTCTACCAAAAAAGAACCTGTAAATCCAAATTAGGACTACCTGTGAATACAAATTACACATAGATACAGCTTCTACACATCATCCCGATGTATCTTCGCTAACAATTTTTTGGCGTTAAAAACTGGCCAACGAAAAATTGAAAAAAAAATTTCGTTATTTTTCAAAGGAGTAACTTTATAATTTTAGTCTAAAATACACACAAATTCGGTTTGTTAGACTTTTCCACACTTTTGATGCAGATCGAACAGTGATCATCTAATTCATAATTGGTTTTCCGTTTTGGAATCGGTTACGAAATGGTTTTAAAATTTCCGAAAAAAACATGAACGTTAGAATTTTTCCAAAAATTAAAAAAATATCAGAAACTTCCCGATCTTGTATCTTTGTTTAAAATATTTTTGAGTTGAGACTTTACCAGCTAAAATATGTTTCAATTTTCGGCCTAACTAGCTTATAGCTAAGTTATAACCAACTACATGACTTATTTTTATACCCTTGCAGAGGGTATTATAATTTTGTCCAAAAGTGTGCAACGCAGTGAAGGAGACATCTCCGACCCTATAAAGTATATATATTCTTGATCAGGATCACCTCCTGAGTTGATATGAGCATGTCCGTCTGTCCGTCTGTCCGTCTGTCTGTTTCTACGCAAACTAGTCTCTCAGTTTTAAAGCTATCGTCTTGAAACTTTGCACACACCCTTCTTTCCTTTGCACGCAGTATATAAGTCGGAACGGCCGGGATCGGCCGACTATATCCTATAGCTGCCATATAACTGATTGATCGGAAATGGTATAACTTTGGTGTTTTTAGAGTTAGAGAGTTCAAATTTGACATGAGAGCTATTTTTGGCAAAATAATACGACATGCCAAATTTCATAAGGATCGGCCGACTATATCCTATAGCTGCCATATAACTCAACGATCGGAAATGACCCAACTTTCGTGTTTTTGAAGATAGAAAGCTGGAATTTAGTACAGACTCTATTTTTGGTTAGTTGATCTAACCTACCAGATTTCATTAGGATCGGCCGACTATATCCTATAGCTGCCATATAACTGAACGATCGGAAATGACCCAACTTTTGTGTTTTTGAAGATAGAAAGCTGGAACTTGGTACAGATTATATTTTGATCCATCCTACCAAATTTCATAAGGATCGGCCAACTATATCCGATGTTTGCGATATATATCCGGTTTTAGCTGCAAGGGTATATAAACTTCGGCTCCGTCCGAAGTTAGCTTTCCTTTCTTGTTATTAATTATACCCTTGCAGAGGGTATTATAATTTTGGTCAAAAGTGTGCAACGCAGTGAAGGAGACATCTCCGACCCTATAAAGTATATATATTCTTGATCAGGATCACCTCCTGAGTTGATATGAGCATGTCCGTCTGTCCGTCTGTCCGTCTGTCTGTCCGTCTGTCTGTTTCTACGCAAACTAGTCTCTCAGTTTTAAAGCTATCGTCTTGAAACTTTGCACACACCCTTCTTTCCTTTGCACGCAGTATATAAGTCGGAACGGCCGGGATCGGCCGACTATATCCTATAGCTGCCATATAACTGATTGATCGGAAATGGTATAACTTTGGTGTTTTTAGAGTTAGAGAGTTCAAATTTGACATGAGAGCTATTTTTGGCAAAATAATACGACATGCCAAATTTCATAAGGATCGGCCGACTATATCCTATAGCTGCCATATAACTCAACGATCGGAAATGACCCAACTTTCGTGTTTTTGAAGATAGAAAGCTGGAATTTAGTACAGACTCTATTTTTGGTTAGTTGATCTAACCTACCAGATTTCATTAGGATCGGCCGACTATATCCTATAGCTGCCATATAACTGAACGATCGGAAATGACCCAACTTTTGTGTTTTTGAAGATAGAAAGCTGGAACTTGGTACAGATTATATTTTGATCCATCCTACCAAATTTCATAAGGATCGGCCAACTATATCCGATGTTTGCGATATATATCCGGTTTTAGCTGCAAGGGTATATAAACTTCGGCTCCGTCCGAAGTTAGCTTTCCTTTCTTGTTATTAATTATACCCTTGCAGAGGGTATTATAATTTTGGTCAAAAGTGTGCAACGCAGTGAAGGAGACATCTCCGACCCTATAAAGTATATATATTCTTGATCAGGATCACCTCCTGAGTTGATATGAGCATGTCCGTCTGTCCGTCTGTCCGTCTGTCTGTCCGTCTGTCTGTTTCTACGCAAACTAGTCTCTCAGTTTTAAAGCTATCGTCTTGAAACTTTGCACACACCCTTCTTTCCTTTGCACGCAGTATATAAGTCGGAACGGCCCGGATCGGCCGACTATATCCTATAGCTGCCATATAACTGATTGATCGGAAATGGTATAACTTTGTTGTTTTTAGAGTTAGAGAGTTCAAATTTGACATGAGAGCTATTTTTGGCAAAATAATACGACATGCCAAATTTCGTAAGGATCGGCCGACTATATCCTATAGCTGCCATATAACTGAACGATCGGAAATGACCCAACTTTGACCCAACTCGTGTTTTTGAAGATAGAAAGCTGGAACTTGGTACAGATTATATATTTGGTCAGTTGATCCGACCTACCAAATTTCATTAGGATCGGCCGACTATATCCTATAGCTGCCATATAACTGAACGATCGGAAATGGTACTTGGTAGAAATATCAACTTTCGTATTTTTGAAGATAGAAGTTTGGGATTTTTTTAGATTTTGTATTGTAAAAAATTGGATTATATATTCCTATTGCCATAAGGATCGGCCAACTATATCCGATGTTTGCGATATATATCCGGTTTTAACTGCAAGGGTATATAAACTTCGGCTCCGCCCGAAGTTAGCTTTCCTTTCTTGTTTATTGGTTGTACCCAAAGCTTGACCAAAATTTTTTTTTAGAAATTGTTGTAATTTTTTATCTAAGCTTAAAAATAAGCTTCATAAACAATATTTTGTTCTACCCATTTTCTAGATTTAATAGTTTAGAGATCTAGGAAGAAGGAAATATGATATGGAAATAATTGATTCGTATTGTTTAATGATGAAGTCATTTTGTTCATTCAAAAATATCTAAACACAATTAATAGACATCAAAAATGATTTAAGGTTATTGCACTTCTCATTCTTTGCATGCCTAATAGGTTTTTTGTGCCAAGTCTTGCTTAATTTTGCATTTCTGGCTTTGAAATGATAACGCATGTTTTGTGTATATATTTTCATTGCGATTTTATTGAGGTCGAGTCATCGAGTTCCATATTTAGGCACGGTGCTTGTAGACACGGCGACGAACGGTCTTGTACTTGTAGCCCTGGTTGCTGGCGGCGGGCTGGCTGTAATCGTATCCGGAGCGGGCGGGAGCTGGGGCGGAGGCAGCAGCCTCGAAAGCCGGGCCGGAAGCCTCGAAGGCGGGAGCTGGGGCAGGAGCAAAGGATTGGACTGGAGCGGGAGCTGGGGCGGGGGCGGCGAAGCTCTGGACGGGAGCAGAGGCAGCTACCTGGTGACGCACTGGAGCAGGGGGCACATAGGTCCTAGCGGGCGCAGGAGCAGACTCGGCAGCGTGGAAAACGGGAGCTGGAGCTGGGGCGGCCACTGGAGCTGGTGCGGGAGCGAAAGACTGAACAGGAGCAGAGGCAGCAGGAGCTGGGGGCACATAGGTCCTCACTGGAGCTGGGGCAGAGGCAGCAGGCTGGAAGACTGGAGCGGGAGCGGGAGCGGGAGCAGCGACTGGAGCGGGAGCAGGAGCAAAGGACTGAACCGGGGCAGAGGCGGCTGGTGCTGGTGGCACGTAGGTCCTCACGGGAGCCGGGGCAGAGGCAGCTGGAGCAGGTGCTGGGGGCACATAGGTCCTAACAGGAGCCGGAGCCGAGGCAGCCGGGTGGGGAGCAGAATAGGTCCTCACTGGGGCGGGAGCCGGGGCAGCATAGTTATAGCCGGATTCGGCGACGACGCAGCCAACCAGAGCCAAAGTCAAAATGAAGAATTTCTGTAAATAATATATTTCATATAACTTCCAAGCTTTCTGTTCAATTTTTTATCCACAGAGGAGCTGCTGGTCATATCCTTACCATTTTCGCAGATCTGTTTGCTTGCGGCTAGACAAATCGAATAATGTCTTTTGGCCATGGCTCCTGTACTTTTATACGATTTAGAGAATTCGCGGCCCAAACGGAAGTGCTGCATATCATAAATCAGCGGAACGGCAGAGCGTTTTTCGCGTCGAAAAATTTGTTTAATTAGGCAGATGCCTCGACCATCCGCACAGATGTGGCTTGTTTTTATCAGCTGTGGTAGGTAGATGGGTATGCCACGAAGTTTGGATTAAAAAACTCTAATTTTTTTCTGTCATTCGCTTGTAGATGCGGAATATAAATATTCATAAGAATACCCATATCACAGCATTATTGTTATGTTTTTTGTTTCTCCTTTTCGCCAAAACAAAATTATCGCAAACCTGATAGTTTAGTTTGGGGTCTTGATGTTACCGAGTTGAATGATAAAATACAGATTATTAATTTATCACAGCTGTGACTAAATCTAAACACTTGAACAGTAGCTGTTTCATTGGAGACTTATTTATAATGCAATCTAGGGCAAGACATATGCCACTTAACTGGTCATAAACTATCAGAATTAGCCATAAAGTTTATCCAGTTAGGCAGCACAGCAAAATGGCCTGCTCTAAAGCCAAAGCTAATGACTTAATGTTCTGCTAACTGGATTGATTGACTGTTTGATTAATTGCTTTCAGAGTCTCAAGATCACATTTGGATACTGAAGAGCTTGAATATTTTCTGGCCCGAAATGTTTCCTCATGGGGTTAATGGCTTCTAGAGCCCTTTTTTATTTAATACTTTTATTGGCGTTCACGCCCTCAGTGTCAGCTATGAAATAAATTTAAACACAAGTCTTTGTTTATCTATCTGCGCTACCTTTATTGTTTGTTTTTCAACCTATTCTTCACTAATTCTGGAATATGCAAATGGAGTAGAGTCAGACATGCAAATAAACTCATAAAAAGTATTTTTGCATTTCTTCTCTGCCATCGGGAATTAGCATTAGAATATAGTTGGCGGCGTGGGTTAAACCACAAACCTGTTGAGCAGCTTGTTTAGATTTTTCGATGATGATGATGCAGCTGCTCACTGGGGTGGCAGGTAGGTGTTACGTGGGGCAGAGACCACGGCTGGTGGTAGATAAGTGTTGCGTGGCACCGGGAGGGAGATCACCTGGGGAGCAGGATGAGCCACGGTAATCACTTGGGGAACTGGACGAGCTACAGAGATCACTTGGGGAACAGGGCGAGCCACAGAAACCACATGAGGAGCTGGACGAGCAACTGTCACCACTTGGGGGACAGGACGAGCCACTTGAATCACTTGCGGCACCACTCTGGGTGCTGGGGGCAGGTAAGTGCGCTGAGGCACCACCACTGGACGAGCCACCACCACTTGGGGATGCACCACTGGGCGTTGGATCACCTGAGGTACCACCTGGACTTGTGGAACCACCTGGACTTGAGGCACCACCTGGACTTGGGCCAACGGAGGCAAGTAGGTCCTGGACAGGGAGGTGGCACTGACCACTCCCAACAAAGTCACAGCCAAAACAGCAAAGATAGCGCGCTGTAATAAGATAAAACTTTCCATTAATCCTTTCCTCCGACTAATTAAATCCAGACCGCTCGACACCCACCATGTTGATCTCTCAAAGTCAAACAATTAAACTGTTTTTTTCAAGCGGAACATTTGGTATTTATAAGACATTTTGGGAGAATCCAAAATATATAAAATATATACTCGAAAATAATAATAAGATCTGTATATTTGCATACAAAAAGATTGCAAGAGTCTGGCGAAATGCGATTACCAGAGCGATCGTAAATAATCAGTAGCCCGGGCACAGGTTCCATGTCTGCCATAAAACAATTTTGGGTATCAATATGAGTTAGAATATTTCTGATTTGGTATTTGAAAGGAGCGGATCAAGTCCATAAAAGCCATTTAGTATGGCAGTAAACTTTGCCAAGATGCTTTCACTTTTTTATGACCCAACAAATAATTAGCGAGGTGATGAGTTGTTTTGCTACCAAGCCGCAGTTGAAATACCCTTAACTGGGATGGCTTTACTAATTTTTTGGGAAAAAAAGTTGTCTTTTTATCATTTACAAATATAGATATATTTAAATATAATACGATTAAGGGTAAAAGATTGTTATAATGATTTACCATACATATGTTTACCATAAGGTTTACCATTTAGAAATTCATAAACAAAATCTAAGCAACTGTAGGTGATGTGTACTTTTCAGAGAGGGTATTTTATAATGAAATGTAGGGCCTTAATTTCAGTAATTTGGAAAATTACAAGTCTGTCTGGCAAATATTATCAAAACGGGTTCTTAACTTTTGGGTCTCATTTGGATGTAACAAGTTCTAATGAACTCGTACCCACAAAAAAATTAAACAAATAAATCATTAGCAGGTATCCACAGTACATAAAACTGTCTACCTAATAGTTAAAATGTGTCAAAAACAAATACCCTAGATTTTAATCTACTTTTGAAACAAGTTTTTCTAACATACTTCTAACAATATCAAACAATAGAATGTTAGCAACAGAACCCTGTTAACGATATGTTAGCACATAGCAATGACACAAACCACCCCTGTATAGTTACTGTTAAATTATATTCCGAATTTATGTGCTCTTAATGCAGATTTATACGGCAAAAATTGAGAGTTTTCTGTATTTTTAATTAATTTTTGTTTTTTTTTTTGGGATTTTCGGTTTTTTTTTTGTTTTGTGCCTTTGGTGTGATTCTATTTAAAAATTTGCCAGGCTTGCGGTAAATTTTCGAACTTAGTTAGCTTACCGCGCTACGGTGGCTTCCGTTGCCAGCAGCTAACCAGCTAATCGATTCTACTCCCCTCAAAAATATACATAAAATATAAATCTCTCCTCTTTAAAGATTAATGTCTAGCATTAGGGGGTGTCTTGTGTTGCGTTTGATAAACGGTTTTCAAAATTATTTGCATGCACCGAGTGAGGCAGGAATTCGGTTTCGGTTTTGTCTAGGGTTCTCGATGATAAGTATGAATAGAACAAACTTGTTCTTAATTATGCCTAATGTGAAATTTATAAACACTAAATTCTATAGCATTCACTAAACTAATTGAACCGGTTTCGGGACTTGGGCTCTGCAATTTCCGATCCGATCCCCGTCATCCGACTGGATTCTAAGGCAACGCGTGTTTCGCCGTGCACATATTTGGCTATTTCAACAAAACGCTAAACAAATTCGTTCTTTAGATGATGTATGTATAAATACATACATATATGTGGTCCATATATGTACACCTTGTATATACAAAAATTAGCTTGAATGCAGATTTGAAACCCGTTTACCGTTGAGTGGCATTTACCCAAGATCCATCTAATTAAACCACAAGCAACAGTGATGTGTTTTGATTCGGGATGAAGTAATCAGAGCTAATCTTTAATATTAGCTACACGATGGCCTGAGAACTGATGCCAGTGCCGGAAACTTTGAAGTGAGTTAGGTAGATCAGGTCAACCGACAAATTGGCTTGGAAGATGAATCGTCCAAGATCGAAATTCGGAATGAGTAACGGCACTGAAGGTTTCGAGTTTCCTATGACTGTGACTTGATTGACGACATTCGATTTCAAAACGATGACGTAGAAACTAAATCCGAAAACCAGAATATAAACTAGTACTTAGTATGCATGCGTATCTCTCAGATTCGCCCTAAAGATTGCGCAACCATATTTGAAATGTAAATTATTTAAAAAATCCCCTAAAATTCTAAAAAAAAGAACGGCATGAAATTATTAATTGCGCCAGGCGTGGAAAGTTCAACGATCGACCTAGCGCTTGGATTCTTCGAAGTCAATCATCTCTAGCGTCATAACCATCCAAGTATGAGGGGCTTATAGAAGAGAATAAATGGATTTGTGACAAGAAACAATTAACACAGCAATCAAGCGAAAGAAAGATTTGTGGGCGATTATGGCGGCAAATTCGAATTGATTAAATTAAGATTTGGTCCGATTGTATAACAATCGAGTTTTGGGGCAAGGAATTCAAATGATCGCCATTAAAAATCAGTTTAATATTGCAAGTTTTGCTTACGTATTTCGATTTGTCAATTGCCCAAAAACGACCTAAAAATAGCAGTTAATAACAGGAATGCCGGGTGGGTTAAGAGTGTGAACAGAAAGTTGCTGTCCTTGCCACTATCCAAGGCAAAGGTCATTTGGAAGGGGAATGCATCACGAACCGGTTACAGCTGAAAACTGACCCTCCTTAAAGTAGATGTAGTCATTCATCTGGAATGACTTTCGATGCCCTTGGCCAGTGATTGCGAAATCTCTTGGGAGAAAGATGCTGTGTGGCCCTCTGAGCCACGCTTCGATTCAGGCGGAACTTTGGAGAATTTATGCAAATCTCGCCCTGCTCTCATAAATAAAACATTCCAAAGTAGCTTTATTTGACAGAGTCATAGAACCACATAAATGCGAAATTAATTTATGCTTTTCGTCGCGCTAACCAGCCCAAAACGTGGCTCTAAACTAGATTTATGCGATGGGATCAGTTAAAGAGTGCCATTGTCTGTGTCGTAAAGTGCGAAGCGGTTCCATCATCGCGATAGGCCAGACAAATTGGATGCCATAAGGAAGAATGCCCGCCCGCTGGGTTATCGATCACATAGCCAAATATTTGCCAACTTATCGGTCTTAGCTTGAGTGCTCGAGTGGAATTGCGCACCCGAGCGGAAACCGCACTACCCCCTATGATTGTTGGCCATTTATTTCGCAATACCCACTAACTTCACCCAAGATAACCGCCATATATCACCGGTTTTTCTTGAATTCAAATTAAAACTTTTTTTATTTAACCACAGAAAGTTGTCTCAGCTTTTACGTTATCAGATATATTCCAAAGTTTGGTTTTATTCTTCTTTCTTTCTTTGGATTATGATTTTTTATTAGACACACGCTCATTTGCGTATTTTGGCTACGCTTATTCTATATTCCATTCTGGCTGGCCAGGTCTGAAATTTGTCGCCTGCTGATTTGGTTACCCGTTTGTGTTTGTTGTGCTGCCACTAAATCCCATCGTGCTAAAATGTATAACGCCGGGAATCGGGCAGGGACCGAAATCGAAAAAGTTTATGGGTGTCGTTCTGCCGTGCTGCCAGCAAGAGCAAGAGCAGCGACGTCAGCCCCAGCTGCGACGGCAGCCGGTTAACCAACCCAAGCAGGTTCTGTTTAGTTTTCGGGGCTAAGACGAGAAGCTTCTGCCGTAAGCCATCTTTTTTGGCCATCCTGAGACGCTGAACTATAAATAATGTAGAGCCGAGTGGATACGGCACAGTCACATTTCTACATTCGTGGTGTGGATTTGGTTCTGAGCAAAATGGTAAGGATCGCAAGCCAATCGGTGGTGGATACAAAAGCCGAGCTGGCACCGTGCAGACCGTGGACTACAGCCTTTGGAATACAAATATAATTCGCTCTTGCCCTCCTCCAGAAACTTCTCATCGCTTTCGCCCTGGTGGCAGTGGCCAGCGCAGATGTGTCGCATCTGTTCTCGCACAGCAACAACCTGCAGGAGGATGGCTACCACTACGCCCCTCCCCGTACTCCCCTCGTGATCGACGTGCCGGTGCCCCATGAGTCGGCCCCTCCCCCAGTCGTCTATGTGCCACCCAAGACGACTCCTCGTCCGGTCTACCACGCTCCTCCCCCACCACCACCACCCCCACCGAAGAAGGTCGTTTACACTCCACCACCCACTGGTATCCTGAAGGACGATGGCTACCACTACGGAGCTCCTTCCATCCGTTTCGAGGCCACCGTGCCCCCACCAGTGTATGTGCCTCCCCCAACCAAGAAGTACATCCCACCCCCACCACCACCACCACCAACCAAGAAGTACATCCCTCCCCCACCACCACCACCACCAACCAAGAAGTACGTGCCTCCTCCACCACCCCCAGCCCCCAAGAACGAGTACCTGCCACCTGTTGTGCACGTCCCCGTGCCCACCCAGAAGGTCGTGGTCTACACCCCACCCCCACCACCACCGCCAACTAAGCGCGTTGTGTACACCCCACCCCCACCACCACCAACCAAGCGCGTTGTGTACACCCCACCCCCACCACCACCACCGAAGAAGGTCGTCTACACACCACCTCCCACTGGTATCCTGAAGGACGATGGCTACCACTACGGAGCTCCTTCCATCCGTTTCGAGGCCACCGTACCCCCACCAGTGTATGTGCCTCCCCCAACCAAGAAGTACATCCCACCCCCACCACCACCACCACCAACCAAGAAGTACATCCCTCCCCCACCACCACCACCACCAACCAAGAAGTACGTGCCTCCTCCACCACCTCCCGCCCCCAAGAACGAGTACCTGCCACCTGTTGTGCACGTCCCCGTGCCCACCCAGAAGGTCGTCGTCTACACCCCACCCCCACCACCACCGCCAACTAAGCGCGTTGTGTACACCCCACCCCCACCACCACCAACCAAGCGCGTTGTGTACACCCCACCCCCACCACCGCCAACCAAGCGCGTCGTGTACACTCCTCCTAAGGTCGAGTACCTGCCCCCCGCACCCGTGCAGAAGGGCTACAGCTACCCCAACGACCCCCAGCCCTCGTTCGAATATTAAGCTGATCCAACTCATTGTAAATACTCAGATTAAGTATTAGCCATATATGGGAACGAATTGTGAATCGGTGGCTTGGCCTTTCGCAGAAAAGCCGAATCCACTGTGAATAACTGTCTAACAATAAATCAAACGATTTAAAAATACTCGTTTTTAATTTTCTATGCTATAGTTATTTTTGAACAGCGAAACCGATAAGGCGAATGCTAAACCGGCCAAACTAAAACCTGATATGCTTTTTGGCTTCATATAATCAAGTGCTTTATTATATTTATGTGATCGGAAATTCTGAAAAGAATTCATTTCGCACACCTATGGTCAACAAAACTATTTCAGAGCCACTGATCCATACAAAAATTGGGTCCCATTGGATCATATTACGAATAGAAATATAACGCTTTTTTATTGAATAAAAATAAATACAAAGAAAATATAAGTAACATACATGTATAAAAATATATTATTAGGACCGGCAGGGAGAAAGTCCGACATTCAATTCATTGAAACGATCGATCGAAAATTATGTTATAGAAAATTATATAGAAATTTTACATTAAGAAATCGTATATGGTACATATTTTCAATTTAATAACCTGAACAAAAACAAAAATTAAATATATTAAAAATTATCGTATAAAAACAATTTTAACTCTTTTAATATAATAGAACCATTTTAAGCCCAATGCTCCATTTTAAGGTTAATCAACAAGAAATGAACAGCACTACCTTGTATAATTGTACCATGGACTAGGGAACAAAGGATGTTCCCAAGAACTCAAAATTCCCACGTACGCAAACAAGAACGCTTTCATAAAATGCTACAAGGAAGACTCGGAAACAGAGATAAATCGAAAAAAAGGAACCAAAAGGAAGTAACCAAAAGAAGGTGTATCTTATGATGTCTGGTATGATGGTATGACGTACCTTGAGATGTCTAAGGTATTTTGGTGATTCGAATTCTGGTCACAAAATAATAAATAAATTTAAAAAATTTAAAAATAAAGGAGAAAAGAAGAGCTCAGATGACGAAAAGTTAAAAACCATGAGTCAGATGGTGTATGCGAGGAAAAAAATATTATCTAGCTGCCTGCGTAAGCGAAATAAAAAATATAAAAATACATATATGAAAATAAAAACTCATTTAATAAAAATGAAATAAAAATTAAAAATTAAAATATAAATTCCAAAAATAAATTTAATTTTGGGATAAATTTAATATTTTTTTTTTGGTAAGCAAAAGAATAATTTGATGTGTCTTATGATGTTTGGTATGACGGCATGTCATACCTGAAGATGTCTAAGGTATTTTGGTGATTCGAATATAATAAAATAATAAATAAATTTAGAAAATTTAAAAATAAAGGAGAAAAGAAGAGCTCAGATGACGAAAAGTTACAAGCTCTCGCAGATGGTGTATAAAACGAAACGAAATAAAACAATATAAAAATATGTCGGAAAATTTAAGTCTTCTTCACGTCGACTCTCATCAGTTGCTTGATTGCTAGGTGATTCGAATACGGGTCCCAAAATAATGAATAAATTTAAAAAATTTAAAAATAAAGAAGAAAAGAAGATGACGAAAAGTTACGAAATATTAGGCAGATGGTGTATACGAGGAGAAAAATGGTATCTAGCTGCCTGCGTAAACGAAATAAAAAAAATATAAAAATATATGAAAATAAGAACTCATTTAATAAAAATGAAAATAAAAATTCCAAAAATAAATTTAATTTTGGGAGCTGTTATAGGCAGCAATGCCCATAACCAACTGAACTGAACACGATAGCCTGGTCTATTTATATGAAAGTTCTGGTTACCATTTTGACATTTACGGCAAAAATGATGGCCTAACAGGCCTAAGCATTTAGCCCTAAATTTTTTCTTGGAATTTGGTCACATTTTTAAATATAAAAAATATAAAAACACTGAGTAACATTTAAAAAGGATTTTTACTTTCAAGGCTGCTAGTCCCGTGGTCGATACTCAAAGTAGGCTTTATCGATGAGAATTTTCTGAAAAATATAATGATCTCAAAAGGAATCTTTATTATTCGGATAATACTTACATTTTCGTTGGAAAGCGGAGGATCTAGATAGGCAAAAAGTTGCAGGGGTTTTTGTTTGGTGGGATCTCGGTGGATTTTGATCATCCTGAACATATTAGCGACGGACTCCTGGGGCCGATCACCGTGATTTATATGGTAGCAGTACAAAAACTCCAATTTCCTACACTTTTTTATTATTTCTATAATATCTTTTGCCAAAATGTAACCGCATATGTTTTCCAGATAAAGCGAATGGAGCTCAGTCATTTCCGCCAGAGGAGCCAAACAATCAATTCCTCCAACATTTAAAGACAATTTCGTCACGGTTTTCATTTGAGCGATTAGTTCAAAGTCTGATCGGTTGCGAAGGTATCCCCCCCGAATTGAGAGATCCTTCAAGTTGGGAAAGGACTTCCTGATAGTCATGATACTTGTCGAGCACTTGGCGTAGCCTGAAAGTCGCAACGCCCTTAGATCGGGAATTGTTTGAAAGAACTCCTCCAGGTAGCAGATACAAGAGGGGACATTAATGCTTAGATAATCAAGCCCTGAAAAGACTAAAAAAGAATTTATTTAGATTTCTTGCGATGCCATTTTAAAACTTACTATTGGAGAACCTAAATACATCCGTCATATGAAGCGAGTTCTCGATGCACTCCCGCTTACGAATTTTAGTTTTGGCTATTTTGAGTATCTGGAAGTCTTTTACAATATTCCCCACGATCTCTTTGTCCTCGCCGTGTCCTTGAATCACTCCCAGGGTCTTTACATTATTGTTAAGAATCCTCAGAACCTTGAAGGCTGTATTTGAGTAGTAGAGAACGGGCTTAATTTGTGCATCGGTCTTGTGGAATACCGGGTAAGTTGAATATTGCGACTGCAGAAGGATTTGACGAAATCTAAGGCAAGTCCTGAGAAGATTGAGATGATCTAAAATCCCGAGATACTTGAAAACGGCCAACAAACAATCGTCATTCAGGCTTAAAATATTTAAACTATCCATTGTATTAGAAGGTGCTTCTGGTCGAATGATGAAAGTATAACTGATCTATAGTCAAGATCCCATTGAAGCAATATATCTTTCGCGGAATACTATCTGAAGATGCTCCGACATTATCTTTCAAATAAGACAATCTATGATATATTCTAAATTTGTTATCAGACCTCTTGCCATGTCAAAAAAGACAATAACCAATAGAAGATAAAACGGCAAGCCTCTGCTTATCTGTAGAATTTGTGGGAGGTATAGTAATATCTTCGTTTTGTTTTTAATTATAGTAAACTCAATCCCATATAGAATCATTTAAATCAAATTTGTAAACCCAGTTTTATATTTAATCAAACTCTTTTTATCTATTTTTACTCTTTTTATAAAAAACTAAATAATATATGAGCACCAAAAAAAAAAAAGAAACAAGAAGAGACAAGTCCTAGTCCTTTCAGATTCCCTTTCAGTTTGGTTTCCGTATATCACACGGAATTCCTGAAAATCTGAACCTCAACTTTGGCTTTTGGTGCGAAGCTTTTTAAACCTTTGCAGAGGGTATTATAATATTGGTCAAAAGTGTCCAACGCAGTTAAGGAGACATCTCCGACCCTATGATATATTCATATGAATATATATTCTTCTAATATATATACTCTTGATCAGGATCATCTCCTGAGTTGATATGAGCATGTTCGTCTAACCGTCTGACTGTCCATCTGTCTGTCCGTCATTCTGTTTCTACGCAAACTAGACTCTTAGTTTTAAAGATAGCTTTGATAGATAGCTTTTAAAGACTTGAAGATTTGGACACACCCTTCTTTCCTTAGCAGTTTATAAGTTGGAACGGCCCGGATCGGCCGTCTATATCCTAAAGCTGCAATATAACTGATTGATCAGAAATACTAGTACTTTGGTGTCTTAGAGTTAGAAAGTTTTGATTTTGTACGAATTCTACTTTTAGCAAAAAAACACGACATACCCAATTTCATTAGGTTATGAATGAATAATGGATCGTAAATTGTATTTGCTAAAAATACCATCTTTGGTATTTTTTAAGAAAGAAGCTTGGAACTTTTTTTTATAATTTTTATTGTAATAAATTGATTATGTTATAAAATTCTCATAAGGATCGGCCAACTATATCTGATATTTGCGATATGTATCCTATCTTAACTGCAAGGGTATATCCAATTCGGCTCCGCCTGAAATTAGCATTATAATTCTATAACAATAATTTTCGTTAGGGTTCATTCAATTTCTAAAAATATATATAATATTGGACTCAGAACTATTCGAAAATATGCCATTTTATATATAGGTTTATAATTAAGAAAATATTTGATTTTGGAACAGACTTTTTTTTTGCAGGGGAATGAAAAAATTATGGCACGTGTGCACAAATCAAATACATGTTTTTCTGTGAAACCATTTGCCTAAATCCACAATAAATTATAAAAATAGATTTCAATTTCGGCTTGCTTTCGTCATAAAAGCAGCTTCTACCGGGGATTCACCATACATCTTATAAAAAATTGTGGTTTGGGCGGGTACTAATTATAAATCAACACTAAATGGTCTTCGAATAAAAACTTTCAATGCCCTTATGTGTGTGTATTTATAAGATATATTTTAAAACACGCCGAACTATGTGCTATGTTTATTATGAAGCTTAAGATACTCCCAAAAGTAGGCAAGATAAAGTTTGAAAAGAGGCTTCAGCAAAATACCATGCTTCCTTGCTTGTAGATAGTGTTAAATATATATATTTTAACGTGGATTAGATATAATAATATCCATAAGATTTAACATAAATTAATATAATTAAACTTGAAACTTTCCGTAACGAAAGTTATCCGTTTCAACATTTGTCTGGACAATGAATTTAAAAAAAAAAACAGTCTATTGTTCCGAAATAACTTGTTTCGCTTTCTTTGCTTGATTAATAAGTGGGTGTGTCTCCATTCAGATCCCGTTGCAAATTAACAGCAAGTGGAATTCCCGGTAGATAAATTTACCTATTTAAAAACCAAACGGATAATGCAATCAATCTTGCAATGTCCTCACAAAGGCGATGCTTACTACATTATATAGATGTATAATCAAAATGTCGCGACTGACATAGATAAATTGTGCGATCGGCTGCGAATTGCAACCGTAAAGCGCTAATGAAACGGGAAACCTGTTGAAAGGCTGGTTTTATGCTCTTTTATTGGAAATTGATTTTTTTCGGGCTGGGCTGCATAATTGAATGGCAGTCGGAGCTACTACCACCAGTCGGATCACAATACAAATCAGTCAACAGCTCTGCCAGCCAAGAATCATTAGTTGGAATACAAATCGCTGCCAAGCTCAAACAAATCAACGCACTGACACTTGACCCCACAAAACAAGTCTTAGCCTTGGCAATGGCGATGCCGATGGAGATGTTGTAGCATTTTAGTGGAGTGTTCGATCAGCAGCAGTAGCACAACCACCGCCACCAGCGGCACCACCAGCACCTCAGCAGCACCACCATGACTTGGGCCAAGACATCGACCCAGCGCTGAAGCTTTGTTTGTTTGTTTGTTTATTTATGTAGGGCCGCTCACTGTTTCGGTTTCTGTTTTGAATTTTAGCTTCAGCATAGTCATCACGATCGGCGTTTTGGCGCAATTAATAAAGTGAGGCAAATGAGGCGAACATATAGAAGTATAAATAGTTTGGGCCCCAACGCCGGCGCCTGCATTCGTTTGAGCAACGTTCCAAAGGCAGTAAAGACAGAAACTATTACGGCATTCTTATAAAGATCCCTTTCCAAGTAATAACCGGCTACAGATCAATTTGAAAATGGTAAGCAATTGTATTGAGGAGCTGGCTCTTAAAATCCCACTTGCATATCAATATAAAATTTAAAAACTAGTTAAATCGGATTAATAAACCTAAACCAACCCATCAAAATGACATTTAAATTTGCATATTTTTATGAAAGAGGTTTTTGCAAAAAATTATTTTTTATGCAAAAACTTAAGCTACACATTCCATAAATATATTAAAGAAACTAAAACTATTTGATTTCTTTTTTTCATTTTCTTTCAGCGCTTGGAAATGCTCTGTTTTATACTTCTGGTCATCAGTCTAAGCGTCAGGGCAGATGTATCGCAGCTGGTGAGATCCGGTAATGGATTTGTGTACGATGTGCCCAAGGTCACCGAGCTGGAGCTGGAGGTCAGCAATGAGTTTCCCACTGGCGAGGAGTTTCCCCAGGACGTCATTCCCGTGGCCCCATCCGATGCGGAACTGGGCCAAGCCGATGTTTCCGATCCGGAACCCGAGGAGCCAGTGATTAGTGCCGCTTCAAATACTAAAAGTAGCAGCAGCGTACACGGTTACAAGTACCAGAAGCCCAGCAGGCGCTTCAAGAGCTAAATACCTTAAAACTAAATCGAATTTATGTACCAAAGCCTCATAAAGATAAAAATAAAATCAAACCGAAATCTAGATACTATATTCCTTTCACCTGGGGCAGCCCTTGGTCAGGGCTTAAATAGCTTTTGCCTTGGACGTGACTTAGAACGAGATTCACAGCTTGGGCGGTTGTGTGGTCTCATAAAGCCCAACATAGCATTAAAAAAATGTCACATATCAAAACCAAACCGGTTAGTGACTGTTAAAAATTTGCAAACAATTAAAAAAACAAAAAACACAGGCCTAGCCAACGCTGAGACTAATGCCCATAAAGAAGAGCAATTAATTTCATACATATGTGGCATAAATTACGCGCATTTTGGCAAAACGCGAGCACACGCCATCCGACATGCGAATCTGAGTCCGAAACCAGCCAAGACTTATGACAATCGATCAGCAGCAGGCGGGCGGTTCAACAACCCTCATAGATTTTGGCATGCGATGAAACAAAAAGTGATAGTTGAACCAGACCAGTCAGTATCTTCTGTTTGTCTAAAGAATCGATACGCGAGACGCTAATCCCACTAATTAGTTGATTAAACGCTACCATTAAAACGATGTTAGAATTAATCCGACAACAAAAAAGAACCCAGAACTTATAACATAATTCAGTGTGTTCTTAAGCCTCTTCTCCTGAGGGCCTCCATTTTAGACGCCTCTGCTCTGGCCATCTCCATTGATCTGCAAGCGGATCACTTCCGCAAGATCATGTCCCAGTAGGCAGCAGTGGACAGCTTCATTGTCCAGCGCTGTCCATGAAACGCTGATCACTCGGACAAAAAATAAAACTCCAACTTCTTGAGCTGCAAAAGGCAGCGCGCGCCATAATTATTATAAATGAAGTCTAAATGATTTATGACAGCCAGTAGAGCACGCTTACAACGCTCCCAGCTGCGGAACTAACTCTTCATCTGCACTGAAAAAAATATAAGAAAATGTACTTATATATATTAATTTTAAAATACAATATAAAATATAGAAATACATGTTATATATTTTAAGATCAAACATACTGGCTGCCTTTGGACAATACCTAATGAATTAATTAATTTAAACACAAAAAAATTGTATTATGTGATAAATTTATTTACCTTAAAATTTAAATAAAAAGCTTCTTTTGGCATAAAATCGAAATAATTGATACCTATTCTATATAGTGCACTTGATTGACTGTGATGACTTTATTCTTTTTGTGGAAAATTATATGTTAGAAAATTATACTATGGTCATATTTATAAAATGTTTTGTCGTTGAATTTGTACAGCATTACTTCCTTACTAATCTAGTCACCTTAGTAATCTAGTTTAACTTAATTTTGCTGATAATGACTTATGAAGACTTCATACTCCTGTTTCAAGAAAACACATCACACAAACAGTCTCCTTTCTTGCTTAGTCGAAACATATTTTACTCAACAATTATTTTATAAGCTCGTTTTAGTTTTAAGGAATATAGATTATAAGTTGTTAGCTAAATTTTTAGCAGGTACACAATAACTGATCCGTGGATATCATGTAATTTAATATCATATTATTTCAGCGATTTTTAAAAATGGTAACAATTTGGATATTTTTCACTGTAAGAGCCCTTTGAGCCGCGAACCGTCGGAAGCGGAGGCTTACTTTTGACACAGTAACAATAACCGCACCGGTAACGGCGGCAGACCGACCTGAACTCCAACCCAAGTGACGACGTTGATGAAAAGGCCCACAGTGGGACCCCCATAAAGGCATAATGGTTGCAGAGCTCCGAGCCAAACGAAGAAACAAATCCGAAAACAATGACGGAGCCGTTGACGCTGACGTTGACAGAGGAGCTGCGGCAATAGACAGCATTGTGGCGCTAATCATTCATATAAACATAGCGCTACAGATACGGACACAGGTACAGATACAGATACAGATACATTTACCGATACAAAGAATGCCGTAAGGCTAGCAGAGCTATATCGATTTAAATGATAATAATTGGCCTTTAGGTCCACGGACAGTATCGATCTGTTTTAGAATTTTGACTATAAATAAACGACCGTCGGTGCGAATGGTCAATCATTTGCGGTTTAAGAGCTCAAGGTGTGAGACATATCCACAACCACGAAGAGATGGTAAGTGTTTTAGTTTACATGGATGCTCGGATATCAGTCCTGGACTTGAACATTTTTCTTATTTTAGAAATTCTTTATACTTGCCACCTGCCTTTTCGCTTTGGCTGCCGGAGATGTGTCACATTTGCCATTGGAAGTCTTGGAGGAACATGAGGGCTACGGCTACGATTATCCCAAGCCGGTGGTGCCATTTGTGATAACCACAACCACGGAACCCCCACCGCCGCCACCACCAACCTATCTGCCTCCCAAGCCAGTGCCTACTTATCTACCTCCCCCACCACCAACTACTACCACCACCACAACCACGACGACACCCCCGCCACCACCACCACCCCCACCAACCTACCTTCCTCCTCCTCCACCCACAACCACAACCACTACCACTACTACTACCACCACAACTCCTCCTCCGCCGCCACCACCTCCCCCAACCTACCTCCCTCCCCCACCTCCAACCACCACTACCACCACCACAACAACTCCTGCTCCCACACCGGCACCCACCTACCTTCCTCCCCCACCACCACCAGAACCAGATCACGGCTACCACTACGAGGCACCCGTGGAACCCTTCATTTTCTAATCGAATAACAAACACCAAAGTCAACCACCGAACTCGGAAGATTTCCCCGGATCCGTCTTGTTTTTTGTCGAATCGTTCAACTAGGCTTAGCTTTACATAAGTTAATATTATCTCAAATAAATGCTGTTTTGTTAACCCCATTAAAACTATCTCCGGAATATGGGATGGGTCGACGAAATATACCAATATACCAAAACAACGTTGTCCAGATGGCCCGAGTCAATCACCGCCAATTGTTCAAGATTTCGACGCATCCACTGCATATTCATGAGCTGGCTTCTTCATCCACTCTGGCGCCCACTGCGGCTTTGTTGTGCAGCTACTAATTTGGCCGAAATGGCATTAATTGTTTTCTGTCCAGTCGTCGGGCAGAGATACCACCACACACGCCGATAATTGGCCTGCCTCAAGTTCATGAAAACCAAGAAAAGTGTGAAGAAAACCGACGCGAGTTGAGGAAGCTGGGCTCGTCTTTGGGGTATAAAAGACTTGACCATCGACTTGATTGACATTACTACCAGTGGTCGGCTATCGGCAGCAGCAGCATCATCGAAGTATAGCCACTGGATTAAAACCGATTAAAATGGTAGGCAGCAGGAGCAGGACCATCCTCATCAGTCGGATTAACCCATTTATTTTTTCAGAAACCCATGCTGATCCTGGCAGCCCTTGCAGGGCTCACCATCTGCGTGCGAGCAGATGTGTCCCACCTGTATGGAGGCGGTCACCACGATCACTATGATCACCACCACCACGAACACTTGGACCACCACCACCACGATCACTTCGACTCCCATCACTCCCACGATCATCACTCCTCCTCCGACCTGGAGCATCACGACCTGCACATCGATTTGAGCTTCAAGCCGGAACCCCACCACCACCATCATCACGTCCACGAAGCCAAGTTCGACATCCCGAGCGGATACACTTACCAGGCTCCGGAGAAGCCACGCCAGAAGTACCTGCCTCCCAAGGTTTCCCTGCCGCCTCCACCACCACCTCCGCCAGTGGTTCCCAAGGCGGCTTACCTTCCACCCTCCAAGCCGGAGGTCAAGTATCTGCCTCCCGAGCCCGCGCCAAAGTACCTGCCCCCCAAGGTTGCTCCCAGCCTGCCGCCACCACCTCCACCACCAGTCCTGGCTCCCAAGCCCACCTATCTGCCTCCTGCTCAGCCGGAAGTGAAATACCTGCCTCCTGCCAAGCCCGTGGAGAAGTACCTGCCCCCTGCCCCGGCTCCAAGGTATTTGCCGCCCAAGGTTGCTCCCTCTCTGCCGCCACCACCTCCACCACCACCAGTGGCACCCAAGGGCCTTTATCTGCCACCTTCCAAGCCAGTTGAGAAGTACCTGCCCCCCTCCAAGCCCGAGCCGCAGTATTTGCCACCCCAGCCCGAGGTGGACTTCCACATCCCTATTCCCTCGTACGCTCTACCCCTGGGACCCGCCCCCAGTGCTCTGCCACACGAGATCCACGATGCCGAGCCGGGATACCACTACAAGCCGCCTCTGCGCCGATTCAGGCACTAGGATATCCACCCAAAGTCGCACCCCAACACGTACTCTCATACAAACTGCATCTAGTTTTAAGCTACACACATTAAAAGCAATATGAAACCCAAACCCAAGAGGCATTGCAACAGTCTATTGAACTCTTTCACCACACCACTCAAGGTCAAAGTCAAAAAGTGTGGACTAAATTTCTGTCACCCTGCCCCGAGGGACTCCGATGGGTTTCCTCCATCTGACCCTCAAATCTAATTGCGGCCAATCAACCGGAGTAGCCAGACGGCTTTAACTTTAATTTTAGTTTCGGTTTCAGTTTCATTTTTAGTTTTGGCTTTAGACTAGCTTGATCATCACCTGCCGAGTGTATAATTAGTGTCTTTTTGGATGAAAAATGATGTTGGATATAAAAGTGGACCTGTGCGATGCGTCGTCTGGTTACAGAAAGATTCGATTTGAACCCAAATCGCTAATAGTCAATTACAGCCTGCGGCTGTGGAGCGACAGGCGACCTCTTTCAATGTTGGCCCAAAGATGGGGCAAGTGTTTTAGATGAAGCTTAATTGGTGGATCAAATGACTGACTCAAGGAGACTTGAGTTGGCTGACTTGGCAACCCAAAGGATTTCAAATATCCGGTCGGTCTCAAAAAGCCATTCGTCACCTCCGTAGTGCGCTGAACTATTAACTCCAATAGTTGCCTCACCAAAACTATTTTAAATACTTTGCAAACGCAGCAGCGATCGTAAAACCCAACACGTTTATGGCCAGCAGCCATAAAGAGCTATCTGGCCGGGCCAAAAACAAAAGCCAACGCAACAAGATGACTTCGAATTAAGAGATTTAATATATAAAAAATTGAATGCCAATTTCCAATACCGGCTGTCAAAGGGGCGAGACCCCTAAACGCCGCTTAGCTGACAGCCAGGCCATATACTACGGCCATATAGTCGGACATATCGGCCATATAGTCGGCTGCCAGATCGTCTCTCGTGGAGTCAGAGTCGGCGTCGGCGTACTGGTACTGGTAATGGTAATGCCGAGACCAGATCTCTTTATGTTTATGGCGACCACTCGGCGCGGTTCTCTAACTGTATAAATAAAGAAGCACTTGCCGGAAACTGTATCACTTTGGCAGAAGCAGTCGTCGCAACAAGAACGTTCTCCTACTGAAAATGGTTAGTGGATTGGCGACCAAGGATACACGATTGGATTTCAAACTAAAATAATTTTTCTCTTTCACTAGAAACTCCTTATTTTGGCCGTTTGCAGTCTGGCTCTGGTGGCCGCCGATGTCTCCCATCTGTTCGGCCACGAGCACCACGATCATCCTGGCTATAACTACGATCCCCCGAGCATTCCCTTCGAGCTGCCCACCCCTGCTCCGGAGTACTTGCCCCCGGTTCCCGTTACCCCCCGTGTGGTGGTGACCCCGGCGCCCACTTACCTGCCTCCCCAGCCAGTGACCCGTCCTCCACCACCACCTCCTCCGGTTTACCTGCCTCCCGTGACTGTGAAGCCCGAGATCCCCGTTGTAAAGACCCCCAAGCCAGTGTACCTGCCACCCCCACCGCCAGTCGTCAAGGTTCAGCCACCCACTCCCGCCTACTTGCCACCTGCCCCCGTTGTTGTTCCTGCTCCCGTGGTGAAGGTCTCTCCACCCAAGCCAGCCTACTTGCCTCCTGTGGCTGCCCCCACTCCCAAGTATGTGGCTCCTGTGGTGCCCACCTTCAAGATCCCGATCCCCTCGTACGCTGCCCCCCTGGAGGAGCCCGTGAACACCTACCTGCCACCCCAGGAGATCGTGGAGCCGAAGAGCGATGATGGCTACCACTACGATGCCCCCGCACAGCCATTCCTCTTCTAAGCCAGAAGCTCATCCTCAGCCATTTGTTTGTTGTCTTCGAATGTGTCGTGTCGTGTTTACCTATAGTTATTTATTGTTTAACGAGCTCAGCCTGTACCCAAAATATGCAAAATACCAATAAAGCTTAGCACTGTGAAAACGTATATTCCCAGAGTCTGGATCCTGCTATTGAACTTGAACTCCAAGTGGGGGAAATTCTATCCGAGACCACGAACTCGGCTCAAGTGGCTTTTGATCGACAGCCTAATTACCCTCTGGGCCATCTAAAAATAAAATTATTGAGAGGGTACAACAGTTTCATTCATGATCAATACAGTCGATGTTGGCCAAACTATTTTGGGATCGAGTAATGCTCTGTTCGCCAATTCCGGCTTGATTTATTGACATCCCAAACAAACCCAAGCGAATGAGTAATTGAACTTGGGAGCCATAACGGCTATAAGCTTTAATTTTATGGACCGCGATGTGGCTTAGCTTCATTAAACGACTTCTTATAATTTATGACACCGGCTTAATTGCTCCAGACAAACGATGGCATTGTTGAAGGTGTGAAGATATAGCTCTGAACCCCCGCAGTTCTTTTTTGAGTCCGCCCCCGCTGCTGTGAAAGTGAAATTAATACGATCAGGAAGTGGAATCATGAACGTTTTTGGGCTGCCATCGACGGCGAAGAAGTACTAACTTGCAGAATGTTTGTTGACAAAATGAATTGCTTTTATGCTAAATAGATTCCATGATCTAATGGCTGGGAACTCGTTTCATTTTTGTTTTCTTAACCTTACCACCCGCTCTATTCTGTCAGCAAATTCAAATTAATTACATTATTACGTTTATCTTGGATGGGACGCCTAAATGTGATTTACTTAAGAGCTTTATCTACGGTTGTTGCTCCTAGTAGCGCCGTTTAATAAACATCGTCCATAAATTATCGAGCTCATCATTGATTTTAGAAAGCAAAACTGATGACCCCAGTCGACCAGGCGGTCTAGCCTGTTTCTTATTCGCCACTAATGAAACCAACTATTTGTTTCCTCATTTTTGGCACGATATTTTTGCTGTTGCATTATATACGAAATGCTAATTGAGAGCTGGTTGTATTTCAGATTATTCTAGCCAACGTCAGAACTATTTATTGGCCAGTTAACCAGTGCAATAAAAATGAATCTTTCTGTGAATCTGTATGGTTTATTTAAATTTTAAATGCAAGTGAGTCTGACACAAATTATTTATTAATAAGATGTGAAAAACACGTCATTCTAAATTATGAGCATTAATCCTTTAAAACGGCACGTTGAAATTCATTTCAATTTCAAATTAGTTTAATATGTATAAATTCAAATGGAAGTATCTGCATAAATTACACTGTGTTTCTATAAAAAATATACATGACCGTTGGCATGAATGAATTGAATGAATCAGTTTCACAGATTGGACCTAAAAATATAAAATAATAATTTCTTTTCAGAATTATTAATTTTTAAAAAGTAAATATATTATTTTAAAACCATACCAACCCCAACTGTTATTTGTAAAGTCTAAAAATAAATGTAACAGATCTGATGTCACATGTTTTTTTTTGTAGCATGTATAATCCAGATATTAAAGACAAAAAGTTTTAATTTTAATCTTCAAATATTATTCTAATAAGGAGCGAAGCTGTCCCTATTTTTATTTAATTTAAAAAAAAAACCTAATGTACTTTCAGGCAATGTATAAAAATGAAACAGAATAAAAAATATCCAAAGCTACTTTTTCAGACCGCCTGAATTTATGCAACATGCTTTGTAGTATAACAGTTTTTGACAAATTTGTGAATCAATGAACAACAAAAAGTATTAAGCATTTAAAGGACGCGTTAACTCTTAATTTTAGAGCATACTTTCCATTCAAATCGATAAAGATGTTAAGACACAAGCAACACACAATTTAAGAAAACTGAAGGCTATTTATGTAATTAAAAGTTGTTGTAATTAATAACACAAATCCAAGGCTAGAGTCTATAATATCCACTTGACCCGGGGGACTGTGAAAAATCCCAGCCAAGACGGAAGAACCTCAATTGCCTCGAAGTCTGTCATCGATGGCACACAAAGGAGCGAGTCGATCGAGACCCAGTTTGTCATAGTTTATGGACAAAAGCGACTTTTAATGCCCCTGAATAGAAGCCAAGCGAGGCAATCAAAGTGACAATCAATCCATCAATCAATAACACATTGTCTCACACATCCAACTGGCCAGTGGCCACCCGTACGGACACGGATCGGGCTTTTCAAAATGGATTGTTTACACTTCTGATTTGTCTATGTTTCAAAGTATTGTTTTATTTCTTTTTAGGTTTAGCAGGTTTAGCAGAAGCTTAAACCGGTTAAGTTTAATGTATTTTGAAAGTATTCCAGTAGATTTATGTTTTTATATTTGTTTGCGTTGCGACTAGTTTTGGATTTACGAACCGTCAAGAGTCATGCAAGAGCCTGCATAAATAATGATATCTAATTGGGCCCAAAGAGGCAGCCACGGTAACCACTTAATACCAGGCACCACGCAACAAAAATATTATTTCCCAGGTAATAAGGCCTCGGTGCGCAGATACATACGAACATTCTTCTGCCCAGCTTCCGTATGCAAATGTCCATATCAGATCTCAAGTGAACATTTTCCCCATGGCATTCCATGATTAATGAGAATCTCCCAACGACGGGGGGCACTCATCAAATCGAGAACGAATCTCTGTACAATTTCGACACACTTTATTGTGCCTTGATGAGCTGTGAATAATATAATTAAAACCTGATACTCTTGCTTTATCTCCATCCCCACGGATGGAGCCCCATGGGCCATGGCAAATTGGCCTTGGCAGATGAATGAAATATACAAAAATTTGTTTATCATTTTTACAAATAATTTACGTTTATTTATTTCGTACTTTATCTGGCAATTCAACAATAACTGAATACTTGGTTTTTCGATCTTTGTCTATAGAACATCATTTGTCTCTTTGTACTTCGCTCTTTATGCTTTTGATAATGTTATGTTCTTGTTCATGTTTGTCGATTCTCGTTCGTTCTAGGATTATTAGGATTGTTAGATGCGATATTTGGATAGTTGGATATTTGGATTTTTGGATAGTGGGGTTCAGTGCGTAGGTAATGTGTGCTGGGTTTGGATATACATAGGTTAATGCTTGATTCGGGTTGGATTGGATTGAATTGATTTGGAGTGGTGCGGATAGAGCAGGTCGGTGATCGGGCAGGTGAGTAGAAGAAGAGGAGGAGAAGGAAGAGAAGGGCAAAAATTAGGAGCAATTACTAGGATTGTCGAACATGGTTTTTAAATATATATAGAGTTAAGAGCTAGCTGCCTCCGTCTTAGTAGCGGCGCAGACGGTAGAAGCGTCTTACATAGACTGGCCGGCGGTACTGGTAGCCGCTCTTGCTGCTGTAGGTGTGGCCCACCAGCTGGGGCTGGACCACCTGCTGAGCCACGGGCGACAGGTACTGGGCGCGCTGCACGATCTGCTGCTGGATGGGCTGCTGCACGAAAGACTGGGCGACGGCAACGGGGCGGGCCACCTGACGGTACACTGGAGCGGGAGCAGCGGCGATCACGGGACGGGCCACAGGAGCAACAACAGGACGGGGGGCAGGAGCGGCAATCACAGGGCGGGGAGCAGGAGCGGCAGCAACTGGGGCCGGATCCTCAATGTCGATGTACTCTGGCTCAGGAGTGGCAATATCTTGAGGATTGGGTCCCTGGGTGGCGGAGTCGGGCAGCTGGGCGCCCGCAGCAACTCCCAAAAGGGCCAAGGCCAACAGAACGAAGAATTTCTAGAGTTGAATATTATGATTTTTATTAAAAAATGTTTCATCAGATTTTTTGGAAAACAACTATTAAAAATAATAATAATTATAATGAAAATAAAAATTTCCAAAATGAACTAACACAAGAAAACAGAAGCAGATCCAAATTTACTACATAATTATATATTAAAATATTAAAAATATTCTCAAAAAAATATGTGATTTAACCCATTTTCTAATTAATTCTTAAACTATTAGGCCAAAACAAAACATAGCAAAAAACTTTAAATGATTTTTTGTAATAAAAATAATAACTAAAAAACTTTAAGAACCAAAAAGAATACAAATTATCTTCCCAAGCTTTTCTAGACCATTTTTAGGCGATATTCTTTCCATTTCCTTCTAACACCGTTTTGTAGTTAGTGTAAAATTGTTTAAAAAGTGAGTGGATTGGCTATTTATGGAGCGGTCTGGAGCATAATTATGTGCCTGCCAGAGGCCAAACACGGGTGTTTTGCTTCACAAGTCCCGAGGGCCACTCGAAACGGGATGCCAGAATTGATGAAGTCGTTTAGAACACTTGAGTTTGGGTTGGGGAGCACTTGAGGATAGTGTTTATTTTTGGGTTCTGTTCACGGTTCACTTTTTTTTATCACTGACTTCATATCCTGATTGAAGACAGATCACTAGGATTCGGTATCCTTGCCGCCAGGATCACATACCATTTTTATTTTTTTTGTGGATTTAGTTACGGATGATCACGAAATTTTCTCGAGCAGAAGCGGACGAGCAATTTACACTTAAGAAGTTCAAAGCACAAATGATGATGAGCTGGTCAGTGGGCATGAAATTTATACTATATCGCCGTTGCGGTCCGTCCGTCCGGTCCGGTTCAGTTCAGCTCAGTTCGCAACGTGGAGAAGTCCAAGAGAGTTTGGGCAGAGCGTCGGCGACCGCCAAAAACCAAAACCCGATGAGACACAAACCGCACACCGCGTTATAAATAAGGCAACAACAATAATATAAACACTACTCAGCATCACCAAGCAACAACTACAACATCAGCAATAGCTATCAGCAGCAATTCAAATCAAAATTTAAATTAAATGAAACGAAACGATACGAGAAGAAATAGGCACTAGAAGAAGCTGCCGATGGAACTGGAACCCTTTGGACAATCACTTTGGTGTCGTCACGAGCCGTGACGCACTGACAAATCACAAAAGACACTTAAAGACATTCAGTTTATACCTTGAAAAATAGATAAAAAATGGAACAGATATATTTAAATTAGAAAATAATTAATTTACAAAATAATTAAGCTACTTATATTGATTATCATTTGTGTCTGGGAAAAGACAAACTCAACATATCAACCTTAGAAAATTTAAATTAAAAAAAAAATGTATATTAATATTATTAAATTATATTTTTATTAACTAATTTTTCTTAGTGTGGATAGACAAAATAATTTTAGAAATATTTTCTGGATAATACATTTTTTCTAGATATTTTCTACGAGTAAGAAAAAATTGTTCTCATCAAGTTCGTTGCCTAAGTCTTTTGTTTTGTCTTCTTCAAAACATAAATACTGTTTTTAAATTGGCGTCATTAAGATTTATTTTCATAATTTTAACTTAAATTTTGTATTGATTTAAATGTAAAATATTTTAAATTTTATTATATAGAGATATTTAAGTTTGTTGCCTAAGTCTTTTGTTTTTTGTTACTCATAAAAGAAAAACATTTGTTTTTAAACTGGTTTTATTTAATAGGGACTCCTAACTTTAATTTAAGTGTGATTTAAATATATATTTAAACTATTTTAATTTTAACACATGCACCATACAATAACTTCAAGGTTTTTCACCCAATTCTTTTGTTTTGGCTACTGCATCAAACAACAATATTTTTACACCCAAGTGACTTTGGCCATACTAAGAAGTATCCAGGCAAAAACTCTTTAAGAAGACCACCACTTATAAAAGTCAATAGGCAAATAGAGCTTCCAATCATTTTGACATTTTGCTACAATATCAAAAATTCAATTAAACGATTGAATGAACACCTTCTTAAGTTTTATAAACATGACTTTATCGTGTCAATTTTTCGGCCGACCTGGTAGCCCTCTCGTTCAGTCGTTTAATTTGGCTTTTTGCTGCTGGCTCGATTGTTTGTATCTTCTCTTGACCTTAGTGGCAACAATAAGCAAATTTAACGGCTTTTGGGCATACATCATTTCCGTTGGTGGTGCGTATGTGTGTGGGGAAATACATTCACCTGCCACAGTCAAGTGAATGAAGCCACTTGAGCCAAAGATGCAGTGCCAATAAAAATGATTTGTTCGATATCAAGGACGGCCCAAAAAGATTAAGTGGCACAAGCACAGGAAATGGTTAGGCTATTTTTGATTCCAACTGCCAACAGACATTGTAAAGATGTTACCTTTGAATAAAATGGTACATAAAACTCCGTTTTTGATAAAGTTCAACCCACTTTGAAACAGTTCTTATCCGAGTATGTGACATCATTTTGGCCGTTGCCTTTCACTTGCATTGATTGATGGAATATTTGTCATCGGGCAGCAAAAAGATGAAACATAGAAAACTTTTGGCAGTATTTTTCATAATCCAACCAAAACAATAATAATAAGCTGCCAACAAAAAAGAAAACAATTTATTGTGTGTTTTTACGGTTATTAGGAAATTTAAAATGTAATTAATAATGCTTTGCTCTGTCGCTGGTCTCAGGTCTTTGGTCTCAGGTTTCACATACATAAATTTGATCTCCCGCGAAAACATTCATTATTGACTGCTATGCCATTTGGGGCCATTGTCTATTGCGTCGGCGATTTGACTTGCAAAATGTGTCATTTGTTTCTGAAAAGCATCGTTCTAACCATGGATCGGTAATCAAGGATTTTCATAAATCAATGACAAGGGCGTGGCAGATTTATGCGGACCAACATCGATATTAATTTCGATATAGTGCAGTTCTCCCTGTGATAATGCTTATATTTATGAAATTAACGAACTCCTATTTTATGTTAATGCAAATAGAAAATTAATATCGGCAGTTAAATATGTTTTTGATCTTTCCATCATCGCGTCTTGTGGCCGGAACCGAAGCAACCACTTTTGTCCAATTTGCATACAGGAACCAGATATCGCACCGAGTGATTCAAAAGCCATGAGCCGCCGTAGGAGTCTCTTAGCCAAATGCCGGTAATCGACGACTCATTTAATTTATGACTCCGTGCCTGTCGAAAGCCAGAACCCAGTCGTTTTCACGTGCCACTCGTTCTGTGTTTTTCTACGAGAGTTCAAACATAATATTATGCATGCGACCTGTTGTCCGGCCGGGGTTAAGCCTAAAATGAGAAATACCGAAATTCACTAGCAAAGGCTGACTGGTTGGGCGTGTTTACATGCGATTCCCATCACCTGATAAGGACCACAATAGAGGCCCACTAGAGGTTCGTTTTGAATATTTTTGTCGCTTCCACTTTTGTTGGTAACAGATCGTGTCTTTGGTAAGACACGCCTCGTTATCTGGCCGACAGTTTTGCTTACCATTTAAATATGTCTGCGCGTGTGAATAACAAAGATATAAAACATTTTCGTTGCTTCGTGTTTTTGGTTGACATTTTCCTGCATAAAAATTAATTTATTAAGAAGCTTAAAGCATTCTAACGCGAACCCATGCCAAATTTCATATAGTTTATAAGTGCCCTTGGCTCCTAACAAAAAGATTCTCAAGCTAGACTAAAACCATTCCTTTTTTTGTATCACGATTCTCGTCACAATGCTTCGTAAATATTTTGTGGAACTTTATTTTATTTGTACAAGCTTCCGCACATTCACCACGCATCAGACCAGAGCCGGAGAGCATCACCATTATGAATATTCAATAATTTACGCAAAAATTTATAACAAACAACAGCCGGGGCACAGCAAATATATCATCATGAGGAGACAATTGGAAGCTCTGGCATACTCTTGTCGAAATACACATTTCAAAACAAGCGGCAAACGTTTCAGCATAGCTGTGTTACCCCTATTTTCATTAATATTTATGTGCGACTTTGATGTAGAGGCAGTGATCTAGGCACAGAAATATTTATTGCAACACCTCAGAATGTCGGGGTACTCGAAATACTCATAAACGCCACAATAAATTGTCTTTAAATAGCCAGCCAATGTGGACTTGTTTCCGCCTCTGTACCGTCAAGATGAGGGAGCTTGGTAACAAATGATTTAACAACTAATTCAGTTGGCCACTTGACCTACAGGGGCTTGGGATGAAGTCTTTAAAACGATTCCCTGAAAGAGAAACAGGTTGCTTAACAATAGATTCGCCGTAGATTATTCTGGTTCTAATCGATCGCCAGTCGCAGACAAACCGGCGGGCCGGGACACGCGCACAGTGAAAGCTGCCGCAAAAGAACGTTAACATTTAATGGGAAGCATAAATTAATTATTGAAATTAGCTAGAATCGAAATAAAATAGGAAACCAAATGGGAATGGGAATGGAAAGGAGACTAAGAACTCGACTGGCAACAATGCCACAAAAGAGCTTCACCTAATCATTGTTTAACTTAATAATTAGTTTTTTATTATCTCCCCTTATAATTTGTTTCGAAACAACACTAAACAATGGCATCGATGCCGCCTGAGGGGCTAAAAAAAAACATCAAAATCAGAGACGTCGCGACGTTGGTGGCTGTGAACCTCAGCAATTTAGCCACTTTTGGCACCTTTTAGACGGCTCGTGCCATCTGAGCTGGCGGTTTGAACTTTGACTCCAAATAAAATAAAAAAAAATTTTTTTTTTTTAAAGCAAATTTAAAAATCTGCAAAATTATCAAATTAGGACAAATCGAACTTCAAAGAATTTAAAAATTTAATTAGGTATATTCCAGTTAAGCTAACAAATTGTCCATAATATTTCCTATAACTTCCTTTTATATTTTAAAGAATCATAAAACTATAACGACTCGACCTAATATGACTAATTTTATGGAAATCATCTTAGAATTTGACCTGCATTTGGCCATAAAAAGCAAACTAGTTGACCATAACTCACATATTGAGGCCACATTCTCCTTTTAAAACTCTGCGCGATAAGCCGGAATAGCGGACATAAAGTATCTGTATTTGGTATCGGAAACGTTTCCCTTTTCGAAATACCCCGAAAAATACTCTACCAATTCGCGGCTTAGAAGATGCTGTAATAGAACGGCAGTGAACTTGAATTCTGATTAATTGGAGCAATAAAATCGGCATTAAGCTTATACGGCTAATGAGGTGGATCCCAGAAAAACAAGCAATCAATCAGATTGATTCCATTCATGCCGCTCTAGTTCGGTGACAAACGCACCCTGACACTGAGCAATGGATCTGATAGATACGAAATGAACCCGTTCTGGGGAAGAGGCATGATTCGCAAACGAGTCGATTTAAATGTTTATATTTATAAGTATAAGCCATTCTAGTCAATTTGCACAAATGCTAATGCTGATTATTATGGTCTTAGAAGAGGCTTTAGTTAATGGCCATTAGAGAAACCCGTTTGATTTGGACGATGATGATGGCGACTATTATGGCGATGGGTTGGGGATGATGATGAAGGTTCTTCTTGGCCTGGCCCGCCGCTCTGTCTGCCGTGTAAGATTCTTCTCCACCTGGCCAGCCTGAGTGAGTCAACGGATCGCGGATTAACACGGCATCTGTCAGATAGTCGAGCTGAAATTTGCATCCACACTGTTTCTCTGATGGCTCGGCTAACTGCTATGACATTGTTTCAAATCGGATGCCGTTTGCTGCGCTTTGTGTCTGTGTAAGGCCAAGGTCAAATTTTGTAAAGAGATTGTAAACATTGGATTAACTGCTACGGATGTGTTGCCTTTTCAATCCGAATCGGTTGCCCCTTTGTGTTGACTCTGCATTTGCATTTTTGAGCCACCTCGGATCGGCTCGACTCGGCTTTTGGGTTTTATTTTGACATCCATTATGGATTGGTTTGACAAGTGCTGTCAGTGCTCAAGACAACGACCCACATCGATGGATGTGGCCAAATATATTTTCCGTTAATTGCTTCACACTGGTCGTCAGCCTGCCAGCTAGTCAGCCAGTCAACCAGTCAGAAGCGATTTAAGCCAACAAATGACAAAATTTGCGTGACAAAGCCGCCCTCTCGGGGGCTAAGGCGATAATCGAATGTATGAATGAATGAATTTTCAAATCGATCTAGACCGAATCGAGTCTTGTCTTCATATTTGTCGTGATTTTATGCCGAATGCGAACGTGTCGCCGTCGCGTCGTTGATTAATGTTGGCGTTTTGTTCGTTTTATAATTAAAATTTAATAGACCGGGCAAAATGTGTTGCCGATGCCTTGGTATTATGCTAATCACTGGCGCCCACAGCAATCTCTAAAAATATATATATTAAATATTTTTTTGGAGTCATTTACAAAGGCAATCATCCTTCCTCCGGCGAACACCGTCGCCTGCACCTCCACCTCCTCGGCAGACAATTAACAAAGGCTACGCCAATTTAATGGCTATTCACTTTGGCCACGAGCTCCAAGTCTAACTTGATCCAAGTCTGGAACCGAAGACCGAGTAATTGCCAATTTTTGCGGCTCCTAAACGATTTTGTTCACGCTCAAGAATCGCCAAACTTAATCATAAATCGCCGCTGTCTCGAATTTGTTTTTGTATGATTTATTCGTGAGCAACTCGAATGCTCGCCGAGAAGGTTAAACAGTTGTTAAACATCTATTAGCAATTGATTAATTTACTGTTAATGCGAAACAACCATGCGACTTGTGCCACGGATTTGTCCGAGGGAAGCGGCAAGGGGGCAATATCGGTCAATTGGATAAGGAAGTCGTATGGCGCAAATGGATTATGCGGAATTTCTGGTGCCGATCCATAAATTGAGACATCAGTTGCTCGGGTCGAGTTGTATGTTGATTGCCGATATTTAAATGAATCATTTCGAGCACGGCCTAGCCAAAAATATTTAAAAATAGTAACGATGTTGGAGTTTGTTTACTTATCAATATGAATAATTAAAAGAAGGTGAAAACCTGTTTGAAAAATATGAACTAAATAGCTGAATAGGTGAGATTTTAAGTTCTGGCTAAACGGGTTAAAGAAATTTATGGTGTGCAGTTGGGGTATTTTTGATCCTACACTTCTGTGTGTAGAATAATAAAAAGACTTTAAACTTTTGTTATGGAATAAATGATATAGAATAAAAGTTTTATTCATTTAATTTAAGAATTTAATTAATATTTATTGGTTCGTGTCATGAAGTCTAATAGAAAAACCCCCCTTTTAAAAGCCTTCAGCTAATATATTTTTGAAATCCAATTAAAAGCCCATGTTAAAATCTAAGCCGAGATTAAAAGCTTCTAACCAAAGCTCTACAGACCGAAAATCAGCCTCAAAGTACACTTCAAATTAAAGAGACTTTCAAGCCCGGCTTTGTCCACTTTTTTCATAATTTTGAAAGCCAAATTTTAAGCTGCGACATGATGTAGTTCTCAAGCATGATTGCGCAAAGCCAGCTGCATGCGTGACTGATTTTCATTGCTGGCTTTTGTTGCTTTTTGTCTGACTCTCGGGCACTTGAGTGCCACTGACGGGTTGATTCATATTTTGCCTGGCCTGTGCCGTCTACACAAATCATCGTACGCAACGCCTGTTGGAAACGATTGGAGTGCGTTTTACAATTGAACAGTTATGAGCCGACAAAAAACCATCAACGAGGGGGAGAATAGAAAAAAAATAGTATTGGGGAAACTGTGCCAAGGGCAATTTCGCCTGTGATTGATTTACAAGAGGCTAACGTAACGTAATGCAGCCCGGACAAAGCCCCAAGAAGGGATGGGGCCACACTGCGTATGCGCAATTTACCTCTTAGATCTTCGAACAGGTGATGTATTTAAGTTTATGGCTTGTGGCGCTGGCATAAATCAATTGGTGACTTTATTGAATGTCTATTAAGTCATAATTATAATATGTTCATTAATATTTTCGATTAGCTGCTGTCGGAATAATGTGAAGAATTAATTGGAAATTTGAGAGACAATCAACGGCGAAGACGAAGAAGCCAGCGGCTAAAAATATTAAATATAATCTTTTTGTTGTGGCTTTTGATTTTAGAATGATTTCATATTTATACTCGCATTTACATTTGCGTGCTTGTTTGATGTCTGAGCAGCAGAATATTAATAGCTTGTTTGGGAAATTTACACCCGGATGGAGGCAAAGGGAATCCAAATGCGAATACGAATCTGAATCGTCATCGCCCCCTCAGAGTAACATCTGCGAAATTAGCTAGGGTCAGCAGGTGTCTGACTGACTGGCTGTAAATGAACTTGTTCTCGTTGAACCGCTCCGGATTAGGTACAGTCCATATCTATTTGTTTGCTGGTCGATAATTTCCATCGCATAATTATCGTGGCGCGGCAAACAATGCGTGGCGAATCTCTTGTCATGCCGAATCTTTTCAAGTTTCAAGTGCCATGCTGTAATCATAAATCAACTGGGCAAAAAGCCGAGTCTAAGTGCAGCTGCAGATTCGATGGTTGATGTCTGATGCCTTACGCCTCATGCCCCATGCCTTATGCCTTATGCCTTATGGCTGACAACATAAATCACACCCAGGCGGAGCGCTCGTTAAGACGTTAATCAAATGGCTCATACTCAAAGATCGAGCTGGCTTAGGGCGCCTCTGTCGTCCAGCGAAATTGAAGGCCGTTTGTGTCTAGTAAGTATGTGCTTATGTAATTAGTGGCAGTACCTCCGACCCTTCCCCTTCGCCCACTCGGTTGCATAGTTTTTGCTTTGCCGCAACCCCCAAAGATCTCCTTCAGAGCCCTAGCGGAGAATCGTTGCACAACGCGCCAGTTGCAGTTTTGGTTTTTTTCTTCTTGTTTATCTTTATTTTTGGGCAACCTAATGAAGTTGCCACGGCTAACTCAATTTATTGACTGAGCCGACTGACATATTGACTAAATGACTGATGAACCTGGCGACAGACAGACCGACTAACAGACTGAATGACTAACAGCCCGCCGAGAGTCGGTGGGAATCGCGGGTTCTCCAATCGCCACAACCAATCGCCAATCGGTGATCATCGATCGACGCGCTCATATTTATTTTGGCTCTAACAGCACCTTGAATGGCCCATGTATGGATGCAATGCCTTGCACTGCCAGTCGCAGTCGTTATGGGCTCTCAAAAAATACAATTCATATATATGTATGTCTATCTGTAAGTGCATAAACATACCAGTATATAGCCGATATGTAGTCGCTATGGGTTTATAGACTTGCAAACACCGCTTTCGACCCCCTGAAAACGTTCACGGCTGCCCGTAGCTCTCGGAATTTCCGCCTCTGATTTATGGCGCCTCCAGCTTGATTGATTTGACCTACCAACTGGACAGTGGCCACTTTGCACCACTGGGTGGGGGCTGCACTTGACCCGCTGGTATTTTGGCTATGCATTGGAAAATAGAAATATTTCCATAACTATTAAAAGACTACATGGGCAGAAACAAACTGCAACTTTGTTTTTGAAGAAGTTTTATATTATGAATAATAATGTAGCAATTGCATTTATTTCGGTTGCATTTTTTTCTCTGCATGTGGTTGTCAAAAGTGACGCCCCAGAAGGCCAGTTGGATGGAACATTGACCCACCAACAAATCCCCCGAGCGAGTGACGTATCCAGTTTTGACTTTGGTTTTCAATTTAGTTTTTGTTTTTTTATTTGGAATAATATTTCTTTGATGTTTGAGGACTTCAAGGGGCTGAGTGATTCACAGGACTAAAGTCGCTTAGTGGAGTATTGCGGATCCTCTAGAAGGTGAAGGGCTTGGCAGGCTTGTTGTAGTTGTAGCCGTCGGGTCCCAGGGATCCCGCCTCGTCGCCACCACTGGTGGGTGGGGGTCCATACTCCTGAGTAGGTGCTGGTGGTGCGGGCGGGCGGGGCTGATAAGTGGGTGCTGGTGGAGTGGGTGCGGGCGGCAGTGGCTGGTAAGTGGGAGCTGGAGGTGCTGGAGGACGAGGCTGGTAAGTTGGTGCTGGAGGTGCAGGCGGTGTTGGAGGACGAGGCTGGTAGGTGGGTGCTGGTGGTGTTGGAGGACGTGGCTGGTAAGTTGGCGCCGGAGGGCTGGGTGGAGTAGGAGGACGTGGTTGATAGGTGGGTCCTGGTGGCGACGACGGTGGGGGTCCATAGGATGGAGCCGGAGCAGTTGGCTGTGGCTGAGCCGGAGTCACTTCGTTCTCTCCAGGGGGAGGCAGGTATTCGTTTCCAGGTGTAGGACGTGGTGCCGGTGGACTAGGAGGCTGAGGACGTGGTGGCTGAGGACTTGGTGGTGAGGGCTGGCTAGGTGGGGGTCCGTACGAAGGAGTAGGCGCGGGTGGAGCTGGGGGAGAAGGTGGAGGTCCGTATCCAGGAGTGGGCTGAGGCCTTGATGGTGGCGGTGGTGGAGGAGGCTGGGGACGCGAGGGAGTTGGTCGAGGCCTAGGTTGATCCGGGGGCAGATACTCCTGTCCGGGCTGACCCGAGGGAGGCGTTGGCTGCGGTGGCGGACGTGGGGGAAGAGTTTGAGGTGGTCCATAGGATGGAGCTGGGGGCGTGGGCTGTGGCGGCGGACGAGGTGGCTGCGTCTGCGGAGGTCCATAGGAAGGAGCTGGGGGAGTGGGCTGTGGCGGCGGACGAGGTGGCTGCGTCTGCGGAGGTCCATAGGAAGGAGCCGGAGGCGTGGGCTGTGGCGGAGGACGAGGTGGCTGCGTCTGGGGGGGTCCGTACGAAGGTGCCGGAGGCGTGGGCTGTGGTGGAGGACGAGGTGGCTGCGTCTGGGGGGGTCCGTACGAAGGTGCCGGAGGCGTGGGCTGCGGCGGAGGACGTGGGGGCTGCGTCTGAGGCGGTCCGTATGAAGGAGCCGGAGCCGAGGGGGCAGGACCCGATCCTATGCCCGAGTCCTCGATGCCGTTGCCTGATCCCGGAGGAGGGAACGGCACCGAAGGCTGCTTGTAATGATAGCCATCCTCCTGGAGATCCGTGTCCAGGTGGGAGACATCCGCCCGGATGCCTGCTGCCAAGAGCAGAGCCACCAGCGGCACAAAGCAACAACGCTGCAACACGGAACGAAAACGCATCAGAGCGGAGACCAAGCTTTTCCGGCTGCCAGCCAACTTACCATTTCTCGGATTTTCCGAGTTTTCCCAACAACAAATATCACAAAGCGCGAAATGAAAACTGTTACCGTTTTCGCTGAGGAACCGCACACGATATTACTTATCCGACGACGTCTTCGTTGCAAAATCAGAAATCGAATGATGCCCAAATGTTCTCCCTTGGCGCATTTATACCGGCCTGGCCCAGAGCAGCCCCTAAGTCGGCTGGGCTGGCTAAGTCGGCTCCGTTAGCCAGGTTCGCTCAGCTCAGCTCTGCTCAGATGCCGAGGCTTTGAGTCAGCCAGCGAGACGAGTTTTGGCCGAGTCTCTCGGCCGTCGTGATGCTGCAACCTTTGATGTAGCCACAAGTGAAGATAGATGCTGTAAAGATACTGTATCTTTATCTGCGCCTGTATCTGTGTATCTGTGCCTGTACCAGTGTCTGTACCTTTGCGATTCGAAGTCAATAACAGCGCGTACTAGTTAGTTTTTTGTCTTAATCTAAGGTTCCGTGCCAAAACCAGGAACTTGGCGAGGGGATTTCTGGCCGTTCTGTGTGTTTGGCTAATTATGTCCGATGGGAGACGACAGAATTCACACCACGGGCAACGTGGGCGGATGATTAATGTGTGAACTTCTGATGACTGCCTCAGACAGTTACCGAACGGAGCACATATGGCCAAGATCTGCTAGAATCGTGCTTACATAATTGGCTCCCCCACCACCCACTTTGATGCTTATTGCCGTGGGCATGCCAGAGCCATCCAGCCACTCATTGGAGCCGACATTCTCCAGTTGGTCAATAAAATGTTATGCCCATATCGATTAGTTAATAAGCCAATTGGCTTAGCGCGTAACACGCCGCAAACGACCAAGCCAGGCGATTAATTAACTTTGCATTTTTATTGGTTTCATGCTGGCTCCGGGTTCATAAGTGATCTCCATGCTAGCCGCTTTGATCGAGAAGCATTTACAAATTGATTCAGTGTGTTCGTTCTTAAATCTTATTCGTTAAATTGGATTACTTAAGTTTAAGTTTCGGCACAACATAATAACAAAGTCCTGACAAAACGTTATTGCACTTAAACTAAACCCTCGTTCTATATATGTACGTCTCTACATCTGTATTAGCTAAGTTCGTTTTAAAAATTATAAATTACTCACAATTCCACTAGGTTTTGATTCATTTGTTTTAACATTTGTTGCTTCTGTGATTTTGGTGAATTATTTGCTTTTGTTTCAAGTTTTTCGACTGTTCGTTAGAGTTGTTAGTTAGTGAGTTAGTGTTCCGATTCGTGTGTTTACCAAAAGATTTAATATTAGTTAGTTATGTTAGGTGTTAATTCTGCCCAAGCAATTATCGTTTAGTGTACGTTTAATTATTAAAATCTAAAAATCCGCTTTAATTGTTGCAATTTTTCATTGTTTACTTTTGTCTCAATACTTCATTTGCTTATTATTGTTGCGTTTGCAATGCTGTTAACCATTTTAATTAGCCAAGGGCTGCTCCCAAGCTTCCTCCATCCGGTCTCCATCCGGGTTTACTTTCCCCGATAGATCTCGATGATGCGATCTTGGTCCACGTACTCGAAGATGTGCGGGGCATCCATCAGAATGCCAACCGTTCCGGCCGTGGTCACAATGAAGAAGATGTACAGTTGCAAGCGATCGATCACCATGGCCACGTACTTCCAGTCCTCACGGGTCTGCGGATAAGGAATTGTTAGTATTTTTATTCAAATTTAGGTTTGTTTTTCTAGGTTAACCTGTATGTAGAGATCCTCGTTCCGCAAGTGCTCAGCTATGAACTCAACTGCCTCGGTGGCCTTGCTGGCCTCCGGAGAGAGCAGGATTGAGTCGGAGGACTCGCTCTCCCGCCGGCAGCCATCGCCCAGGCCCAGGTCCGCACCGCTGTTGACCTTGCGGTTGATCTTGCAGTTCGGATGGTGGAGGTCCGACAGCTCCATGACCTCCATCTTCGACTGCTTGCCCCCGATGGCGCTGATATGCTTCGGCAGCTCCGCCGGCGAGCCGTACGACGGGTGGGGGTGGGCGGGCATGCTCATCCCGGGCATCTCCATCATCCAGCGCAGGCGAGTCTTCCGGGGCCGCTTCATAAACAAGAATGCGGGCAGATAGTGCAGAAAAATGGAGCGGATGTACATGGGCATGCGGTGGGTGCGCGGCCCTCGGAAGTTCCAGTTGATGATGATCACAGTTACCAAGATGGACACCGTGTTCATGATGAAGGTGAACAGCAGATATTTGGCGATCAGCGGTAGCACCAGTGACGTCGGCGGTAGAATCTTGGATACCAGCAACAGGAACACAACCAGTGACAGCAAAATGCTAATTCCAAGCGTAACCTAGGACGTAATTATGTAATTAACCATGATATGTAATAGGTAATGGCCATGAACCTCGAAACCAGAAATTTAAGCAAAACATAGGAGGAATATATTATAGGTAGTGGCCGTTACATTAAGGTATGTGGGATCTCTCTCATTAGTTAATATTTTAAACAGAATTTAATGCTAGTTCTTACTTACATTGGAGGAATATATTATATATAGTGGTCGTTACATTAAGGTATGTGGGATCTCTCTCATTAGTTAATATTTTAAACAGAATTTAATGCTAGTTCTTACTTAGAAACTCTCATTAAACATGATTTTACAAGCACTGCTATGAAGTAACCCTTCTAGGTAGGCCCCTATGAGGTAATCCCACCCTAACAACTCACCTTCTCGCCGGCCTCGGCTGGCAGGTAGAAGACCAACACGCAGAGGAACGAGATGAGAACTGTGGGCAGAATCAAGTTGACCGTGTAGAATAGGGTCTTGCGACGGATGATTATGTAGAATGTGATGTCCGTCTCCGTGGGGTGGTTAGCATCGCCGTCGTAGACGTTGAGATAGGCCGGGACCTCGATAATGTCCCAGGTGCCCGACTTCCAGTAATCCGATAGATCCACAAAGTTCTTGTTGTTGTAGAGGGCCAGGGACACCTGATCACCGTTGAAGGTCCAGGAGCCGAACTTCATGATGCAGGTCTGCTGATCGAAGGGGAAGTAGGTGACGTCGATGGTGCAGGAGCTCTGGTAAATGGCCGGTGGCACCCACAGGACCTCGCCCGTTGGGTAGATCAGGACGTTGGACTTATACCGCACCTCGTAGTTGCCGTCGGCACTGCATACATAAAATGGAATATTAGTTACATGTTCTAAGGAAGAGCTATCTTCTGCTGAGAAAAGCAATTTAGCACTCTGCTTTCGCCTACGGTTTTTGACTATTTTGGTTAGTGTTCAGAGTTGGAGTTAATTGGTGGGTTAGCTAGGAATAAGAGCCATTTACTCACTTATTGAAGAGCACAATGTCCGGCTTCCAAACCTTGTCGGGGGGCAGACGCAACACCCCGATGCCGCCGTAGTCGGCCTCATCCCACTGCAGCTGGTAGTCGAACCAAACCAAACGTAACCAAACGTTTGATTTCATAATTTGATTTTTCTCATTCTTGATCGGTTTTCGATTTTCGATATTCGGTTTCGGGAATTCGTTTTTTAGATTTTTTTTTTGGTTTGTTTTTTTGATTGTGATCAGATGGTGGTGGTTTGGTGGTTGGTTGATTGGTTGGTTAGTCGGTTGGTGGTTTGGTGGTGTGAAAGAAGTACGGTACGAAGTACGGGTACGATTTGCATTTGAGATTCGAAATGAATCGAAATCGAATCGAATTTTTGGCGTACACAATCGAGAAGTCGAGAGAGAGAGCGGGTGGGAAGGTAGTAAGACATTATTTCGCATGTGGCTTTACTTCAGTTGGTTAGTTTTTTTGTTAGTTGGTTAGTTTTTTTTTTTCTTGTTAAATCTTAATTTGTTAGGGTTAGTATTTGTATTTTGTATTTGATTTTCTAGCATCAAGTCCACTACAAACATACAAAGTCAAGACAAAGTGTACGTAATTATTTACAAAGCATAACCGAAACTGAAAACATTGGCTTCGGCTCCCCCTTTCTACCGGCGCCCCCCCTTTTTCCAAAAAGGGGCGTGGTCTCGGGTGCAGCCAGTGCATGTGTGTTTGTGAATGTTGTGTGTGTGTGAGAGTTTAATTGTGTGTGTAATTGGATGGAAGAGTATTGGTATGACAGCAACGAAACTGAAGAATTTGTTAGGAACAGAACTCGAAAACACATTTACACTCTACGAATGTTAGTTTTATATTTTTTGTTTTTTATAGCAAATTCTTATTGTTATTATTCGGGTTTTTTTTTCTGTTTGACAGAAAATTTGATTTGAGAACACTTACGACATTGATTAGCTGTACGAACGCCAAACCAAATCTTACTCCAACTTTTTGTGTCATATTCTGTACGGGTCGTATGAGTTTATTATAGCCTCGAAAGAGGTCACGCACCAAGCGCTCTTCATCTTCGGATGCACTGACTAAAAAACACAACGGAAACGGGAAACGGGATACAGGAAACGGAAAACGAAAAACGAAAACAAGGAAAACGGAAACGGAAGTGGGAGTGGGAGTCAAGGATATCCAAAAGTAAAAGAAAAAATAAACATTTTTTAAACAAACATTGAACATTTCAGGGAACAAGGATAGGGACATAACACAAAATGGCGGACATACAGAAGAATTCAGAGATAACGGTAACCATAATAAAGAAAATACAGAGAAACAAAGAAACGAACGGATGAGCAAAATTGTTGTATTCTGTTTAAGTATTTCTTGTTGTTCTTTTTTAATTTTGAATGATTTTTAACTTATAGACAGATAGAGTTAGACAGTGACAGATTGATAGAGCGAGATAGAGAGAGAGAGTTAGAGAGAGGAAGAGGCAGAAAGAGATAGAGGATAGAGACTGAGAAATAGGAAGATAGGACAGAGACATTTCAGATTTAAAACCGATTCTTCATCTTCAACTTCATCATTGATTTGGAATTTTGATTTGGAAAGTTAAACAAAAATGGACCGCTCCAATTTGGTTAATATTTCTGTGTCTGTAGTGGTATTTGTAGTGGTTGTTGTGGTGGTGGTGCAGGTGGGTGTCTGTTGTATGGTGGTGTGCACGTACCACGTGACACTGTTGGTGTTGTTAGCTGTTTTTGTTGTAGTTCTGGCCTACGTTGAGTATACGCCGCGTGGGAGGCACTTCCATTAAACAGGGCCTATGGGCGGAGATACAGTGGGTCCCCCGCCCACAGTGGGTGGTTTAATGCAAGTGCCTCGCGATTCTTACAGTCCTAGAGCCTGGCACAAGAAATCACTAATTCAACAAGGTTTCAAGGCTAACTATTTGGATACTTTTCATGTTTTTGTGCTTCACAAGGTGCAACTTTTTTGTTTTGGCGCCCCAGCAGGGATAACTAGAAACCTAAAGGATACCTCTTAATCTTCTTCTTCATCCTGTTGGGCGGGAGAGAGACGGCCATATCCTGCCCGACAGCTGGGCTGTGGAAACTTTATCCGGAAAAGCTCCACCGAACGGAAAAGTGAGACAGAGAGAAAGAAAAGCTCAGGGATGCTGGATCCCATACTCTCGGCTACTTGTGTGTGTGACCGGGTTATCCTTGTGGCACATGTGTGTGTGTGTGCACGTGTGCGGCTCCATATATGGAGCACGAACTTTTTCTACGGTGTGAGTGGTTTTTGGAACTCGTTTATATATATTTTTTTCTGAGTTGCACTTTACGCTAAGTGAATGAGATGATTGGGGTTGGTCTCTATGATGATACTAAGCGATGCCTTTTGTATATGAACGAGTGTACGAGTGTTGATGTGTGTGTGTGTGTATGGATGAAGTTACTAATTTTTCTGCTTTTATTTTATCCTTTTATGTATATACCAAAGAACACTATTATGGCTGTTTGTTTAAGGGGGGGTTTCTGTCTATTTGAACATATTTAATTCTACATATTTTTGCTTTTCTTTTCGTTACTTCTTGGACTGCTCAGAAGAGAAGGAGTATGAATTAAGATTCGGCAGTTGATACAGAAATCTTTATATATATATATACACGTATATATGTATGCATTCCGGTTCAGTTGATTGCATTCGCATTTGCATTTTCGTTTGATTTGCTTTGCTTTCGGTTGCTGTTCATTTCGGTTGCTGTGGCCTGGTCTGGATGCTGTACGCCACCACCCATCCTGCAGGCCCTTAAAGGACCTTGGCTACCACGCTTTCCGCAGATACATAGTCAGGGGGTTTCAGGGGGTGAGAACGGAGAGACAGAGCGAGAGAGAGAGATAGAGACAAAGATAGAAAGTACAAGAGAGATGCAGAGGGGCTCTGGAGAAATATTTAATTACAAAAGCGAACATAGGCTAGGGATATATTTTGATTAATATTTATAGAGTTACAAGAGTATGCAGGTGTACTGGAAGTATAGTAATGGAAGTAAGGTAATTCGCAAGTTTAAAGTTTACAGTTTTCGAGCATTGGAGAGAGATTTTTTATAGAGAGCAGGAGCGAGACAGAGAGAGAGCAAGTGACAGAGAGCGAGAGATATAAAGCTAAGCTGAGGATTATATATTGTATGCGGATATAGAAGATACATATAGAGGCTATGGCAGTAGTGGGTCTAGTCTGGGGCACTTGGCTGAGTGCGGGAGTTGGTGCTATTAGGAGTTCTAATTGATATTATGAAATATAAACAAATACATAATAGTAATAGATAGAGTTGATAGATGGCTCAGTTGAATGACTAGCGCAGTTGTGATTCGGTTATAATTTTTTTTCGTATTTTTTTGCAGCGCTGCAGCAGCGACGCTTTGACAGATTCTCCAAGTCTCACTTTTTCGGGCAATCGCAAGTCGAGAGTGGTCGGTGGTTGTGTGGCGGTTATAGCTGGTCTACTACATATTCTTTTTGTTGGTTTCGTTCTTGGTTGTGGCTATGGTGGGGTAGTGTGGCTATATGCTATATACACAAAACGTCGGATGCCAGAAGCTGCAAGGGAGCAGCGACCGCGGCCGGTGGCTCGTTGGCTTGTTGGCACGGTGGTTCAAGCGTTGGTGCGGGTGGAATTGAGAGCTTGGAGAACTTGTTAATGTGGCGCTGCCAGCGCAATTTGTAAATTTAAGAAAAAAATCAAATCATTGCTGTAAAATCGTTAGCTAGCTAAGGAGAAAGAAAGAAAGAGATAGTTGTCTTTTTGGATGTTCTTTTTTTTTTAGTTGCGGGACTAAGAAACGGTTAGCAGAGTTAACAGAGTTGATTGGAGGTCCTTCTCGATTTTTTTTTCTTGTTGTATTACATAACCACCCAGCCAGAAAGGCATTCCGTGCCCGATCGACCAACGTACGTACCTGCGGCAATGGTCAGGAGCACAAGGATGCTGCAAAGCAGCCAGGATTTGCTGGAGGGCTCCATAGATTTTCCACTTTTTCACCTACTCCAGGGACATGGCTAAGCAAAAGGCCCACGCCCCAAACTGTAGACACAAAGAATTTTCAATTTAAGACCTTAAACTCATCCGAACAAACTCGAAAATAACGCACTTCACCTTAATTCGCTTATCTTGATTTTAAGATTTTTCTTTGCAATTTTCTGCTTTATTTTCACAGTTTTCTGTGCAATTTTCTTCGAGAATTTTTTCTTCTTGAACAGGAGCCGTCAGTTTGGGTGCGGATTAAGAACTCTACTTCGGGAATCTGGATAAAAATCAATGGGATTGCTACTTCCAAGCGCGCAGCAGCCGATTCCGAGAAAAGGACACGGCGCATGTGCCAGAAAGTCCGGATAAATGAGGAAAAAATGTGAAAAGCTCTCTCTTTCCCTTGGGGTGTTTTCCGACTTTTCTCACTCCCTCATGAGCCAAGAGTTTGTAAACAAAGGCAGAAGCCTTATCAGCTGTTGATAATTTTGTTTACATGCGCTTGGCCTCCAGGGTTGCCGCCCACCCACGCCAGTTTCCAGCACAGTGCTTGCAAAAAGTTAATGGATGAACAAATGTATGCTTCCGCTATCTGATTTCGCTGTATGGTGTTTTAAAAATTTTTAATTATGACACAACGCCCGAGCCTATAAATTAAGCAAACAATAAAAACGCTATAAAGGCAACGCCTCGAAAGGTCATGGGGGCGGGGCGCCTAATTCGTTTTTTCATAGTTTTTTCTTTGTTAGCGCCGCCTAATCGCTGGTGGGTATCATTAGCAAAACGCAGTTCCTCGTGACGCCCAAATAATTTAAATAAACTTGCACAAAAAAACACCACGATTTTATAAAACACTAGCTATTTGGCATGAACTAAATTGGTTCCAGTGGGAAACGATGCCATGACGTAGGCATATTTTTCCGAAAAGTCTTTTTGGAGCAAGGTAATAATTTTGACCTTTTCTTTTTCTGATTCTCATGGAGCTGTCAGCACTTGGCTTAATCTTTAATTACATGAGAGTTGCGAAGCCTACAAACTTCCGTGAATAGATTGATAGATGTACAATTTGTTTAATGCACTAAAGGTGAGGGGAAGAGCGTGAAATATTTAGATATATTTTATCTAAAAGTATTTGAAAATTCTCTGCACAGAGAAATAGACACGACGATGATACAGCTTAAGGAAAACATTATGCATGCCATACGAAGCTGCGCTCGAGACGTTTGGTAATGAAAGCATATTTTTGCATTGATGATCATGTTGCTGGATTTGCTGAAGTAGTGTGAAGTGCACTGAAAAAAAAATATGATAATAAAATACGAGATAAACATCAGGACCTTAAGTCCTTAAGGTTTCTAAAGTATGAATAAGGTAAGCTAAGGCCCTCTACTACAGTTGTTATAACCCCTGCTTAGATTTTAAACAAACGTATTTTTAAGGTCTTTTTATTTCTTAAGGTTTGGTTTCTAAAGTTTTATCCTTTGTTTTGTTCTCTGTCATAGTTGGTAGATGTTTGGGCTGCTTGGCTGGCTGATGATGATTTTCATGTGCGCATGACAGCGCAATACAATGCAGCGAAAGACGAAAAACTCAGGCCACGAACGTGCAAGTTATGAGACATGTGGCTGAGCTGGGCAAAAACTGTAAGGTCGCCACGGAGCGCATAAAAAGCACAACTTTGAAGCCTTTGTTTGGCTCCGTTGGCGCAATTTGGGTGCCATTTTGGTGTCACCCAGCAACCCAGCAGCCAGCAACCCAGCAGCCGAACAACAACACAGCTTGACTGTTTGAAAGAGCGATAAAATCAATGGCAACGCCAACGCAAATTACATCAAATTAATTTCTGTATCTTCATAAATTTTTATTTAATTATTTCTCGCCGCATTCAATTGAAACACTTTGGCCAAGGTCGGCCCCCCAAACTCTAAGCCGCAGCGATGTACGTGCCCGAGATGGCCTAGAAATCTGCTGGAGAAATCTTTTCATAACTGGGTGTAACCGTTAGGCAAAATAAAATAACAAATAGAGCCAAGGCATGTTGTAGCATTTCAATTTTCATACATATTTTCGTCGCTAGAGCCACTGCTAGAGCCAGCCAGTTATTCAATTAGTGTGTTTTGCCCAGTCGCATCTTAAACTGCCATTAATCATAAAAGTGAAAAAAATCTGCCATAATCATTGTATGCCAAACTGTGTGCGAAAAAGCTGCCATTCTGCACACATAAATGTAATGTGATATCATAAACATTTGGAATGTTTTTGCGAGTTCTTTTGTTCTGCTTGGCTTGTGCTGTTGTTTGTTTTCTCATAAGCACAGACAAATAAATTAATTAGTCAAAGCAATTTGACTTTGGCGCTGGCCGATTCCGTGTTAATTTTTACACTCAAGAACCCGAGGAGGGCGTTTGCCGAAACAATAATAGAGGCGGAATTAGCTTGGCTGGGCATCGCCAAATTGCACAATTAGCGGTATGTGGCTGCTGCAGTGGCAGTTGGGCAATATTAAAAGTCCTCAACCATATTAACACTTTGGGCAATGTTTTGCGGCGCGCCGCAGTCAAAATTTGTGTCAGCCTGCCAGCAACAACAATCGAAAATCATGCGGCTAAGCGCACGACTGAAAAAAAAACAGTCACAATACATAAATCTCCATTCCGATGACAGCCACAAAAACGCCAAATATGGTGTCAATGGCTGAGGATAAAGCAGCGGTCCCATGAGGAAGTGCGACAGGTGCGACAGGCATGCGGCAGATGCGACTTCCTTATGCCTGCCCCATGGGGCAGCATAAGTGCTAGCTCAAAAAACAAAAACGCCCCCGACATGGCATTCACTTTCAGTTGGCTTTTTTGTGTGGTTGGTGAATATACAACCAAAGCCTAAAAGATTTCCTAAGCTTGTCATAACATAAAGCCCAGAAATAGGCAACAGAACATAGTGCTTTTATGTAGAAAAAATGTAGAGTTCCAAATATTGAGGCATTTGTAGGTTTTATAGAATATTTTCAAAATATTTTTTTATTTCAAAAGGCAAAAAGTGGATCGCTGTGAAGGACCTCCGATCCCCTAAAATATGTGTACATATATGTATATTCGTCAAGGGAAAGAGTCGACTTAGTCTCTCAAAAACGGTAGGAAATTTCATATTTCAGTTTTGTTTATCATTATGCGGCTTTGGCGTCTCCTATCAGTATCGAAGATGTCAGGGTAAGGGTCAACAAAGCAACCTTTGCACTTCTTCAAATTTGAACCTTTGACACTTTTTACAGTAAAACGCTCTGAGATTTTCCTATAAATAGGGGCCTCTTGGACATTCACAGTCATTCAGTTTCTACGTTCAAGTCAACAACATCTCCGTATTTTCTATTTTTATTTTTATTTTTATTTTTTTTATTCCATTTGGGATCTTGAAGAATTTTTTTTCAGTTGCTACAAACCATATTAAATATTTCTTAAATTTGTTAATTTATTTTTTATTTTTCTGAAATCCTTTTTTTAATTTCGAGCTTTTTCGGTAATTCTGCCGTAGTCTCTTTTTGGACTTCTTTTTATTTTAATATTTTTTTGATGTCATGGGTCCTTGCCACCCGTAAAGTAGATTTGTACAAATTTATTGAGACATGCTACAAAGTAATATTTTCAATGTTTGAAACGGCAGCAGTTAATTTACCAGCAGTTAACTTCTTCTCCTTAGCCTTCAAATTGTAAACTTTACTATATAGCAGACCTCCTGGCTTTTTCCCGATATTCTGCATATAATAGGTTTCCTATAAAAATATATTTAATTAATTTCAATAACTTTTTTTGGTGTCTTTACTAATACCTTAATTTCGGATTCAAACATCTGCTGAATTTCCTCGGCTGTTGCTGACAATAATTTCTGTTTTGGTTGAACATTGTTCTAAACAAAATAGTCAGCATAATACTGCTTAAAATTTTTCGAATTTTTTGTTTTTTTTTTTTCTTATTTGATAATGTTTTTGCTTCCTTATAATAGTTGATAACCGTCGCTGTCTTGGTGCTGTGAGCCAAGATTTTTGATAAATCAATCTAATTATTATAAGATGATGTTAATGATGATGTTAATGAAAGTTAATGATGAAGCTAAACTGACTTTGCAAATTTTTCTTACATCAGTGATAAAAATGCTGCTCTCTAAATCGATGTGGTAATTATTCTAAATTAAATAATAAAAAAAAAAGCAAATGATTGTAAGAAATAAAAAAGGTTAAAAATTTTTGTATCTATAAATCAAAATAAAGTCAATAAAAAATGAAGAATTTGTTATTTTATTTGTGTAAAAGTTATTGGAAATCGATCGCTTCGTACATCAGTTAAAAGCGAAAGATTCAGAGTTGCTTTTGCGCATTGGAATAAGTGAAAAAATGTCGTGTATCCGCTATGTATGTGTACGTGTGTATTCCTTATTGAGGTAAGGCTCACTAAGCATTACAGAACAAAATAAATACAACGAATTCTTTGTAATTTGCAATTAACTAACTCGGCGTTTCCAAGTTTGTAGATCTGAGTAGAAAACTACTGCTTTCCATACTAATTCATTGGGAATTTCAAGTCTCAATTGCTCCCACGTTAAATGTTTTAGGGTTTCTTCCCCAAAATTAAGAAATATCATGCACATTCACAATTAAATTAAATAAAATGATCTTTTTTGGTAACTTACCAGCGAATATGGAGGCAAACGCTTCTCCGTTTAACTTTTTAAGCAAAGAATCCATTAGAACTTTCTTAAATAAACTTGTAAACTTGTTAAATAAACTTGTCACTTCCACGAAAATTCGGCAAGTCATCATAGAGATGGAGAACACCGTTATTTTTTCGATATTTGTGCGATACACTCACGCGTGCAGGATTCGATAACACCAACAACACTGTCGGTGTTACGTTTTATATAATTTTTCTATTTTGCTAATAAATTTATTTATAAATATCTAGATCTCTATAAAAAATGAAAAAATTACAGGTACAAAAAATTCTATATTCAACAAAATATTTCTATTTTCTAGGGTTACCTAAATTAAAGGGTGCATTTTTGTGCATTTTTAGAAAGGAATTTCTATATTGTAGAAACAGTTTTCTATTTTTTAGGGTTAGTTTCTTTTATGGTGAGCCTTTATATTATTAAGAAAATAGTTCCTGAAAATAAGTCATAACTTTCCTGAATTATAGAAACATTTTCTTGTTTTTAGGGCGATTTCAGTTTATGGCGACTTTTTCTATATTTGAGAAAAACTTATTTGATTTAAGAAATTTTTCTTGTTTTTCTTGAGTCTAGAAATCTTTTCTTGTATTTAGAAAAAATAAAGTTTTATGGCGAATTTCTAAATTTTGACCCACACACTCCCAAGTATATGCATTATGTACTGTATTGTATTATATACTATATAAGCAAGTACCCCAATAGCCAAATATTTTCCTTTCATCCTGAAACGTTAAATTCAGGGACTTCAAAGAGCAGAGATTTTTATTGAAAAATAGTTTTTAATTTGTATTTTAAATAGTTTTCTTTCAAAATCTTTTCCAGCCTAATTAAAAAATAGCTAACTTTAGAGTTCCATTTAATTAAGACTTATTGTAAATAGAGTCTATCTTCCACCGAAATAAAAAGCACTTTTCTTTATTTCTTTCATAACATCTCCTTTAAATATTTAATTTGTAAGAAAAGAAAACATTATAAAATGTTTTGAATTTTAAAGACAGCATCCTTTCCGTCCTAGATCAAAATTGGCAATGTCAAACCTTAAGGCTAAAACACAGAACCTAAAAAAAGACTACAGCGAACTTAGCTCTAACTAAAAAAGAATGTGATGCGCGTCATAAACTATATACACAATGTGCTCAAAACGAAGTCGGATCTATCGTTTCAATCTATTTGGCCCTTGTGTGCTATATAGGAGTCATAGAGCGACGACTCCTTGCGGCGCTTTAGTCTCGAGCAGGCGACGAATAACGTCACTGTCAGGATACAAAGCAGCGCTGAACATCCTGCCGTCAGGGCCGAGAAGGTCGAAGTCTTGAGGCAAGTTTGGTGCGGTGCCAGTGACTTTGTCTGTCGATGAGCATAGACATCGTCTCCATCATTTTCGCCCTCCTGAAGGACACGCAGCGACTGGAAAAGATTCACGTTTTCTGATAGAGAGTTCTGGCCAGGACTCTCAGTGGTGACGCCCTCACTGTCTGTGGAAGAAAGCGGTGGCAGGGAGAGGTTCGTGGCCGTCCTATTCGAGATGTCGCGCTTTGTGACTGCCTTTAGGTTTCGCCAGTGACAGGGTTGGCTCTAAAAAAGAGGAAATAATGGAAACTTTCAGAAAATCTTCCTATAGCCAGTCAAGCCAAGTACTTACTGGACATCGACCGTGGCACATGCGAACATCACACTCTATGTAAAGTGCTGGAGATCCAGTGAACCGGAAGGTTTTCATGTAGGCATACACTTGGGTCTCGTACACCCCGGAATCCGACCAGCTGCCCCTGAAGCGTGAGATGAGCTTGTCGTCCACCGGACAACCGTGTTGATCGATCAGCTGTATCCGCTTGTTGGCGCCATTGTGGGCGTAGCAGTCATTAACCACAATATCGAAGCCATCTATGAAAACTTGGAACTTAGCACTCATTACATAACTCATAGCTCGTCAGACTCACCATATTTGCTCCTCATATATATAATCAAGGTTAAAGGATCGCCCACACGCACAGGTCCTGTAACTCGAGGTCCTCCAATACCATAACCATTCTGAATTTCCATATAACACTCTGGTGGACTCAAGGTGAAAACCACAGGATTGCCAGTGGCCACTCTATGGGAAAAAAAAATTAATTGTAAAAAATCTTTGAGCCATATATTAAAAGTCAAAACTTACTCTACATCTAAAAAGGGAAACGTCACTGTCTTCCAGAAATCATAGCCATATTCGCAGGTGACCTTGAAATGTTCATCATACTCTTCTTCAATTAGTGGATTATATTGCACAGTGACTGTATTCCACATAAAATTCTATGAAGATTAAAAAAAAGTTCTTTTTATGGTCATATTTCACTAAAATATCAATCATACGCACTGTGGGATTCTTTCGACTCTCCTCTTGAAGCGAGTTTTTTCCCAAAGTTCCGCAACGATTTAATTGAATGTAGAACTCGTAATAGTCCCTGCCAGATCCATTTATATACATGCAGTCAGGATCATAGGCATAACCAGCTGAGTAGAGTAAGCCATTGAAGGAGCCATTGAATCCAATGCGAATTTTCATATAATCATCTTGACACTCAGCTTCGATGTCTTCATTTTAAATAAATTAATTATAATAAAGTACTATTTCAAATATTTAGTATAACTTACGCTGCACTCGAGTACTGTTGTGTTGATACGGATGTCCAGCATATTCCTGATCCCAGTACTCCTCATGCCATTTGTTGCCTTCATAGGGAACTGCGTGATAGGCTCCACTTCCTGTGGGGGCGCCACTCGAGTCCACACCCGTAGAACCATAATCCAGATGGACTGGATGCCCAATACGATGGGGTATATAGCCAGAGGAGTCAGGGACATGATCAGGCTGACATATACAAATATTTTTTTATAGAAACATTTTTAGATTTTAGAGTAAAGAAGTTACCACTTCATGTTGCAGCTTATTACGTTCCACAGCACTGCTGCTGCGATTGCGAACATCCTTTGGAAATTTCTTAGGCCCTGCTAGGCCAGCTCTCTTCGATAGCTTTGAGGACTGTGTGGTGGGTCCTGAGATATACGACTTGGAGGAGACTGAACCCAGTTCCTGCTGAGTGGAAGGACGGCTGCCCGTGGAAGTTCTCGGCAAGGGTGTTGTAGTCTGGATGCGTCCTTTGAAACTGCGTATGGGTGGCAACACAGTGGGTGGTGCTGAGGTGGTAGTGGCCACAGCTGAAGCTTTGCTAACCACCGAGTAGTCCGTACTTTGTTCCAAGCATTCAAGAGGCTGAAAAAAAAACCAAAATATTCATTCAAAAGTGCGTAAGGCGCGTGGGGCGTATACGCAATGCCATAAATCACTCGCTCAAGTTTGTGTCTTAAGTCTTTAGTTTTATGAAACAAAAGTGCTGCATCAGCAACAAAGCCACATAATTTTGGCCAAGACAAAGCTTCTTCCGCTCGTGGTCGATACGCAATCTGCATTAGAGCAGAGCATATCCGTTAGACTGGCTATTGGCCAACGATTGGTTGCGGTTCATGTGGCCTAATCAGGAAGTTCATTCCAAGAACTGTTAAATAGATTAGATTTCGAATCTGCCCATCTGACTTGAGCAACGCTCTCCGTTGGGCAATCAACCGGAGGTGAAAGGTTCCTTACCTGCAACCTAGCCAGCAGAAGAACCCCAAGCAGCCCGAGAATCCGCATCTGGCCCATCAATCTGCACATCTTCGTGTCCGTCACTCGACTGGCAGCTGCAAAGACATGGAGATACAAAGGTGACCATTCAATATTATCGGTATGCGAATCGGTTCATAATTATCGTCATGCTTGGTGCCGCGTGATGGGATCGCCAGTGACCTTGCTAGTGGTCACTCAAGTGTTGGCCGCAGTTGGTTACACCAAATGCGTGCCGGCAGGAAGGAAGTTTGTGCTTCATAAATTAATTCTGTCCAATGTCTAAGAGTAATAGATCTCGGGTGTTTTTATATCTAGCTATAATAACCTTCAATGCCCCTAGAAGGGCTATAAGTTATATTATGTCATAGAGTTGATAAATGGAGTGGTAAGTAGTTAATATAGTCATTTTTAAGATTTTTATTGAATTTGTATTTTTTATTTTCTAAGGATCTAACATACTATAATGAATGACAATTAGGTTTCCCTTACATAAGTTCATTTGTAACGTTTGATGATTTTATATGTACTGAAAACGTTTAATGTTTTACCCACCAACATAGTTAAGATCAAGTCAAGTTAAGATCAGCAAAGAAAACAGTATCTTAAAGCAATATCTCCTTTATAAAGGTATTTAAGTATCAGATAGTCAATTAGTTTTTACATCACTTCCGTTGGACCCTTGGCTAAGTTAAGGTATTCCATGCTATATCAATGTCGCGGAAACTATAGAACAATAACATCACCCATATCACTTGTATCACCCATGTTCCTCATCTCCCACCTGCGTTTGTCAGGCGTTAAGGTCAAAGGCATAAAACTGTCATCCGTTGCGATGGTTTAATTATGGCCCATCTAGAACCCAGACGCTCAAGATTTTTGTCTGCACTTATAGTTGGATTACATTTTAATGAATGATGTGATCCACCGATCTCCCCCCAAAACCTGCCTACCAGAATACCGCCCCCTTTGGATACCCTTCACCCACCAAATGCTTGGATGATTTTTCGCTTAGCTGTAAAAACGCACGCCGTTTGCTTAATTGTTGTTATAATTACTTCAACTCCTCGTTGTTGTTTGTTTTATGTTTGTTTATTGTTTTTTATCCGCCTTGCTTTGCTTTGTAGTTGTTATGCAATACATAGTTGCTTTGGTTGCGGCCGCCTCTTCTTCTTGGGTTTTTGGTTTCGGTTTTTGGCTTTCATTATTCGCCAGTCTTGTTGTTGCTGCTGTTCTTGGGCTTTGCTCCTACACTTGGCTTTTATAATTATAGTTAATCGCATTTGGCTGACCTTGAGCCGTTTTCCTTTGCCCGTTGTTAGTTTACTGCATTAATTGCAAATACCTAACGGATTCCAAAATGTTATGGGCTTGCTTTGGTAGTACTTCCTTTAGCCATTTGACATTTGGAAAATGAGGATCAAGCCACGAGATTTTCGAAGTAAAATTTATTATACATTATACATATTTAGTATTTCTGAGTGAAATATTTTAATAAAATTTTCAGATTTTAAAATTGATTCGATATATGAATAATATAGCGTTAAATCATAAATAGCCACAGATGTACATATATAGGTAGACTATTAATATATCTAATATATCTGATATCTATCCAATATATCTAATATATCTAGCTTTTCTTCAATAGCGAGTTATTCAAACCCACTTATTTTTAAAAGTATCATACATCGTTCAATATATTTTTATATTTTTTATCATAGGTTTGATATTGAATATTAATAAAATAAATCTTTTATTTAACTTTACATCATAAGTATCTAACTATAAACACCTAAACTAGTAATTATATTGAAATTGACTTTATTAACTTATTTTCCAGCCTCTATATTTAATTTATTCTTTCGCATTTTTAATTAAAATAATTGCTTTAGTATTATTACTCACCTTTCTCAATAGTTTCACAAGCACTAGCAGCACTGACCTGCTCAATTATATTCAAATTATTCAAATGCTTTGGGTTTATTTGTACACCCACAACCGCGAATCACGGTTCACAGCTCGGCACGCACTTTGACCAACTGACACCGAACAACTTGGCCCATTTCGGGCCTTCTTAGCAAATCCTCGCGACGTTGGCCATAAAAGTTGACGATCCGTGCCGAAAGTTTGGTCTCAAAACGCTACAAAACGGTTCGCACAGCTCTTGTTATATTTTTCGGGGTTTTTTTTGGGGGCGGGATGTGGTTTCACTTTCAATAATAGTTTCTGATATTGCGCGATTTTTGGCTTGGCAGCTTTTGTCGGGTTTTCTCGTCTACGTCATTGGCCGTTTATCTGGCTCGGTTTACATGTTGCACGTCTGGTCTAAAGGTTTGTGTTGGTCTTCCGTTTTTTTTTTGGTTTTTGGAAGCCCGAAAAATCACTCAAGTGCAACTTGCCAAATAGAATCAGCCACCGAGTTGGGGGAGTTGGGCGAGTATGTAGATGTGAATGGGTCTATATGTTCGCAGATTGCCCAATCTTACATAATAGTCCGAGTGGCAAGTTCCGAGTACCGTTGCCGGTTGCCTTATGCCTATTATTTGATATGAGATTTGGCGTTTTAGCGTTTGGCGGACGCTGGTTTGCAGCTCTTCGAGTTACGAGCAGGTGTGAAGCGAAGCGCGGCTGGCACGGATCTTTATAAAGTTTTCGTCCAACCAGCTACACATCCATCCAACGGATTCGACACACAGAGAAAATATTAAGGGGTCCATGGTTGTAAGACTATAGCTAGAAGGTTGGTAATATCAGAAGAACCTTTTGTAAGGAGCATAAATTTGAGAATCATAGCTCATTATAATAATGAAGCAATAAAGCAAATCATCAATGAATACGAGTTTAGTAATACCATTTTTCAAAGTATATTAAAAGACCGACCATATGTACATATACTAGAACATATACTGTTCTTTAAATAAAATGTTTTTATTGAAAATCCTTGGCTTTAAACCCTTACCTTTTACGTTTCTTTATTTCTTCCCGTGTAGAAGAGCAGAACCACCCAACCGCACTCTGATGGTGGCTCTCAGGGCTCTCAACCTCTTGCAGGTTGTGAAAGAATCTTACCAAGAGCCCCACCTGAGATGATTCCATTTGCTGATTTACTTTCGTTGTGGCCATTTGCCGTTAGACTCGCTCTGCACTGCGGAAGTCAGAGGAACTGGAGGAGCACGAGAAGCTGAAGATGGGTCTGGGATGGGGACTCCAGGTGGAGTGGAGCTGGGTAACCCCTTACCTTTTGGCCAAGGTCAACGGCACCTAACTGTCGACACTCGGCCGGAGGAGTGTGTGCAGTTAGACTCGTTTAATTGCCTCCGTTTGCCAAGCGTGTCTGCGTTAAAATACAAATCACTAATTAATTACTTGGCACTCTAAGCGTTGTGAAAGGCTCGTCCGCCTCCCGATAATTTGACCCTGGAATAGTACTGCCACAACGGACAATGGCTTCAAATCCATAACCCAGCAAGGGCAACCCTTGTCCACAAAGCGTGACTACTCCTTAGATCTCCACCACTGACCTACATAATAGAAGATCTTGGTATGGCTACTTATTAAATAGTAATTTTGGAAATCCATGGTCTATAAATGGGACTATACTCTCCTCTGAAGAACCCAAAACCAACCCAATACAAATATCATAATTTAAGTTTTAGCTATATCATTTTTTATTGCGATTTTTTTCTTCAGTTATATATACTTTTATCATTTTTTTGTCCTTTTTTTCACACATTATCTTTTTTTCATACATACTCGCTCGCATTTCCAACAAAATCAGGCATACAATAGATCATTATTTCTGGTGCTGGGGCTATAATGGTACAATCTTCCTGTCGATTAGCTTACCAGTTACACACAAAGTACATACAAACACAAACAAATCAATTTCAACACAAGATCCATCAGAGATTGGTCAATCGAATAAACACAAAATGTTTTGCAAAACATATCATAAACTTATCGGTGTGTGTCTGTGTTTAATGGTTAAATAAATAAAATAGTTTTCTTTGCTATATTAACAAAATCATTTCTGTTGCCTATATTATACATATATATTTTTTTTGTCATTTTTTATGTGTGTTTATCTTATGGGTTTTTTTGCATATTCATTTTGAAAATTTTATTGCATTTTTTTTGGTATTTTTCATATAAGTTTTTAAATTGAAACGGCAAACGTTAAAACCTACGCATTTACACAGATACCATAGATAAATTTTTTTGTGGCTTTTGTTTTTCGTTTTTTTTACACAATTAATTATTAAGTTTAATTCATTAATCGTATGTGTTTTTAGCTGCTAGATTTTGATATTTTGGTGGCCTTTTTTTGCAGATTTTCTCTTTTCTTCTGGGGGTTAAGTTAAAATACTAATTAAAATCGGTACGCGTTGCCCTCGCGTGGCCTGCCATGATTGTAATGCTCCTCTCCAGCGTTTGGGGCGTGGGAGGCAAAAGGGGTGGGGGTGTGCGGAGCGGGTGGTGCGTGCCTAGTAGCAGCACTTGCTGCGGTTGTTGTTGGCGCCGCTGACCAGCTTGCAGTGCTGCATCTCCGAGCGGCGCGGGCGGTTGGCCTTGGCCTGGAAGTCGCGCACCTTGTTGGCCCGCTTCATGGCGCTGCGGCACAGCTGCTGGTGCTGCTTCTTATTGTTGCTCTGTGGATAAATTATTAATATAAATTTTCCTTATTTTAAATCCTTAGTGTGCTTACCTTCTGACTCTGGCGAGCCAGAGTTTGCTGCTTCAGCTGAGCGGCCGCATGGCGATCGAAGCGAGCGCTATGGGAGCGCTGCTCCTGCAAGGCCTGGCCCCGGGCCTCCGGCTCAGCTTCCGGCTCCGGCTCCGCCTGCGGCACCTCCGCCGACACCCCGAGATCAAGATTAACAAAACTTTCGGTGCCCTCCTGGGTGGACCTAATACTACGGTAAACGGACATGCTGCAACAAAAAGGGAAAGTGTTCCATTAAAAAATAATTCTCCAAATACCGAAAGTGTCTTAAATAGTTTCATTAGCGTGCTTTTCGGCTGTCAATCGTGTTTTGGAATCGGGGGATTTTTGGGGTTTTTAGGGGTAGTCTGGTATTGTGTACAATAAAGATCACCAACCTTGGATGCTCAATCAATAGATTCTCAAATGGTGATGTTTCCATATTGATTGGCCCAATCGAGGTGAAGCATGGTGGCGGTGTTACGTACCAGGACTCCTCCATCAGCACGTTAGCACCCTGACCCTGGTCGCTGCCACTGGGCGAGGCCACGTACAGCGACTGGCTAACATTGTCAGAGTCGGCCAGTCCGGGAACGCTTCTGGGCGGGCTCAGGGTGGAGATGCTCAGCGGGCGGACAGCAGCGGCACCGCTTCCGGTGCGCGAACGCTGCAGATAGTTGCGCTGCTGCTGTGGCCGCGGCCCGCTGTACAGGGAATGCGATTGGATGTGCTGGCGGCGGCGTGTACCCGCTGGGCCACTGCCGGAGGCCCCACCGGCGGAGGAGGAGGAGGCGGTGTTCGCCCCCCTGGGCTGCGGCACCTCTACGACGGAGAGTTCCTCCTCGGAGTCGCTGCGCGGCAGGGAGTCGTCCTCCTCGTCTAAAAAACATTAAAAACGATAATGGAAAAGTTAAGATATACAAATTTTCTGCTTTAGATGGAGATAGTTTTCAGGACATCGTTTTTAGAGGACTGTTTGAACTTACCTTCCTTCTCGACAATGTACCATTCGTCTTCGTCAAAGTCCTCGTCGATGGTTTCGCCCGAGGGCGTCAGTAGCTTGGTGATAGTCGCTGGCTGCTTCCTCTGCTGCTGCTGCAGCTGCTGCTGGTAGCGCTTGCCACGCCTGTTCTTGCCCCGCTTGCCGTTGGCGGTCCGCACCGCTTGGGCGCGATTGCTGCTGCCCGCAACCGATGGCGTCGACGAAGTGACCTCAATTACATCTCCTCCCGATGGGTCCCTGACGGGGCTGGAGGGAGCGTTCGAGTCGGGGTTCTGGGCAGGATTCGCTTCTTGGTTAATGGAATCGGGTGATGCTGGCGATCCGAAGAGGTACGAGGCGAGGCTGCTTAACATTATACGGGCTAGTGCAGCGGATCCGGTCTGGACTTGGACTTATTGCTTTGTGGGTGTTGAGATCAAAGTTGCTTCGCTGGTCACTGCCTTATGCTGTTGCTCTTAGCTCTAGGTTCACAGTTAGAGAGACGATGTGGAGATTGCTTATGTTGCTGGTGTTGTGTTGGTGTTTGTTCCTTGGATTTGCTTGAACGTTGCTCAGTCTTTTCTTTAATTCTTTTGTTTTTGTTACTGTTTGTACGCTTCTCTGTTTGCTTTCGCCGCGTCTAATCTTGTTCTCGTTCTGGTTTCGTAGCGTAAAAGCTGCAATCGAAAGGAAAAGAAAAGCATTAGAAATGAGCTTGGCAAATTGTGCGCATATTGCGTAATCGCCACCAGCCCCCTGCCCCGCCATTCCGCGCAGTTAACCCCCCACTTTCCAGCTCGCTAAGCTGCTTGTTTGCGTGGGTGCACGCTCACGGGTTCACGGGGCGGGTACTTAATTTCATTTAATTGCCACGCTCATACACTCTGCAAAGTGGCGCGATTAATTTATTGAGTGAAATCATGAAAAAGGTATTAAATTAAAGGAGTAATGTCTATAAATAGTAAGAATTATTTTTCACAAAAGTTAGGCTTTTTTTTCTTTTGAGGTTTAATGTTTAAGAAAAACTGGTAAGAGTACTAGTAATTATTAATGATTTATCAATCTTTCTTGTAAGTATAAATTAAGTGTATTTAATAGAGCATTTATATTTCCATAGGTGTCGTATATTTATTATGTTAATTATTATTTATATTTATTTATATTATGGCTTGAAAGGCATTAAATAAAACATAATGTGTATATTTTCATTCATTTCCACAAAATCCTTACAATATGCTCCAAAAATTATCGAAGGATCTAAGTATTACTTTCAGAAATATATCTCTATTTTTAAAAACTAACGTTTTTGAAATTATTAATCCTATATCATTCCTATCCTTTATATATATGCATATATATTAATCCCTATAAGTCTCCCGTAAGCCCCCTTAAGATAATTGATTTTTTAAATTTCAATTTCCTTAAAATTCATGCGCACTTTTTGTGGTTGAAATTAAATAAATCAAGTCATAGTTTTTTATTGTATTACAATTGGGGGAATTTAAGAGGAACCACTAGTTTCAGTCAATTGAATCTAATGAAAATGGGAACTCAGTTTCAATTGCGAAAGTGAAATTTCCTCAACGCAAATTAACGAAAGACGGCAATTGCCTTTGATTACATTAATCAGATTTTTTTATAGCACTGTGCTGACAACTGTATAATAGGCATGGCAGTGCCGTAAAGTATCGCTGCATTGGCCATTAAGTTTTCCAGTGATACTCGTATATACTTTTCCATATATAAACCAAGCCGACCAACCCGATTCGAGCCGTGTGCATGCGCCGAGCTTATGATCGGGGCAATTATATATGGCACACACAATACCGACTATAACTGAGTGGTGAGCACTGTGTGTGCATATATGCAATTTGAATTGAGCTCACGTCATGACAATAGGAAAATGTGGACCCACATAGCCCACGGGCAGTACACAATACACACAGTATATGTATCCCCCCAGATGAATTGAACTAAATCGTCTTGGCTGATTATCGCATCGTCATAAAAATGCCCGATCAGGCGCATTTTCGCCGGAAAACCTCTATGTGCTGAGCCGAGGAAAACTCTGGACCCTGGCAGAGACAATTGGCGAGGCAATTTGCAATTTGACCGCAAAACAAAAACGTGAAAAGCACCAGGCAAAAGAAAAATACTTTTGTCTACATCCAGCCACAAACTAACAAAGTGAAATCTCCTCCAGCAGAGACACAGTCAGAGCCAGAGACAGAAAATTGGGTTTGATGAGGCAGTCCGAGTCAAAATGTCAGCGAAAGTTTGACAATCAAATTTGATGGGGCCTGGCCATTGACTCATGAGACTGAAATAAATTCTGATAATTGCCCCGGGATGGTAATGAAGTAAACAGCAAAGGCCGGAGCCACCATAATTGGTGCATCCATGGACGATAAACGGCACATTTTCCGTTTGAATCCCGGCTGTATCTATGTATCTTTCGGATGCACGCAACTCATTAGCCTGACCTCAAAATGCCTGGCCATATTCTGCCTGGCCCGTGTTTGGCACTCTTTGCTCAAATAGAGAAAAAATATTCGCAGTCGAAACAAATTTGCATTGTGCAACAGCGATTGCAGTGGTTGCGGATCCGTGCTGGCATTTTATTAATAAACACGTACAGGGGGACCGATCGAAGGCTCATATGCTTATGACGGGCAGCTTACACCACCAACGGACGGACCCTAGATAACCCTAGGTTTGGTCATGGACCCCGATATGTACTGCTTCTCTAGTAAATTGAGTTTCACTTTTGTCACATCTGCTGCCAAATAATTCTGACCTTGAAACGAGTACATAATGTGTTTGGGACTTACGTTAAATATTCTTGTCTATTGACTCTTTGTTTCCCATATCATAGAACTTATTTTAGCTCAGAATTTTGTTGATTCTCCCCTGGCACGTCCGGCCTTGATCGATAATTGGTTATATAACCATAGAACAGATATCTAACGAGTTCCTTATCCGCACAATGTGCTGGCACTGTTCCGGGCACTATCAAGTCAACAAATGTTTGGGCCATCGAAACTAGTCCGGCTGCTATCATCGCTAAAAAAAATATTCGCCAACTCATTTGAGGGCCGATAAGCCGCACCCCAGACGCTTTTGCCAGACAGCGTCAACTATGCTAATAATCTCTTGTTTTTTTTGTTTTTTGTTTGCCATTTGTATAGTATTGTTTACTATACAGTCTGGTTCTGACTATAGACCAGAGTCTGGCGTGTGCAGCTAACTAGCCGACAGTCGAAAGTTCAGGCTTTGTTCAATTGATTGTACCAGTTCGAGGGGGCTGTGCCGAGGCCTCTAGTGGGGCTGGGCTAATGAACTTGAACTAATTTAGTTTAGCTGACAGCTGCTGTGATCGCAGAACTAGAGGGACCCAACAGTTCATTAGCGATCGCATCAGATGTGAACGGGTATGGCGAACAAAGAACAATATCTAAAGCTTTATTTTAAGTACAAACCAATAGCCCATTTATATAAAATCAAATCTACACACACACTCGAAATTCTTTACCTATATACCCATATTTTCTACATATATATCAGTCATATCAGTCAAATTCGTATCTGATTAGCTTTAAGCTCTGCCTGTCAAAGTGCAAGTTCCTTTGTTTTGAGGGAATTTCGTGTTTTTGTTTGTTACTTTTTTTTGGAAAAACACAAAAACCAATCTGTAACAAGCACTCGAGAGGTGCGAGTGGGTGGGGAGTGGTGTATTTCTCTTTATGGCATAATGCGGAATTATGCAAGCCAAACCGAGTGACGTCAGTCCCGACCTTGGCAGTGGCGAACAGAATTTTCGGAATTCTGCCAAAGACCACGTATCCCCAAGACCAATTCCCAATCCCCAATCCGAGGCACTAATTGAACACAAATGGAAAACTATTCTGGTGGATCGATGGGGTGATGCTCACCTTTTTGGGTGGAAAACTTTTCACAGTTCACGTAAATTCTATCAGATACACAGCCACGGGACAGATACAGATACAGATACGGATGCCAGAGCCAGAGCCACTGCAGAGGTACAGCCAAGTCGACACTCGTTTGCCAACTGAACTGAACCAGCGGAAGCGCATTTGAATTTCAAAAGCGGGCGCAAGAACAAAAGCTACGCTACACTGCGAGTGAGTATCTATGTAGAGTGTATCTGGGCCCGCATCGGTGTGTGTGCGTATCTGTATCTCTGTGTGCTACTGTAGCTGCTGCAATTTAGCCAATTTTTTGTTTCTTTTGTGGGTTTTTGTTAGATTTTTTTTGGCCATCTCACACCTTACACTGTCTCACAAAAGAGCTCTCTGTAGCTATTGAGCACACTTGACTTTTTGTTTATTTACCTAATATTCTTGGTGGATTTCACTTTCCGTGTGATGCACTGCGGCTGCTGGTGCTGCTGCTGCTGCGCGTTGCGTTTGCTTTCAAATATCAAAGGCGAATGCCAGCTACAGCGGACTCAACAGCGATCGCTGCTAAGGCCTCAAAACAAAAAAGTATCTGACAAATACTCGGAGGGTACTGAGCGCGAGAGAGCCAGGGAGAGCAACGAACGCGAGCGTATCTAAGCCCATAATTATGTATTTTTTTAAAACGCAAAAAGCAACGATCGCAGAAGGGGCACTGCAGTAAACAAAGCCAGCCAGCCAGCCAAACCCAAAATTATGCTTCCCGACCAGCTGAGCAGTCGAAACCGGAGAGCCCGCGAGTGGCGATCATACGTGCTGATCGTGATTTTTGTTTACCAACAAATGGCTTCTCTCTCGCAGCTGCAAAAAAAAAAGCACAAACACTGACACACAAGCTAACAACTACCATTCTCGCTCTCCGATCAGCTGCTCTGACGTTTGCGCATTGACACACTTTCGCCCCCTCACGACCCACCACCGCCCCTCCTATGGTGTATCTGTATCTGCTAGATACTTTTCTATAGCCGCCAGACCAAGTGGCTCTTCGCTGCCAACTAGCTGGCACGGGCACGGGCTACCCAAGTGACTAAGCAGGGGGAGAGATAGTGGGTACACACAAAAACAATACACAAAAGGGTTTCGAAAGTTCTATTGTGGGGTTTATGGAATTATTTCAATATTTATTTTTCCTATTTTATCAAGACATATGTAGTGGAAATGTTACTAGTTTCTATTTGGAGGTTAATGGAATTATTTCAATACTTATTTTTTCCATTTTATCAAGGCATACTCGAAAATATTTTTTTTTCCTTTAAAAGATGTTTACAAGAAAAATATTGTAACAATATATCTAATTAGAACTTCTCAACAATCATGTACGCATAAAAATGCTAATGAATCGCTGAGAACTATTTGCAAGTGTCATTCATCGTGAGATAGCGAACACTCGAGGCATTCAAATCGGTTCTGACTTAATTTCGTTGCCATTTTCACGATTATATGGCATTATGCAATTTGAAATCAATTCACATAGACCCCATCAAGTGTCTGCTACTGTTTGCAAAGATGTCTGTTGTGTCGGATTTTGAAAAACTTGAATTCGCACTTCATTAGGGTCTTTTGGTTTCTTTCCACTCTCAGAATGAATTCTTGTCCAACACACATTAAATAATTTCTTTTTAGATAATAAACAAGCACCATACAATTGCATTAAATACACATATTCCTGACAAGCTTCAAGCAAGAGAACAACCTCTCGG